ACATCACATTGAATCATCTTACTCTTTTTTAACTGGCACGCGGCCTCTCGTCAACCGCCTCACAGCCTTCTCTGTTACCGGCACGCGGCCTTCAGCCGCCTTACAGCCTTCTGCGTTACTGGCCCACGGGACCTCGCCGGCCGCCTTACAGCCTTCTGTGCTCCTGGCACGCGGTCTCTAGCCAGCCGCCGTACAGCCTTCTGAGTCACCGGCACTTGCATCCTTCTGTGTTACCGGCACGCGGCCTCCAGCCGCCTTATAGCCTTCTGTGTTACCGGCACGCGGCCTCCCGCCGCCTTATAGCCTTCTGTGTTACTGGCACGCCGGCCCTTGCCGGCCGCCTTACAGCCTTCTGTGTTGCTAGCACGCGGCTTCTCACCCGCCGCCTTACAGCCTTCTGTGTCACCGGCACGCGGCATCTCAGCCCCCGCGTGCCGACAACACAGCGCAACACAGCGTGCTTGCATCCTTCAAGTTGCAGCGAGCTTCTAGACGGTCACTGGAATCGGGGCACCGCTCATTCGGCTGCTGTTTTCTCGGCGAGCTGCATCGGTAGCCCACTGTGCCCTTGCTGCTGATGGAGAAACAAAGCGAAACCTGCAGCTGGCCCAAACATGTTGCAAAATAAGAATACATAGTGCATACCACCATATCAACACAAACTTCCAGGTGAAGTGCAGGAACCCATGCACAACACGCGAACACCCCCACTACATGACAAGACCACAACACCAGCCACGCAATCAGTCACTCTTTTCTCCCCCCCTGCCTGGAACCTCAATAGTGGGATTTACCACGCTAGCATGAGTGAACGCAGGCCACTCAAACCTCACACAGCTAACACATACCAGTGTTCTTGGGCACCGCACCAAAAATTACCATGACACAACATCACATTAGCATTACACACACGCAAAATGTGCTGTGAGAGGCGTGAGCGAACACGTGGCACCTGGCTTAGTGGTCCACCGGATTGACAATTCCATCAACCCGGAGCAGCAAACCACTGCAAAAAAAAAAAAACAAGAAACACGACCACAGAAAACTAGCCCGAGCTCGCAACACTCGGACGAGGTCTGCCACTGGGGGACCCTAAACAAACAGGGTCGATGAGACTACACACGTCTGAGAACGCCAAAGGAAAAATTTACAAGAAATCTGAACGAAAATCAAAAAGGACCGTCAAATATATTACAATCCTGCAGCCGCCGCCTGGTCCTGCTAGAATTGGGCGTCCCTGAATTGCCCACAGCGAGGATTGCAACGGATTGCGATCCCTCTTTCATGAAGACGAGAGGGGCAGCCATCTTGCATCTCTGGGCTGGTCGCCTCGACCGTACCTGAAAACTGTTGAATCGAAGGCAAAACTAAAAATTACATAACACTGGATTAGTTCCTGGTCTAAATGTTCCGTCCCCGCAGACAGAAAACGTTTCTAGCTTTCCCCTGCGAAGGATGGCAACGGATTCTATCCTGCAAAGAAACAAACCTCTCCATGGCCAGACTTGTTTCGTAGGCATCCTTCCTTCCTGCTCCTTTGAAACATACATCCAAGGACAATATTAGCTGAACGAGTTATAAAACAAAACACAGCCAACAAAAACTGTGTCTAAACTTCGCCGGTAGCTGTCCTACGGCACCCAAACCTGCTCTGCCACAGCACGGCGATCTACCGGCTCAACGCCGCGACAGCCACGGTCTGCCCGCACGAGCAGTCCCGCCTGAATCCGGGGTGCCTCGCCTCGACGGGTTTTGCTGGGTGGGGGGCTTGAAGAGCGTAGGCCAGACGTGGACGGGGAACCGGGCCTGACCCGGAAGAATGACGTCATGCTGGTATTGCATTGTGGGTGATGACGTCATACCTTCCGGCCCAATAGCCGAGCATGACAAATAGTATGATGTGAAGTTCCGTCGATCACCAACAGGTTCCCGGATGTCCAGCTACGATCCCGCCATAGCCTGACTGGTCGATCGATCAATTTTAATTTTAATCAGAGAAGAAAAACAAAAAGGAGGCATGTGTGGCGCCAACCAGAAGTTAAGTCACTTATATTACAGCACTAAAAAGAGACAAGTAAGGAAAGAAAGTATGAAGGAACAAACCTACGCAGAGGTCGAGTATTGACTGGATTGATGCTGATTAATTACAAGGAACGAAGGATAAATCAAGGCAACGAGTGTAAAGTGGAAGTGATCCACACTATTTAAAGTTACTACCGCCTCAGACATGTGTAACAGCATGTATATCAGAAGTGTGATTTCTGTAAGGTGACTAACGAATAAAATGTAGTTGCGTTTCTGTTATGTCGCTAGGTGTCGCTTTACAGGAGGTGCGTATTTCGCTAGCTCCCGACGTTTTCAGTTGTAAAGTGTGTTTATTTCCTCCCGAACAAGTCGTCGGTGTAATATCGAGTAGTCAACAGGTCAGTCTATCATCAAAGGATTATAAGAAGACGATCTCGGTGGATTTTGTCCATTTTCTGTGGGAAATTCGAGCATCGGTTTCCTGTCAACTCTTTGCCTGGGGAGGGCGATCACCCTGCCTTTGTTTACGTCGCCTGGAGGCAACAGACGCCACCACCACCATGTCGGCTACGGGTAAGGTGGGGCTTGCTATTGAGGATCCATACCTTGACAAACTTCAGGACATTAATCTATGGGTCAAGATGTACGTAAAGTCTGGCATGAGACCAAAGGAAGTAGATGTTGCTAAGGCGCTTGTACATGGGAGGGATCATGAGCGTTTACAACCGTCGGACATTCTCGGAGTCCAAATTGTCCTCCCAATAAGCATTGTTAACCTGTCGTCAAGCCGAGTCAAGGAATATGTTCTCAGTAACCCTTGTATTAACTTGGCTGGGAAAGACTTAACACTACTGGACTTTGTAAACACGCCGCTGTCTAAACCCCCTCCACTGACCCGTGTGTCCATACATGGGGTGTTCCATTCTGTACCAGATACTATTGTCGCAGAATGGGTCGACGGCTTTGCCGCCCGTGAGACTCCTATTGAGAGGCACAAAGTCAAGACCAACAGTGACATGTTTAAGCATCTCAGATCCGGTCACCGATTCTGTTATGTCAGCATGGTTACCGGAGAGTTACCACCGAGATACACAACAATGACCACCCCCCATCCACACGACCCTCTCAGCTCTATGGATATTGATCTGGAGGTTTTCTGTGGGAGAGATCAAGTCATTAATTGTCGGCGTTGCAAGTCCGTAGATCACAAGTCTCACGTTTGCCCGACGATCACGTGCTTCACGTGTGGCAAGCAAGGTCATGTCAAATCCAACTGTCAAGAGTACAAGAAAAGGTCTAGTCGGGACCGTCGCGTTTACGTGTCAGACCAGACCGGTGACCTTAGCCCAGATACTCGCAGCTCTCTTGACGTCATTAATGAAGCGTTCGACGCTTACGTCAAGCCAGCCTTACACACCACTAATCGTTTCCAGCCCTTGGTTGACCTGGATCCTGAAACCATCTCACCCAACCCTTGGGGTGTTCCGCGTCAACCTTTTGCACCGATGTCACCTCATCGCCGAGGAGCTACAGGTGGAACAACTCGCCACTCGGCGAAATCCGGAACACCTGTCCGTGATTCCGGAGGATCGAGGCGGAGTGTCCGGAACAGAAAGAGATCCCGTGCGCGTGTGTCAGGTGATCAACTGACGTCAGCATCTAAAAAGTCACTAGTTGCTGAGCCCGTGTAAGATCCACCCGCGGAAGATCCACCCTTGGATCTTCATATCACATGTGACAACACCACGTCCGACAAGACTGCAGTACGTCTGTCACACAGAGTTGATGATGAAGTCTGTGTTGTGAACGCCTTCTCCACCGGTATTGTGTCCCGCGCTCCCACAGGATCTCGTGTCCCGACTGAACTTTCTAGTCAAAGAGTGAGCACTCGGTCGATGTCGAGACTGTCAATGAACTCGATGGGCGAATAGCAACCAGCTCCTAATGGTTCTATTCAGACTCCTCGAACTGGTGACGACTTTGTATCCGTCTGTTACCTGAACGCTAGGAGCCTTGCCTCCGTGAACAGATCAAGGAACAAACTTGTACAACTGCAGAACTTGGTCGGTTTGTTGCAACCTTCCATAGTCGCTGTCACTGAGACGTGGCTTGGACCTCACATAGACGACAATGAACTCTTACCATTTAGTGACTATCTCATATTACGTAGAGACAGACACTCCACCAACCCTGGTAAAAGGGGTGGAGGGGTTCTTCTTGCGCTGTCACAGAACTTAAAAGCTCAGCGTCTGTCTGAGCTCGAACCATTATCCAGTGAAATTCTTGTATGTTCTATAAGCCCTAGATCCCACTCCAAAGTGGCTATCATCGTATGTTATAGGGCTCCTAACCACAATGTCACTGTGTTCTCCACTGATTTGAAGAATACACTGGAACTTATTTCCAGAAAATTTCAGTTCGTTATCTTAATGGGGGATTTTAATCTACCTGGGATTGACTGGACGTCATCAGATACAGGTAGTTATGGGCTAGTTAACACCTTTATTGATGTTATTGATGATTTTCATATGACGCAGATTAACTACGTCCCATCAAATCACCATGGTAACTTACTTGATCTTGTTTTTTGTAACATCCCTGAGAAATTATCCCATGTATCCCTAGTAGACCTTGAATTCGATTCTGATCACGCTATACTAGAGTTTAAGATTGATATCAAACCACACCCTAAATCCAAGACATCTAGACATGTATATGATTTTAAAAATGGTGACTTTGATGGCCTAATTAACTATCTGCAGGCTTTTCCGTTGTCCGAAACCATCGATTCACTCTTATGTGTTGACAGTGTATGGGAAAGGTGGCTTGCTGCAGTTAAATCGGCTGTGGACAAATTTATACCTAAAAAAGTAATCAATTAGACATTTAAGAAAGTGTATGCTAACAGCATGGACTAGAGCTAAACGAACTAATAAATTGAGTCACTGGGCCAAGTTCAGGCGTCTTAGGAATAAATTAAAGAAAGCGTTGAATGCGAAATATTCCAAGTATGTCACTGATTTGGGTGACACGGTGATTAGTAATCTCAAAAGATTCTGGTCATTCTTTCGCACCAAAACCAAGTCCAAAACTCTTCCCAACAGAATGAAATTCCAGGATAGTTATGTTGAGTCTGCTCAGGAGAAAGCAGACACGTTTAATGAATTCTTCTTTTCTGTGTTCAACTGCTCAGAGAAGGAAACCCCATTGCCTAGTTTAGGTGAGATTTTAAATGTGCCAAAAATTTCCACAGTCTCTTTTGCTGTTTGTAATATTGTTTCTATCCTGAAGAACTTGGAAGTCAATAAGGCCACAGGGCCTGACGACCTTCCAGCCATGATTTTAAACAAATGTGCCCAACAACTAGCCCCCTCTTTGAAAATGTTATTTGAATTATGTTTAAACACTGGAAAAATTCCGAGTATGTGGAAGAAGGCGAATGTTGTTCCAGTGTTTAAGAAAGGGGACAAGAGCAATGTTACTAATTATAGACCAATATCTTTACTTTGTATAACTAGCAAAGTGTTCGAGAGGTGTATTTTTAATTCTGTGTTTCCGCTTGTTTCTGATTCTCTGTACTCCCTGCAACATGGTTTTGTTAGGGGTAAGTCCAGTACAACTCAACTACTAGAGGTATATGATGAAATAGGTCAGGTTTTAGATGCATCTGGACAAGTAGATGTTATTTTTCTAGATTTCTGTAAAGCCTTTGACACTGTTCCTCACAGGCTACTTGTACATAAGCTGAAGTTATATGGATTTGATAGTCAACTCCTTACCTTGATAAGCGATTACCTCTACGATCGCCAACAAAGAACAATTGTTGAAGGTCAGAAGTCTAACTACTTGCCTGTATTATCCGGGGTCCCTCAAGGATCAATCCTTGGCCCGTTTTATTTTTGTTATATATCAATGACTTACCTGACTACGTACATTTCGGCAGGATGGCCATGTTTGCTGATGATGCCAAATGTTTTAAAAGTATAAACTCGATTTTTGCTTGTATAAGATTTCAGGCTGACTTGGAAAGACTTGCCTTCTGGAGTAAAACATGGCAAATGAGATTTCATCCCTCCAAATGCTCCGTAGTCAGTGTTACACGAAAGTCCACCCCTATTGAATATACATATAGTATGGTACTGATGGTACTGAACTTACCAGATGTCTAGCTTATGAAGACCTTGGTCTTCAGGTTCGTCATAACCTAAGTTGGAACGCCCATGTACTGAACAAAGTTTCAAAATGCAACTCGATCCTTGCCATGATAAAGCGATCTGTTGGTTACAAAGCTCCTTTCATAGTCAAACTCAACTTGTATCGTTCATTAGTTATGCCACACTTAGATTATTGCTCTCAGGTGTGGTCTCCACACACGAGATTGGTAATGCGCAAGGTTGAGAGTGTACAACGGAGAGCCACTAAATACATCTGTAACAACTACGAACTGTCATACAGGGATCGACTTACCTCTACCAATCTGTTACCGCTGTGTTATAGACGGGAACTTTTCGATGTATTATTCCTTTTCAAGTGTATTCGTGGTTTTTACTCCATTGATATATCTCGTTTTGTTAAAGTTTCTGTACCCAGTAGATCTCTTCGCTTTACCGACCAATTTCAATTTACTGTCCGCCCATGTAAAACTGAAACATTTACCTTTTCATATTTTAGCCGTGTAGTACTCATCTGGAACACTTTACCTGTAACAATCCGTCAACATTTGTACTCAAATCTTAGCATTTCATCTGTCAGGAAATTGTTAGCCACTTATTACATATCCCGGGTACACTCCACATATTCCACCGATAACATATGCACCTGGTCCTCCATTTGTAGATGTCATGCCTGCCTAACCACTTAGCCATACCTTACTGCCCTTATTGTTGTTTGTATTTTGTATATTGTATATTTTTAGTTCTGATATTTAGATGTATCTTGATGTATTATTTGTCTCGGTGCTATGTATCTCTGTTGAGGAGCCGGCCCCGTGGAGAAACCAGCTTTCTGTTGCCGGCTCCTCACAGATTTTTTTTAAATCTGTAAAGCTCAATAAATAAAAATGTGTGCAATGGAAAGTTGTGGGCAAAACTTTCACTTTCAAACTTCACATGGAACCTACTTAGGATTTGTGTTTTATCTTCCTGACTTTTCTGACCCAGACTGAGTGGAGAAACTTGACAAGGGAACCACGAGTCACCCTGTCAGGGTTCAGGTCAGGAGAAGTCAGAACTGAGGTATTTCTACTTACCCGGTCGTCCCTCGCCTCCAGGTCGGCACCGTGTTCGATCAGCAATGCCGCCACTTTAGTCTGCCCGTGCAGGCTGGCCACATGCAGGGACGTCTGGTCATCCTGGATAGAACAACAGTTGGGACGATAACCGGTTACAAAGCGGCTGTATAGGCCGTGCGTTTACTAAAAATGACATATCCCGGGGACCTGACAGCTTTTTTACCTTAAGAAATATATACAGGATGATAATTATCTAGTGTTGTTAGTTCTGTCCACCGCCTTATCAGAGCAATTTCATAGCTTTACTTTGATTGTCAAAACGGTTTACAATTCAGTTACGGATCATTTAAGCAATGAGTGTTCATCATATTTAGATTTTTTCAACATTTAAATAATACAGTAATTCAGCTTATAAGCAAAATAGCTTATATCAACGGCACCACTTAATAAAAAATGTGATAAATCTAACGGAAATATGTAACAGAAAAGTTAATGTCTGATACAGATACAGAGCTGGACAAATGAACAACAGTAACAAGGCTGGACTACAAGTCTGTAACATTGTATGAACTAACAGTTTGCTTACCGATAATCCCCATTTTTTCTTGACCCTGAGGTCGACCCCAGCGTCCAGCCCCCTCCTCACAGTCTGCACGTTACCTTTCTGCACAGCCGTGTAGAACGTGTCCAGGTCCATCTCCTCACTACCTGCTGGGGCGGCATGGAATAAGTTAGGCTTTGAACAACGTATTTAACAAACAAAAAAACGTATTTATCAAAGGTGCAAACATCAGAATTTTTAATAAGTTAATTTTTCTAATCTCTATGCAGATCATATGATAGTAAGACAGTGTCCTTTGGCCAGAGGAGTGATCATTGGCCGTTACTCCTGTGGCTCATGAACACTGTCTTGCCAGCGAAAGGGATTTGCTTGGAGATTAGATTTTTCTTTTTCTGGTGCAAATTCTTAACACGGTTTTCAGGTAGATTGGCTCTGTGTACAATATTTATTGGCACGGCAATAGTACAGCGATTGTACTGGAGTTTTTGTTAGGTCTTCTGCACAGTGAATACAAGAGGAACTAGTACAAAGTTGTAAGCATTTTATATGTATCTACGTACTTACTGTTTACGTTTAGTTTCGCATATCTATTTTCTATTTATCTATTTCATCTTAAAATAGCTGGGTAGCCCATTCAACTAGACGGACTAAATCGCACCCCTAGCGGCCCACCCGAGTAACCGGCTCCCGTCCCTGGCGTCAAGAACTGACGTGTATAACGTGTAGAAACTGCTTTGCAATAGGGCCCGGCATGCACTTACATAGGACAAGACATGGTTAATGTTACATTTAGTCAAGCAGCAAAAGATGGACAACAGTCAAATAGAACGTCCAAATAGAATATTAACATTTCATATTTCAACACTTTTACCAGTTTTCACACCGTAAAGACGATCCCTAAAATATTAATTGATTCGATAGCATCAAATGTATTCGTTCATTTAGAGCTTTCCTGTTATCGTCCTATTTCACCGGGCAGGCAGTTTATCAGTCCTGCGTAATCTCCAAGCAGATCCTAGGGTGGCAAAATACAGTATCAAATGGGCCAGAGGGGGCCCAATACGCCGGACAAGGATCTGCAGAAAGTCTCAAGCATCAATGCATCATAAACCAAATCACTCAAACACATTACAGTCTTTCTACGAGTACGTGCGAACTGCGAAGCCCTTGGGTGGCGTATTGCACCCTCTCTGGCCAATGGATACTGCCTTTTGCCTTCCTAGGATCTGCTTGGAGATAATGCCGTGCAGACATGTCAACACAGACTGGCGGGTAAACATGATCAGGCCGCACCTTTGGACCGGCTGCCTTATCAACAGCGCCATTTGTTGCGTGTTTGTTTATTCCATTATTTTTACCTAAAGGAACCCCCTGACTATCTACTTCAGCATTTCTTAACGTAACTAAATACCACAAAGGCAGAATATGCCTCAACGTAACTAACCACCATAGTGAGGCGGATAGATGCCATACATCGATGAAAGTAAATTTGACGAAAATATATATTACTTTTATAGAAATTCGGAGTGAAATGCAAGTTCTTCATTAAACAAATGTCAGCTATACATATGTATGTACCACAAGTTGTTATCAACGTTATAAAGTTGTTAGCAACATAATCTTTTATACTGCCTGGCCTTCTCTTAAGATTACATAAATTGCATGTGTGAAATTCATATCTCTTGGCAACAATCCAAAGATATTTATCTTTTATGAACATGTAATGACAAACTGTTACTGTAGTTTTCCTACCCAGCTTCAGATAAACATTTAGTAAACCACTTTAGCTACAAGTTTTGTAGTCAACGCATATGTCGACCAAGACATGTAAACTTAATGCGGATTTTGCTGATGTTCAGCACCATACCTTCAGCCATAGTGGATGAGACAGCCGTTCTGGAGTCCCTGTTATGGCTGTTTATCCGCTTACCTGGACCAGATTGTAAGTAGAGCAAAAAGAAAGTCAGATATAACGTTACATGTGTTTGTACAACTTATACATGGGTTGTTATCAGCATTAATTTCACCAAGAAATGTAAACACGAATTTTGCTAATGTTCAGCGCCATACCTGCAGTCTCAGTTGATCAGACAGCCGTTCTAGAGTCCCTGTTGTCCGGTTTATGCCCTGTTGTGGTTGTTTATCCGCTAACCTGGACCAGAAGTCCGGACAGACCCGGAGCCCAACATGGCGACCGCCGCCACATCACGAGACACAAACAGGTGCGCCGGTCTGGGGACTTTGAACTTTTATCACCAGACGTGTGTTTGTCGTCTGCTTGGTTAGTAAGCTACGTCAGGGAGTTTGGCGCGAATATCAAAACGCTTAGAGTCCGTCTGGGGCAAAGTAACGGCAGATCAGGCGGTTGGCAACTAAAAATAAGTTTCTGGCTCATTCTGCAACGGCACGCCTAGACGTGAGGTTACTTTTCAATACCAATAACAGGCGTTCGTTGAGGAAATCATTGCCAGATTCAAGAAATTACCAAACGTTTTCCTACCCTCACTCCTCTGGCACTAATCGAAGAAAATGCTAACTGCGCCCCAGTTGCATAAAATACTTCTTTTGTTGCTCAAAGTTTCATTTTCTTGTCATGCAACCGGCGACGCTTAAAATGTGATTCACTGCTTAGTCTCTCTACACATGTCTGTATCAGCAGCATCAAGCCAACAACGCATCCAGGCTAGGTCTCTACTACGGGTACCGTAGAGAAAAAAACACGTACAGCGTTTCCAGTTGATTCCTAGCTTGTCTAAACGAAAGCATGAATGAATACACACGACACTTATGTAATAAAATGATAGCCTTTATTCAAATAGTCCAGTGCAAAAGTGCACATTGTCTCCTAATTCTGACGTGCAAGAATAAAAAAGTGCAAAGTAGCTGTGCAAAAGTATATACATTTCTAGGTCTTCACACCATAATTTCATTGCAATGATCTTATATCTAGCTATTGCAGGGATATTTTATACAAATATGACTGTGAACATTCTCAACATTGCACCTTAAAATTTACATTCATTGCTTCCATCTGAAAATTTTAGATAAATTTTGAGAAATAGAAAAATAGTTGGCCCTTTGATTCCACCCCTTTACTGCACATGGAACAGTCCGATGCTGTGAAATGCATGCCCAGATTCCTACAGTATCGATGTTCCTTCAACCTTTACAATTTACTAGTACTTGGGCCAGAAATTTTACAGTATAATTTTCTATTTTCCAAATTATGTACAGTCATCATGAATTATCTACAAATTCTATATCCTAAATATCTATTGTGAAATAAAAATTTTATCTCTGTGTTAAAAGGCAAAAATAGTAAGAACATCACAAATCTAAACGCTACAAAGTAAAAGTAAAATTGACACAAAATCCTTTTGATACACTTCAGTGTGCAACATTGGTGGGAAGGTTGTACTGCATAGTATCACATCTCTGGCTTCAACATTATATCCATGCCTGCCAACACAGTATTCTGGAGTTGGCTAACTTGGCTTATAAAAGTGTAAAATACTGTAAAACTGATACTGCATAGCTTATTGCTTAGTAAAAGCAGCCTTTAATGTTGAGCTTGAAGGCTGAAAGTTGCTGAACATGATTTCTTGTAGCAGGGGGTTGTAAAGTTGAAGCAAAATTGGCAGCTAGCTATTTTGGATCAATGTTCTTTATAGTACCATGGCACATTGTCGTTTTGTAGTTTCTGTTGAGTAGCAGCTGACCAATGATGATGATGGAGTTTCTGTTATCGCATGTCAATTATGTGGTTACCACGAGGGACGAACAAGGATGTGGTTTCCATGGAAACTGAGGTTTATATAGCGACCATGGCGTCCTGTTTCTTGCTGACCTCTGCCTAAAGGTGCACAATGCGGCAGGTGAGATGACTGATGATGAGTTTCCATTATCTTATGTTAATTTTGCGCTTGCCATGGTGATGTATTTATGATGATGATGATTTTCCGTGATGTTAACTTTGCAGTTTCCATGGTAACAGGGGTTTACTTGGCGCTCATGGCGTCCTGTTTCTTGCCGAGCTCAGCCTCGAGCTGCGCGATGCGGCGGGCGAGGTTCTCCCTGCGGAGCTGCAGCGTGGCCAGCTGCTGCTGAGACTGCTCCAGGTGGGAGGGGGACGACGCGCCTGCGGAGAATATACAGACTGGTCAGAACTAGTGTACACAATATACAACAACATGAACAGTAGGACAAGGGGAGATAATACAGCCAGATCAGACAATATGCAACTGTGACAACAACAGCACAAGAAGAGGACAAAATATGGGCTGGCCAGAAGTGAACCAACATGTTGATATGCAACAACAGGGCATGGGGAGAAAATACTGGCTGGTCAGAACTCACTCATAGCAGACTTGAATACTTGGCTTGTACATTTATTACAATAGGACATGGGTAGGAAATACAGGCTCATCAGAATATTGAGTAGACTGGAACATTTGCAACTGTACAGCAACAGGACATGTCCTACCAACTACCCAATCATACAAATGTAGAACTCTACAGACAACAGTCATTTTCCCCTTGTACCATCCTGGAGTGGAACTGTCTCCCACTGGACATGGCCCTCTGTTCCACCTTGGAGGGCTTGGAGTCACAATTATAATTTATTCCTGCGCAGTAACTTACAATATTGGTGATATCATCTTCATGAAACTGAAGGTGGTCGCCACAACAGAAAGAAGAGAAGAACGTACCAGCCATGGCCCTGTCGATACCAGCGCTGAGTTCCTGCTCAGACTTCACCACCTGGGTCAGCTCTTCGGTCAGGTGGTCCAGCTTGCCCTGCAGGTCGTTCACCTGTGACCTGAGCAGGTCCCTGTGGCTGCGGAGGGCTGCGGGTGCTGCAGGAGGTTTGGTGGTCCTGCGGAGGGAAGGGTGGGCCATCGTCAAACAAACAAACAAACAAACAACACTGATTACTATACAAAAAGGTTCTTCATTCTTCATCAACCAGTGGGTTTTCAGATCCGATGTTTTGGTGACCATCTGTCATCTTTTTCTGGGCAACAATAACTGGTTCTGATTCAAATTCCAGCTAGGTGCTCCTGCTGCAGTGTTATACAATGTGTAAACGAGTCCAAAATGGAGAGACCTGTCACATGACGTTGAATGTGAAAATGCACTGGTTGTTGAAACTTTCTTGTAAAGCCTCTTTTGCCAACAAAATATTCACAGAATCTGACGGAACACTGATTGTTAGTGCTGCAAAGATTGCAAATGGCTTTACGATTTTCAATGAAGACAAATTTATGTCCTCTTGGAAGGCAAATCAGCACCCTACAATCTAAAGAAGCATCAGCTAGGTAACCATTAAGCCTTAAGGATCACCACAAGCTCCCCTCACCTGTCCTGAGCTTCTTGTGGCTCCTTCTTGCCCCGGAGTTGTCTCAGCTTGGCAGCGATCACGTCAGTAGCCGGTCCAGACCGGTTCTGACCGGTCAGCGCGCCGCGTAGCTGCGAGTTCCCGCTGAAGTCCTGGTAGTTTGCCATCCTCTCAGATACATGCTGCATGGAAACAAAGGGATTAGCAAATATGATTTTTGACGAGTATTTCTCTACAAAGCACACGATGAAAAGCTTAACTAGCTACTCTGGGGGGCTTTCGAGATGCACTATGTCTCTTCTTCAACCTGGTAAAGGTCTTGGAGTTCTCTTATTTGCAGCTGAACCAAATTTAGCTTGAATGAAGTTCTTGTCTCTGGTGTAACATGAGAAGGATGGCATTTTCAGAAAATACAGGTTTGAGTTTAGGTGTGAATTCCTGCTAATGCTCTGGTAATTTGTCATGTCCTCTAAGATACATGCTAACGGAAAATGGGTAATGAATGAACCTGCACCCAGTTTCAGCTTAAATGATTGAATCTTTTTGTGCTTTCTTGTCAAGTACCAACAGGCCTGAGTCAATGCGTGTGTTGACGTTGTACATAGAATGAAGCTCAAGAGTGCAACTGTCTTTTCTAACTTGCTGCATCTTTGTTCGGGAGTCAACAACAGCAAAACTCAACTTTTTCTCTGATTCTGTCTTGTTCCGTTAACGCACTTTACATCTTAGTATACACAGTTTTGGGGAGTGAATAAATTGCTTTCCTACAAACCACTGTGTCAATTATCTTGATCTCCTGCTGAATTCCTTCTTACAAATGTCAGAGAACCACAGAACTAATTTGTTTTGGCCTTTTTAAAGTTAAAACGTTTGGTGCAACACAAAAAATTCTCTCACCTCGAGCTTTCGACCAGTCACTCTTTCGACTAGTCACTCTTCTTCCTCAGTCGTCTACTAGACTGAGGAAGACCAGAGTGACTGGTCGAAAGCTCGAGGTGAGAGAACTTTTTGTGTTGGACCAAAAGTTTTAACTCTAAACATGTAACTGCCAACACAGTTGAACCTTAATGATTGTTTTGGCCTTAATTACCTGTGAGGAGAACTCTGCCTCGACCGGCGCGGTGACCTTGGTGTTGATGAGTTCGCTGACGACGTGGCCGCGTTTCTCCGAGGTCGCGCTGTGTCGGAAGGCTGCCTCCAGCGCTGTCCTGCCATTGGCCGGCCGCCCACCAATCAGGGCTGAGCTGGTGTTGGTGGAGCGCGAACGGGAGAAGAACATGTCCTGGCAGCACAGCTTCATGGCCTGGGGAGAAACGATATAGAACATTCACATTTAACCTCACTGAGGGCCTGGGGAGGAAAAACACAATCTCACTGAAATCACACTTAAGTGTCAGAAATTGTATGACATTGTATGCCGAAATGCCAGGTTTGTACATTTGTTTGTACATGCCTTTGAGCAATAAGACCTGAGCTGATATCAGACCATTTTTGGATCACAGATATAACATGGCTAGTCTTGAGCTTATATTATCTACAATCCTTACTGTCACTGAGATCACAACAAATTTTTCAACTGACTCGTGACTGAGAAACAAGGTACACTTATCAAAGTTACTTTCAGTCCATGATGAAAAGTAGTCAGGATGCTATTTGAAAAGTCTACTGTTTAGAGCTTTTATCCACATATTTTTGTACAAATTGAAATCTCTGAAGTCCTAACCTTGTAGAACTCCCGCAGGAAGTAAGGGTTGTTGTCGTCTGCCAGGTCGTTGACCTTGATGTGGGCCAGACAGTGGAGCAGAACAACGACGAACTCACCCACGGACTCCATACGCTCCTGGAGGGGGGGAGACAGAACAGGGGACAGAACAGGACAGGTTAACACACTAATACACTGCAATGAACTTATTCAACTACTCATTCTCTGCTTAAACTTTAAATCATAATTGTCATAATTCAATATACTACTTAGGACTACATGTGTACTACCAAGAGGTACTTATTTTCATCTCGGTAGGTTTTCTAAGGGCACAATATTGGGGCCTGCCAGGGATTCAAACCCAGAACCTTCAGATTCTGAGTAAGCAACTCTAACCACAAGACCATCTTGCCACAACCTGGTGCCTGTTCCTAGGTCATTGTCAAAGGCAAGTAAAAGTCTTAAGCAGTATCAGTATCCGCCTTGCCTACTGGTACAGGAAGACTACATGTTACTGTGTCTGGACCTGTACCTAAACCTTTGTACTGGTACCTGTACCTGTGCCCATACATGTTGTACCTGATGTTACATTGTACATCTACAGTGTATTAGGTAAATTATGCAGTTCTAGTTTAAAACAACCACCCACCTTCCTAATGAAGAGTATCCTCCTGGCATGTTGGTACAGGAAAGAGTGACGGAAGGCGTTCCTGTGGTAGTCGTTGGGCGGCAGGTTGGAGGCCAGCAGCAGGGTGACCTCAGGCGACCCCAGATGGCGGGCGAGCAGCTGGGTGATGAACACGCCGAAGCGGTACACCACAAAGTGGCTGGGCGTGAGGTCGTTAAGGTCAACGGCCATCAGGTCACCCGAGCACAGCCACTGCGCGTCCTTGATGTCTAGGTACGGCCGGTCTGTCTTCGCACCTGGGGTGGGGTGGGAGGGAGTGGTAAAGAAATGAGTCTTCTCTTAACCAAGAACAATCTTTTAATCTTTTTAAAAATTTTTTCTATGTTTTTTTCTGGTTATAAGATCATTGCAGTTTTTTTAAAACCGTTAACTTTTGTATGGTAGCCTTTTCTTTGTCCTATCTTTTGGGAGCATTGTTAAGTGAACCTTCTATGCAACCAAGTGAGTAAACTTGTTGGCCAAAAAAAATAGTCCTCCTAGTTTGGTCAATTTTTTTTGTTCAGGCACCGAATGAATTTGGCAAAAATGTACACTTCAGGTTTTGCCTTAATATGCTTGGTATCATCACCCACTTATCTTTGCCCTGACTGGTACTTGCCCTGTAACTTACCGATGACGTTACCACCAGGCAGTGTGTTTTTCAGCATATCCTCTATCTCGGTGATGTGTTGGAACAGTGGAGATTTCACCAGAAGGTCCATAAAGTCCTGCTCCTGGGGTGACCCCGCCGGGAACGGCAGCTTCAGGTCACCCGGGGGCAACGCAGGGCCTGATGGGATACCCGACCCCTGACCCTCCTGGTCAAGGGCGTTGGGCGTTGAAGGTCGCAGCATCTGGTTGTTGGTCCTCTCGAACTCTTTTGCACCTGGAGGGGGGGGGGTGATGTTCCATGTTACCTTACAGGGGAAGTTTTACCTTACAAGCCTGGAGAACTGAAATAGTAGGAACTGCTGCCAGGCATCGAAGCACACTGATTCAGGGTACATGATTCAAGTGAGAAGTAAGACTACCACACATTTTCAGATCTTCATACAGTGTAGGTCTTTCTATCTCCTTTGTACTCTTCCCGTTACTCCTCTGTATAGCCTTTAAAAGTGGTCGTCTCACCCCAGTCTAGAACTTGTAGGAACTACTTCCAGAAGTCAAAGAAAACAGATTCTGGGTGCATGACTTTAGGTTAAGTGAGAAGTAAGACTACCACATTTTTTCAGCTGTTCACATGTCTTCTTCTTCCCTTCTCCTCCCTTTCTTTCCCTCCATCCTCTCCACTCCCATATTTATCCCCTCCCCTCTCTAAACCTTCTCCTCCCACCCTGTCCAAGTCCTCCCTTCTCCTCAGTCCCTCCCCTCAGCCCCTCCCCCTAAAGCTACCTTCCACACTGATCCTGTTCAGCTGTTCGTTGGCTCTTCTCTCCTCCTCATACTCCTCCTTCTTCCCCTCCTCCTCGATCATGGCCAGCTGAGCCTTGCGCTTCTTCTCTCGACGGGCCTCCAGCTTAGCCTGGGGACAGGAAGACACGAGGGTAAGAAACAAAATGACTTAGAGAGAGGACAGGGGGAAGGCGTGGGAGTTAGAAAAAATATCTTTAACTGGCACAAGAGGTACATTTTGTAGGAAGTGCTCAAGCGACAGCAGGCAAGACATTGCATTACATGAACTGTTGGTCAGATGTTAGAATATGGTACCTCATCACCATTTAGATGCTATAAAAATAGGACAAACTGGACAAAAACAGGACTAAGGGTGACATGTATGACAATGTTTGCAGAAAATGTATCTTGTCTTTATTTTATCTTATTTTTTATTTTCCGGCCTTTTGTATATGTGCCATTAAGTTATTGCACTTCTTTTCAATGGGGCCCTGTTTTACGCAACAAAACATAACTGTCATATACAAACAAGCTTGAATGTTCAGACACGTGTTTTGATTCTCAATGGGGATCATGTTTGAACCTTACACTTCAATGTATGGATATTTAACTACAATGTTGTATAATTTGCCCCTGACCTTGAGCGCGGCCTTGCTCCTCTCCTGGTCCTTCTGCATGGCTTCGTTTAGCTTCAGCATGTTTTCCTCATGCTCACGGAGAAGTTTCTGTAATAAACAAACAGTCAACAAATGTTACAGAATATAACTCCAACTCCTTATGTAGGAGTTTCTGTAACAAACAGTCAATAAACATTGTCATATATTAATCCTCATGTGAGTTTCTATTGGTGTAAAAGATGACAGGTATTTAGATAAACAGCAACACCAGCAGTTGTCTGCCTTTTGTTTGTCTACGTATTTATGAATTATCGTGTAAACTTCTAGTCTCCACCGTTCCTGTGAAGAAATAGTTTAATAAGAAACTGTGTTGTCTCACTTCCAGCTTCTACAAGTGAAAATGAGAGGTCATTAACACCAGCCTGAGTGCAACATTAAAACATGAAGATTCCTTTATGGTGAACAAGGATTTTTTGCATCAATCCAACTATATTATATACAGTGAATTTCTTCATGATAATATATGTGATGCCAGGGCTATATTTAAGCAGCTAATCTGCTGAAGCTTAGCTACACTGTTCTCGAACACACCCTTGCCACTCGTCAAGAGTTTTCTCTCTATATGTGTGACAGAAACACCAGTCTGAAACTGTGTTATTTGTATAATTATAGTTCTCTTTCCTCTCTACATGTACTGTACACTTGTGACAGAAACACCAGAGGCTGAAACCGCATTATTACACTGAAGCAGCCCTATAACTTTTCTCTCTAAATGTGACAGAATCACCAGGCTGAAACCGCATTATTACACTGAAGCAGCCCTACTCTACTTTTCTGTGTGAAAGAATCACCAGGCTGAAACCGCATTATTACACTGAAGCAGCCCTACGGTAAACTCTACTTTTGTGTGTGACAGAAACACCAGGCTGAAACCGCATTATTACACTGAAGCAGCCCAGACTCATGAGCGCGTCCAGCCTGGCCTTCAGCATGGGTCGTGCCGCGCCCTGAGCTGACCCCATCGCCTGGGTCAACGACCTGTACTCCGCTAGAAGCCGCTGATGTTGGACAGGAAACAATGGTTATAAATAATGTTAGCAACAACTTCACAGGAGGCGACACATTACAGCACCTGAAATAAACTTGAGGTATCACCAATGTTGGTACTTGAAAAGTATTAAAATGTGTTACTACTACAGACCTTAAATATTCAACTCAAGCCAGCCATGCATTGTTATGCCTTTTTTCCCTCAGTAAAATAATAGCAGACCATGTTTTGCTACAGGCACTGTCAGCTTCTGGTTTGCAAGTGACAAAAAATTTTTAATCAAATTATCAAACCAAAACTTTCACAAAAATTTAACCTGCAGAACACTGGTATGTGCCTTACTTTGTTTCTACAAGCATCTTATTTATCTAAGAGACATAAAGAGAGAAGAAATCCTTAAGGCTTAATTTAGTTTATTCTCTAGTAGTTGTTCAAACTTTTACGTCATTCTGTTATTCTGTTATCCTGTTATCCTTGTATCTTATGTATCATGTTACTCAGAATGATGTACATGTAACATCACATTCTGATGTATGCATTTAGCCCCATGGGCATGAACATGCAAATAAAGATTCAATTAATCAATTATCTGTTTCTTAGTATCTACAATGTGTCTGACAATGTCTTTAAGTAAGTGTCTCTCACCTCCTTCTCGTCCTCTGTAACATTCATCTGCTCCAGTTCCTTCCTTTTCTGCTTCTCTCGTTCCTCCAGCTGTGTCTTCGCTCTCTTCTCCCGGTCGGCCAGCCTCTCCTGCTCTCTCTTCTCATCCCTCCTTCTCTCCTCCTCAATCTCCTGCTCAAGGGCACTGCAGGGGGACGACAATTTATTTATGATTTTTTAATCCCTTGTCCTGAGGGGCCCATATATATGGGTTGCACAATATATCATACAGTACCATCTATACATAGTTACAGTTCTAGACAGCTACCTTTATCATGTAGAATTTAGTTATTTTATATTCTATTTCATTGTTGTTTTATGTTTTGTAATTTGCAATTAGCCTCCGGGCACGAATTGGCAATAAACTTTTCTTCCATCTATATAGCACCCTGTATAATGTACGATTGGGTTTTTTCTCATGGAACACATCACACAGGGAAACACAAGAAAAGAGCAAGTAACTATGCCACAGCGGGGCAAAAAAAAGTCTAAGGGTCTATGACCTGATTGAAACATGAAATCATCTGAAAATATTGTTTTAAAAATGCCAGCAGGACAAGAGATTTATCTAATGAAGATCTACCACATTTGTGGAAGGACACAACACCACCTGTAAGATTTGATCTAGTCTCACCAGTAAAGACCCATTAAGTTTTCAATAAGTGTGCTGGGATCTTCAACATGCTCAAGGTGTGGTTTTTCATCTCAAACTCTGGCTTTGCATAGAAAGAAACATTGGTTTGAAAAACAACCATTCCAGCCTTTGATATCTTATTCTGAACCTGAGCGTGCAGGCTCCTCACCTGACTTGGTCCCTGAGTTTCTTCTTCCTCTCCTCCTCCTTCCTCCTCCTGTCCTCCTTGATCCTCTCCATCTGCTGGTTCAGTTCCTTCATCTTCGTCTCCCGGAAGTCTCGAGCCGCTTCTGCTGCCTTCTCCGCGTCCTGGGTGTACTGCTCAATAAGGGCAGCCTGGGGAAGGGGGGGTGTGTGCTTCATTACAACAGTTACAGGGACACAACAAACAGCCTAAAGATGGTGGAAGGAGAGGGATGGGCTCCACCTTCCAATACTGTGGACTAACAACTCACTGCCCCTTTGGCCTCAAAAAGGTACAGGTCTACCTTTACCCTTACTTTCTTGCCCTTGCCCTCTACTATGTCATTGCTGTACACCCATTGCTACAGTTTGAACCCCAAACCCCCATAGAGACCCCCATCCCTGCAGGTAGCCCCCCATACAGACCCCCATCCCTGCAGGTAGCCCCCCATACAGACCCCCATCCCAGCAGGTAGCGCACCTGTTCAGGTGAGAGGTTCTTCATGGCGTCTGCCAGCTTTTTCAGCTGTTTCTCCCATTGCTGTACATTGCTACAGTTTGAACCCCTAAACCCCATACACTCATCCCTGCAGGTAGCCCCCCATACAGACCCCATTCTCTGCAGGTAGCCCCCCATACAGACCCCCATCCCTGCAGGTATCCCCACCTGTTCAGGTGAGAGGTTCTTCATGGCATCTGCCAGCTCCTTCAGCTGTTTCTCCCGCAGCTCCAGGCGCGCGTGTGCGTGGTCGATCTGCAGTGACGGCAGAACGTCCCTCTCAGCCTCCGCCAGCAGGGCCGCCGTGCGCTTCTCAAACTCTGACAGCTGTTTCTGGGGGGACAGGAGACAATAAGGAGGTTTTAGGCATGCAAGAAAGTTCATCTGAGTTGGTAAAATACATAATGAGAATTAAACTGTTCTCCAACTCAAGAGAATTGATGTCAGATGTGGGTAAAAGTCACGTGTCTACAGCACTTGAGTCAGAAAGCTGATGAAGACCGAGTGATTTGGTCGAAAATACTAGTGAGTCAATTTTCTTGAGTAGGAGAACAGTTTAATTATTATTATTTAGGTTTTAGGAAGTTGGAATGGCCTAACAGTAACAAAACTCCTGTTCTCTCTATTCATTCATACAATATATGGTGACCAGCCTCTCCAACTCTTTCCTGTGACTGAATGCAATTTGTTTGGAAGAAGGAACAGAGCAAAACAAAATTGAACAGCTACCTTGTGTGCCTGCTGTAACTCTGCCTTCCTCTTGGCCAGTTCTGGGGCTGCCAGGGAGCCGGCATTGGTCACCAGCTCAAGCAGCTCCTGTGAACAACAGCAGAAAAATTCAGCTAGATGTATCATATTAAAGTCATCCTACTACAAAATCTGTATCAGTGTATATCTGTACATGAATCTGTATCTTTGCATGAATATGTATTCTGTGCATGAATTTGTATCTGATTGCAAATAAAGATATCGAGTGATTCCCCTATAATCATATTAAAGTACATTATGTATTCATCTTGATAGTAGGCATGTTTATGTCTAGTTAGTTCATTGGATATTGAGTCACTTTGAAGTCTCCATTTTGTGTTGCTACTAAACAATCATTCAGAAAACTGATAAATCTATCTATAAGTCTATGCGGACAGGTGGTCACTATTTGACTGAGGATCAGCTAAACACAAAGCATAATCCTAAATCTGCTTGTGTTAAGCTGCTGAGCCTAAATAGCGCCCCCTACCTGCTCCTGTTGGGACACCAGCCTGTCCCTGTCCTTATATAGAGTCAGAAGAGCGCCCCCTACCTGCTCCTGTTGGGACACCAGCCTGTCCCTGTCCTTATATAGAGGCAGAAGAGCGCCCCCTACCTGTTCCTGTTGGGACACCAGCCTGTCCCTGTCCTTATATAGAGGCAGAAGAGCGCCCCCTACCTGCTCCTGTTGGGACACCAGCCTGTCCCTGTCCTTATACAGAGGCAGAACAGTGCCCCCTACCTGTTCCTGTTGGGACACCAGCCTGTCCCTGTCCTTATATAGAGGCAGAACAGTGCCCCCTACCTGTTCCTGTTGGGACACCAGCCTGTCCCTGTCCTTATATAGAGGCAGAAGAGCGCCCCCTACCTGCTCCTGTTGGGACTCCAGCCTGTCCCTCTCTTTGAATAGAGGTGTATACAGTACTTGAGAGAAGCCTGAACTGCTTGTGTTTAGCTGATGAGCCTAAATAGCGCCCCCTACCTGCTCCTGTTGGGACACCAGCCTGTCCCTGTCCTGCTGCCTGCGCTCGGCTGCCTGTGCTCGCGCTGCGGCCCTTGCTGCCTCCGCTTCCCGTCTCTGCTGCTCGTCCAGGCGAACTGTCTCCTTCAGGTGCCGCTGCTTCAAGACGCGGTAGATGATGTTCTCCGCCTTCTTACCGTCCTGACCTTGGATGGAGTCCGCCAAGGTCGACTTCTCGTGGTCCAGCAGCTGTGAGGAGTGGAGAAGGTAATCAGTAACTATACATGTACATTGTATACAGTGCATGAAATTTCCTTCAGTGGTGTACTTTACATTAAATTTGGTGAAAGATGAAAACAAGAATCTGATTGTAAGCACCACCCTATAAATATAAGCCCAGCTCTACATATGTACTGTTACGTACCTGCTGAGTTGCGAGGTTCTCCCTATCATTTTGACAAAATATTTATACATATACACACAACAAAAGTTCAGCTATGCTGGGGAGCTTTTGAGACGTACTCTGTCTCTTCATCAACCCGATTAAGATCTCGTCTTATCCCTATCCAATTGTTGCTGCATCAGAACCTGGGCCATCTCAGCTCGGTGCTTCTCTGAACCCCCCTATAAGACCCCCCCTGTGAGACCCCCCTATAAGACCCCCCTGCTGCGTACCTGCTGAGTTGCCAGGTTCTCCCTGTCCTGTTGCTGCTGCATCAGAACCTGCGCCATCTCAGCCTGGTGCTTCTCGGCCAGCTGTGCTGCCTTCTGACGTTTCCTCTCCTCCAGCTTCTTAGCCAGCGTGTTCTTCTGACGCTCTTTCTCCTGAGGAAGAGACCAAAGAATTCTTGATACTTTGCATATAAGACTCGTTGATTAGAGTTTTCACCAAGCTTTAGAATAAATTTCAATACATTTTGTTAGCCTGGTATTGGTCCTATTCTATAGCTGCTCTAACTGCTTTGATGGACTGGTATCCTCATCCCTATCCTCATTCAGACATTTAGCCTGATAAAGTTTGTGTTTGTGTATTGAGATCTGTGAGTCAATTTGGTTGCCTGTACAACAGATATTGTGGAAGCTATTTAAGCCACCCTGACTACATCACTCATATAATATTTGTTTGCTTGGTCATCTCAGCTGGCACACCAAAGGCACAACCTCATATGTGGTTACAATGCTAACTGAGGCTTGGTGATTTAGAAGACAGATATAATCAACTATGTGGCCCCTTACTCAAGAACTGCAACCAGACCTCTTCTTGCATTGGACAGGGTAGAAAGCTGGCAGACATCTGAATTTGCAGACTGAAATTGCTGTGGAATTTATCTGTCACTATTGAGTGAGGATATGTGAAGTTGACAAGCAGACTTAGTACACCTCATGTAAATTGTAAGCCTGGCAGACAAATTTCCTGACTAGAGACAAAGACAAGTAGCTGTTGTATACTATAGCAAAGCCACCCTGCCTACACCACATCTACTGTCCAACCTGCCACAAGTCTGCTAACAGTTGGAGCAAACCAGACACTTCTCCATGGGGTAGCTTGTACATGGGAGGAGGGGTTCATAACAGCCATCATCAGGTAAAAAATGTCATTTTATGAAAGACATACACATCATCCTCATCATCCTCATGATGTCTCCGGATCATTTAATCTGATGAGGTACACTTGATAAAGTTACTTCAGTATGCCCTATCCCTCATAGAGGACACTAGAGCAGTCCCTGTGAGACTAGCATCTCTCACTAACATTGACAAAAGTGTAGACATAGACATAGACATACACACTGACAAACATTTTGCAAAAGCTGAAAATTCCATAACTTTTAATTCTATATCGCTGTAACAAATGATAGAAATGTTCAGCAGTCTGTCCATTTACCATAGAAGCAGATGTGTTTGATCTAAAGATTTAACTCTAAACATGTAACTACCAACACAGGTGAACCTTCATGATAGATTCTGACCTTGTCCATGTTGTCTGCCATTTTCTCCATCTCCTGTTGGTGAGCAGCCAGCATCTGTTTCACCTGATCCTCCGTCAGGTTCTGTTCCTTCTTCTTTAGCACCAGGTCCCGCTCAAACTGGGCTTTCTGCTGGTCCAGGAGCTGTAAACAGACAGTCAACATGTACAACATGTAAACAAACAAACAAACAAACTACTAGGGCCTTCTGCTGGTCAAGGGGCTTGCTACAAACAGTCAACATGTAAAGAAATACACAAACTAACACACAACAACTGATTCTACCCTATGATGGTCCTATGATTGCCCAAGAGAAGAATCATAACTTAGTGTCTACATGTATAACTAAAAGGAAACTATCATATACATGCACACAAAGTAACAAACCAGCACATCCCAGTAAGATGGCATCTCTTGATTTTTCATTAAAAATTTAAGATGGACAAAACAGCATAGAACTCTTTACCACATGGGTTACAAACAGTGTCATCACATGAGAAGTTCAAACAAGGCCTACTAAAGCACATGAGGGACAGAACAGCCACTAATGGGGGCCCGCAAGCCCTTTTCCGTAGAGCGTAATCGGCCATTTTAATTCTACGTAGAGCGTAGACGGACCGCTCTTCGCATTTTGCGTAGAGCGTATTGGCCGTTTTAATTCTACGTAATGGGTTGTAGCCACTTGGAATATATCGTAAAGCGTAATCAAGGGTTCCCGAATTCAACGTAGAGCATTGTCGGGACCCCCCTTGCAGGCCCCCACTAATGGGTGGGCACCTAAAGGAGGGTTGTTCCACGATAAATCAAAATCAACAGCGAACATTTTCTCTCATCTATTGTGGTCTTCTTTTGCCCCAAAAAGCTGAGTTGTAACCATTGTAAAAGGAAACATAATGATATAAATGCAAACAAAGAAACAAAAGAACATATCCTGATAAGACGCGTATGGCACCTCTCGATGTTTCAATACTCGATAAAAACGTAAGATGGATGAATTTTCTCTCACCAGTTTCTTCTGGTCCTCCATCTGTGTCTCCACAGCGACACTGCTGTTCTCCAGCTCCTGGTCCAGCCTCCTGCCGGCCTCCCGGTCCTCCTGCCGCTGTCGGGTCTCCAGCGCGGCCTGCTCATCCACCTGCTGCTGGTGCAGGTTCTCCACGGCTTGACCAGCTGCCGCGTCAGAATCCGTCTTTTCTTTGATCTGGTCAATCGCGTCAGATGCTTCTGCCAGCCCTCGCGCCGCCTGGACAACATGGGTGGATTAGGAAGGTCATGCAAATTGTTCAGACTTTGGTTTGGAAAAGCAGGATTTATTTATTTATTGGTTCAGCTGTACAGAGGACAGCCAAGGTTGCCCAACTAGTGCCAGGACTATTTATAAAGCAGGATGAATTCCTGGTTTATCAAAGGACAATGGGCTCCCGGGGGGAGGATGGTTATCGTATCCAGAACTGTGCCTATCTAGTTCCATGCTTGATTGGGTTTGGGTTGGGATCAGGCACGGTTCTGGATAGTCTCTATCGTATCCAGAACTGTGCCTATCTAGTTCCATGCTTGATTGGGTTTGGGTTGGGATCAGGCACGGTTCTGGATAGTCTCTATCATATCCAGAACTGTGCCTATCTAGTTCTATGCCTGAATGGGTTAGGGTTAGGATCAGGCACGGTTCTGGATAGTCTCTATCGTATCCAGAACTGTGCCTATCTAGTTCCATGCTTGATTGGGTTTGGGTTGGGATCAGGCACGGTTCTGGATAGTCTCTATCGTATCCAGAACTGTGCCTCTCTAGTTCTATGCCTGAATGGGTTAGGGTTAGGATCAGGCACGGTTCTGGATAGTCTCTATCGTATCCAGAACTGTGCCTATCTAGTTCCATGCTTGAGGGGGTTTGGGTTAGGCTCAGGCACGGTTCTAGATAATCTGCGTGTATCCACTAACGTAGATTTGCCCCACTTGCATCACAATTTGGAAAACATCTTTAACACATGCATTACATTTCACTTCATGTAAATCTAATGTGCGTTGTTTCCATTCCTTAAAACAAATCCAGCTACATAGGGTGAGGGGAAAACAAGTATTAGGACGTTAGGTTGGTTTGGGTTACTTCAAAAACAAACCGCAAGCAGACCACACCAGTGTACCAAGTACTCTCCAAGCAGAGGTTTGGGCTATGGCTCATTTTTTACATGTACGTAGTCATTTTCATAGAGATTTTTTTTGGCACTGGTATCTTTTTTTCCCAGTTGCATGTTGAATACTGTCTTGCTAATTTGATACTATTTTGACAATTTCATACTGTCCTATAGCCACCAAAAGATCTGCTTGGAGATGTACATGATTATATGATGAACAAAACCACATGTGCAGGTTAGTGTTAGACGATTTGTACAAAGTACCACAGCCTCGTCCACCTCAACTCTCCTTGTGGGGATGAAGATGAAATGTTAGAGTTATATTGATCAGGAATCTGATCTGATTGATTAGGCTGTTAGACCGTTAGTGCTGCCATCCCGGGGTTACTTAAGGTCGTTGTCATGACAACAAGCCTACCTTGTCCACTTCCTTGAGGGGATCCTTCAGGTGAGCATGAGGAGGAAAACAGTATGTTTACTGCCAGTAATCATGGAGGGATTGTTGAACTATCGACAGCAGTTACCAGCTGTACCAAATCAAAGCATGGTATTTTACATACATTGAGCTGCTCTAGAAGAAAAAACTAAGCATGTTTATCTTCTACAGAAAATGAAATGGTTACTCACTTGTCAATATCAGCCAAAATTAAAATTATAATTATTTTAGCATTATGCCTAAAGAATAAGTGTGAGTTCTTTGGTTAAGAAGTGTCATAACTGAGCATCTCAAATGAACCATGCTGCAGGTTAAGGTAGTGTTATAAAAATTAACATTCTAACAATCTAAGGTCAGAATGGCACTACATGTTCCTGACAAGGAACCCAAACGAATGAGCAAATATCCAGTGCTTGCTAACCTGTGCTTACTTATAAGTCACTTTGCTACAATTAGAATCAAAGTGTCCTTCCTTTACCAAAGCTAACTATCCCTGCTATTCAGTTTTGCTAATTATATCCAGTTCGTTAATTTACCTGAGCCTTGCTAATTGTGTCCAGTTCGTTAGCTTACCTGAGCCTTGCTAATTGTGTCCAGTTCACTAGCAACAGCTGCCTCCTTGGCCAGTTCCTCCCTGTGCCGTTTCCTGGCCGCCAGCTTAGCCTGGAGTTTGTCTCTCTGTTCGTCGAGGGAGTCCTGGAACCTTCGTTCCACCAGGCCAGCTTGCTGCATGTAGTGGGCGACAGCCTGGGCTTTCTCCTCTTCTGTTAGTTCTGAGCTGGACAGCATGTCCTGGGGTGGAGAGGGGGGGGGGTGAGATCGTATGGGGTTAAAGCCAAGCCAAGAGAGAGAGTGAGAGAGTCAGGTGTAAGTGTAAAATATTCCTTATGACTACCCCTGCCTGCTGCATGTACTGTGCAACAGCCTGGGCTTTTTCTTCTTCTGTTAGCTCCGAGCTACACAGCATGTCCTGGGGGTTGTGTGAGAGACATCTTAGACCCAGGTTAGAAGTACAATGTAGGTGAGATCTGTATTTGTGTCATCTGGACATATAGCTAAAGTCACTAGTAGGAAGCAGTACAAAGAACTTACTGTCTACCTTTGACCAACCCTATGCCCAACATGATTGTGCGTTGCCAATGTATAGACTCACATCGAGGGTCTCCATGTGGGTTCTACGCTGGTCCTCAGCGTCCAGTTCATCGATAACCGCCATGAGAGCCTCCTCCTCCTTCAGGTCATCCGCATCTTGCTGGGCCTGGAAAGCTGCAGACACAACAAGGTGGGGGAGTTCATGTTCGACTTCTGTTCATACATTGTAAAGCACCCAAAACTTCTACTTTGAAAATACCCTGGTCAGACACTCTCTTCTTGGATGTCCATCGCGAAGGTCAGAACTCACTACTTTCACAAACCACATCAGTAGCAGCAATCTCTTTCACGCTGAAATACTTTGAGCATGGTAGGCTTGAAATTTGGAAAGAAGGGTCTGTGTTCAATGTTGATCTCTGTCTATGACTTACTCATTTTCACAGATGTTAGATCTGTTTTAACGACAACCAAGAGAGCATAAATTATTATAAGTTTCTTCTCAACCCCATTTTTCAACTTGAAAAATACTGCACACACAGTTAGGCTTTAAGTAGCTATCTGAAGATTCTGAAGGGAATCTAAGACACTGCCAGCACCTTCTAAGATGAGCTTCTCCTCCTCCGAGCCCTGCTCCACTCCCTCAGGAATCTCCGGCCCGTCGGCGCGGCTCCGTGTGCGCCGCTGGCGCTGCCGCTGACGCATCCGGTCCTTCATGTTCGACCTCTGACCTCGCTGGGCTGCTGACTGCTGCAGGTTGAACAGCAAAGTCAAGGTCAAGATCAAGGTTGGTCACACTCTACTGGTTTGAAACCAATACTTCTGAATCAAAAAGGATGGCTTCGAACCATGATCACACCACGTTTTCAAGCCCTTTTCAAGATAGGTCATTATCATTGGCTCATTGAATCTGGTAGGAGCCAAAGTCTTTTGTTGACACATTTCGTCTTCATTAATGATCACTCAATTATTGTCTTCCTTTGACATCTAGAGCATTTAGCAAAGAGAACACAACTGGAACCATGTTTTGATGCCGTATTGTAGTTATCAGTTCAGAGAGTGCAACAAGAGCATATTTTTTACTTTATTCTAACACATAAAAAGCCATTGTAAATGCAAATTAGGACTTCAGTAAAGAAAAGTGACGTTAGTGGTACCTTCTTCATGTCCTCCAGCAGCTTGTCAGTCTCTGCATCACTCCTGCCCATCTGCCTGTTCAGGGCGCGGATCCGAGCCTCCATCTCAGCATCCAGCTGCGCCTTACGACCGCTGTTTATCTCCTCCTGGTACCAGCAAATCAGTCAATCCATCCATCAATCAATCAATCAATCTACATGTATCAATCAACTAACCCAACCCTAAATCTCTCGCTGTTTATCTCCTCCTGGTACCAGAAAACCAGCCAATCAATCAATCAATCTATGTGCATCAACCAATCGACCAACCTGCAGCCACTCTAACCTTCCTAATATATAGTCATGTATCCTTGAATGCAAAATAACACTGCATGGTCACTTGAAGTTGATATTTTTCACAAAATACTAAATCTTTAGAAAATTTCAAAAGTTGGATCCCCAAAACAGTTACCACACATTTTGATAAAACAAAGAACTCAGAAAGATGCATAGTTTCACACTTCAACATGGCACATTGCACTTAGCTGGACAGCTAGTACCAAGTATTTGTAGAGTTTCAAAGGTCTTGAGACTAGTTTTGACAAACTAAATACCACCTTATATAATGTTCTTACTCTGAACTCCATCTGACCTGTTCCCGTGCGAGCTCCTCAGCGAAGGCCTTGTTCAGCTCAGCGATGAGCTGCTCCTGTTGCTTAGCCAGCAGCATCAGGTCCTGGTCCAACTCATCATCCGAGGGTAGACTGATCGCTGGTACCGTCTCATCCACATCCACTCCTGCTTCCAGCGCTTCTGCCCTCTGCCTCCTACACACACAGGGGAAAGAACAATCAACCATCTAACTACATCACTGGTCTAATTTATCATCAGATGGCAGACTTATCGCTGGTACTGATCTCATCCACATCCACTCCTGCCTCTAGAGCTTCAGCCCTCTGTCTCCTACACACACAGGGGAGAGAAAATCATTTGTCTATCAGTGTACACTGTACATCAGGTCCTGTTTCTGGTCACCTGCAGATTGAAGACTCATCATTGTGCTAGATGAGACTCATGCCGTTTCACTTACATCCACATCCAAGCCTTCAGGGCTTCTGCGTTTGTATCCTACAGGCAGAAGTGAGGAAGACACCATATACAATGTATCTTATTACATGATTCTTAAACCTGGTTCAGCTTTTCACAGAATATGATGTACATCAGACATTGAGACCATCTGATGACTTCAGAGTTTTCCTATCTAGATTTCCTATGCACAAAGATTAGTCAACAGGATCTTTGCAATTTCTATTTCCTAACACTGAGATGTTTTCACCATAAGTGTGTCTTAAAGACCAGACTTACTGCAGCAGGGCTCTCTTCCTGCGGACTCGCTCCTCCCTCAGCTCCTTACGCACCTTCTTCAGACGTTTCTGCTTCTCAGTCTCAAACTTCTCATTGATCTTCTGGATCTGAAGACAAGACAAGGGATGAATACAGAAAACAGCATTTGCTTTCTGCTTACAAATAACAGTCAACAAAAATACAGCATCTGCTGAGAACAGACCAACCTCCAACCAAAGTCTTACAGTACAGTGAAGAATCTACATTCTGTGCAGCCTCAAAAATGGCCTGTTCCATGTACATGTACCATGAGGAAACATGGTGTGTTACACCACAAGGCAGTTATACAGAATAGAGACTTATTAACCACTACATCTAAGACAGCCCATACCTTTTGTGCTGACTCCAGCATTGCCTGTTCCCTATCCTCATCAGTAGTACACCCAGACACATTGTGTGTTACACAACAATTCAGTTATAGCACTCACTCTCTCTCTCTGTCTTTCTCTCTCTCTCTCTCTCTCCCATACCTTAGTCAGTCGTTGGGGCAGCATGATGTTTGGCCAAAGTCTTCCACTGCTGACTGTCTGGCCATCTGATTGGCTGTTTGACCCGTTCACTCCTTTAAGTTATATGGACTAGGCAAAAAATTATATTGGAGAAAGCCCCAACCTTTTGTGCAGATTCCAGCATGGCCTTCTCCCTCTCCTCATCAGTGGTGCACCTGCGCAGCTTCTCCTTGAGCTCGGCCTGCACCTGCTGGATGGCCTTCTCCTTCTCCCTCTCCACGTCCTGGATCACCTGGTTGATGGCAGCGATCTCCTCGGCACGCAGCTCGTCCTCCAGCTGCACAGCCTCACGTGTGAACCGCTCCAGGAGGCTCCTGGGGTTTAGTAAATAATACCATGTTGTAATACTGTTGTAAATGAGTTATTCTTATTTCTTAATGATCCCTGGAAGATTAGCCTTTTGGGCTAAAGGGCATAAAGATAAAGAGAATGCGTGAGAAAATGTTAAATGTTAAATATTCATATTAAGATTAATGTCCCGGACAAGATGTCACCATGGTAATTGGTGCTGTAGCACCCTGACACCCTGTGGTGTTGTATTGCATCAAGTTGCAGGCTAGAGTTGAAAGGGCTGACCACCATATATTTGGGCAAAAATGAAAAAAAAAATTGCCTATAATTTCATGTCAAGTTTGTGAGGACTAATTCCATACCTGGATTTTTCCTTGAGCTCCTCCTCAGACATCTCCGGCTGCTGTTTCTGCTGGGTGACAGTCGTGGCCATGCCTGCTGTTCCTGCTGTCCCGGGGACAGCGTGGGACAGCAGCTGTGTCTGCACCACCCCTGCTGTTCCCTGGCTCGGCACCACGGAGGTCAGACCCTGCACGGTCTCCACTTCCCCAATAGAGATGGACGGGCCAGCAAACTGGGGAAAATTCATGAACACAGGCATTACTACAGTAAACTACACTTCTGGTCATTCAAAATTTGTTTCTGACTAGTAGATATATATCAGCTACAAGCGAAAAGCTTTGTACTCTTAAACTTAGGCCCTGCACGGTCTCCACTTCCCCAATAGGGATAGAGGGACCGGCAAACTGGGGAAAATTCATGAACGCAGGCATTACTACACTTCTCCCGTAAATAATTTCATCAGGTTCTTGGTAAACGAATGAACAGCAAAGTTCTTTCATCAAAACCATTTATTATTATTTTTTTTATATATTTATTTTTTTTCACGAGCCAACGTTTGACCGTCTGTCATCTTCATCAGGGCAATTCTGACTGGTTTGCTGTGCATTGACGCTAAATGTTACTTGGTGCATAGTGTACTAAAAGTGTTACATAGTTCACAGCGCACTGTGCACATTACACTTCTGGTCGTTCAAAATTTGTTTCTGACTAGTAGATACATATCAGCCTGAAAAGCTTTTTCCTTAGAAAGACGCAGTCACTATCAAGACAAGGGAACTGGAACTTAAAGCCTTATTTTGGATGAATTGACAAAAGTCACTGAAACTGAAGAAATGATCCATCATGAACAGAATCTTGCAAATTTTAGCTCAATTTGAGGCCATCGGTAAGTACTGGACAGCTGGCTCACCATACCTACTGTTATAAGTATGGTGAAGATTTACATTGTGAAGATTTACATTGTGAAGATTTACATTGTGAAGATTTACATTGTTTAGATTTAAAACACTATGACCATCCACAAGAAAGCAGCTTACAAACAAGCTGAAAAATCTTCAATCAGTACACTGTCAGTACATGTTTTTTATGTGAAATCTGCAAGCAGAAATGGTCTATAGCTACCTGTAGTGGTGCCAGTCCTCGGTGCACTGTTGGCGCCGTCTGTGTGGCCGCCGCTCCTGTCCCTCCGGAGAAGAGCTGCGCCCCCTCCACGGAGAGTTGGAACTGCCCGCCGGCCTCCAGCATGGCTATGAGCTGCTTGAGAAGCGGGATGAGCTCACGACTGGAGGCGGGGGAGGTCAGGTCGTCGCCGTACACGCCCGAGATGGTGGCATCGTAGTCCCCGGCAACAACCACTGCTCCTGTCAGGACATTCTGGGGGGAAATATATGAAAAATTTGTCAGTTTCTTTCATCAACAACAGTGCACATAAGTTACAAACTATGACAGAATCCAACAGGTCTGAACAACGTTAACAGGTGAAGTTAAGACAAATTAGATATGGCAAAAACTGATTTTATTTTTTATTGACTGTATTCACTAGATGTGATTGTATGCTACTTTAGCCCCACCTTGGCCTCCAGTCCGAGCAGCTCTGCCTTCTCCCTGACGTACTCCAGGGCAGAGTGTTCCTCGTCCAGATTCTCCGACCGGCTCAGGATCTGGTCCTGTAGCTCTGCCTGTAGTCGCGACTTGGCCTGCCGGTAACGCTGCAGCACTGTAGCTTCTGCATCTGGGTTCATGGCTCCCCTGGGGGGGGGTACAATACTGTCAGTACGTGTACACTAACCCTACCACTACCCCAACTCTAAATCTAACCCTAACCCTAACCCTTACCCTAACTCAATCTAACCCTAACCCTAACTCTAACCCTAAAGGTTGACGAAATGCAGCTCTCTGGGATTTTTATAGTAGATGGTTTAACTGGAAAGAGTCATGAATGGAATCTCTGTTTCCCTGTGACCAGTTCCTATCTCTAGTTCCTGCATCCAACCCTGACCCTAACCCTAACCCCACCCAACCCTAACCCTAACCCTCACCCCACCCAACCCTAACCCTAACCCAACCCTAACCCTAACCCTAACCCTAACTACAGAGTCCGTAGCTCCTGTATATTATAAGTGTGTAAGTGTTACAAATGTACGTACCTCCAGTTCCTGCATCCTGTCCAACCCTAACCCTAACCCCAACCCTACCCTACCCTACCCTAACACTAACCCTAACTAGAGTCCGTAGCTCCTGTATATGGTGTGTAAGTGTTATGTACCTCGAGTTCCTGCATCCTGTCTTTGTACTTGTTCTCTTCCATCTGCAGCTTCTGGAAGAATTTCCGGATCGTCTCGGCGAACTTCCGATGCGCCTCCTGATGTCTCTCCTCCCGCTCCCGCTCCGCCTGGTTCACTGGAGGGTTACAGGTTCACAACATAAGTCAGTGTGATTTAGAAAAAAGGTATTCATTTCATTCATATTTATTTCATGAGGAAGGTGCTAGAGTCCCACAATATCATACAAAAGAAAGTTAACAAATATCACATGAAAAAAAACAGTAATGGAGGGAAGTGTATGTTTGGTCAGGATAAATTGTAAATTTACAAATTTAAAGAACTTTTTCTTTCTTCTGTTTACAGAAAATCATATGTTTAGACAGTGAACATGTTAATATATGTAAGTATGCTTATGAGCCGTACCCTGGGTAAGGATGGAGACCACATCTGGCGGCAGGACGGCTGTGAACTCCTCCTCAGCATCCGTCCTCCTCTGGACCTCTCTCTTAGCCGCATCCGACAGTTTGTGCACATTCTCTGCCATGGTGTCCAGACAGTCCTCAATCTACATAACATGGAGTGAGGAGAAAGCCTTTAATTGTTGGAAGAATGCTTCACTCTGCACACCAACTAATAGTATAGGGACTTTCATAACTTATACCAGGCAGTTAACTTTATGCCCACAGTGTAAATTACTTACAGAGGCTAATCTATATAAGGTGGCTAACGTCAAACTCCTGGTTGCATTTAAAGAGCTAAACATCAAATCCTCCAAGACTATAGTGTTAATACATTGAGATTGGCCATGTTATTTTACAGGAAATTATTCTTGCATACTGGGCTATAATAAAGGCAGCTGTAAAGGGGGATATCAAGGACCAAAAGCAGGAAGGTATATGTCATGTAAATTTTTGTACTTTTTAAACAACAGAACTCATAACTTTGACCATCCAGAGGTGTGACTGTTAGCACAGTGTGAGAAACAACTACAGCAGCCTTGCCTTCTGTGCCGTGATGTTCTCCATGTCGTACATCAGCTGGAACACCAGCAACGCCTCCTGATTGGTTGCCTCCTCCTCTCGTTGCCGCTGGCGACGCCAGTAGCTCCGCCTAGCAACCAGCTCATCCTCCACCATGGCAACCTGGGAACAGGCAAATTTGTCTGTTGCTATGACAATGGGCCACTTCTCTACTGGAGGACACTTAATTGCTTCAAAACCAGGTAATGTCAGATGTGGTCATTGGTAAAAGTGCTAAAATCTTTTTGAAACACTGCATCACTGCAATGGAACGTTTTGCTTCTGATTTCAAACTTTTAGACTGTTCTGTATGACAGATTTTCTGTGTCAATGTACGTAAGACATGCTGCTGCTTGTTGAATGTTAAAATCAACTCACAGCTCCGAGAGGCGGTTTCCTCTTCTTGTGTCCTCCCGATGAGAGCGTGACCGGCGTGACGGTCCCCGTGTCAGGACTGATGCGCACGCCGCTGATGGGACTCAGCTCGCCCGTCACCAGGTCCACCGCTGGCCGGCCCAGCATGATCGGTACCAGGCCTGCAGGGAGGGGGGGATTATTGTTAGAACGAGACAAAAATGGAAAAGAAGGGTAAAGATATCAGTTAAATCCTTATCTACCCAGCATGGACCTGTAACTACTAGTAATCTGTCACCAAACAGGCCTACATCTAGCCATAACCAGTGTTACACTGTTACAACTGTTTCAGCACCAAGGAGAGGATAGCCCTCTGCCAACTTCTGATTCGACTTGATTCATTATGGATTAAATTTTAAAAAATATATCTTTAACTAAATAACATCCACATTTATGGAAACCCGTAGGCCCTGCCTAATCGCAGCAACTATTAATGATTAGATAACTAACTAGCTAACTAACCTTCTCCCTCTGGGTCCTCCATGGTTCCCCCCAGCGGGACGACTAGCTAACTAACTAGCTAACTAACTAGCTAACCTTCTCCCTCAGGGTCCTCCATGGTTCCCCCCAGCGGGACACTAGCTAAGTGACTAGCTAACTAACTAGCTAACTAACTAGCTAACTAACTAGCTCACTAACCTTCTCCCTCAGGGTCCTCCATGGTCCCCCCCAGCGGAACAACGTTGCCGGTTTTCTTGTCCCTGTCAATGCCGAGGACGGGAACCTGCAGGCCTGACCCCGCCGGGTCGGTCATCGTCGTGCCAACCAGGATCGGCAGCAGCTGACCCGTCGCTGCAAACTCCATCATTCCTGCAGGGGAGTAAACAAGTAAACAAACATCATACACGTGAGTAAACAAACTAGTAAACATCGTCGTGCCGACCAGGATCGGCAGCAGCTGCCCCGTCGCTGCAAACTCCATCATACCTGCAGGGGGGTAAACAAACTCTGTCATAACTGGGGATAAACAAGTAAACAAACTATGTCACACTGGAAGAAAACAAAATATACAACTGGAAAAGTAATATTTGCAAAGCAAATGAATAATGTTTACCTTCGCATATGGTCTGCTTTGTTAATTCTTACTCAAACACATTCACACACACACACATATTGCAGATTTTGGAACTGACCTGCGGAGCCTCCAGTAGCAGCCAGGATAGCAGCCCTCTCCTCCCTCCGTGTGAGGTTGTGCCCGGTGCGGAGGAGCTGTGCCTTGCAGCGCTGCCGTGCCTTCCCCAGCTCCCCTAGCGCTGTCTCCAGCACACTCTGCTCATGGTGACAGTTCAGCGCCGGGCCGGCCTGCACTGCCTCAGGGCCTGGGGAACACATACATACATCTTTAATGGTTAAAAAGGCAACTGCCTATGGGATCCACATCTGAAACCATGTACTATCATTATAGAAACATTACAGGATATAAAATATACATTATATTCAGTTATTATAGTTCAAACATTGTTAATAAAGTTGTTGTAATGTCCAGAGTTTAGAGTTGTAAAGTTAGAGTTTGTAATATTAAGTTGTGTGTACTCCGTCCCCCTCCAGTAACAACAGGAAAAACAGTAAGTTACTGCTACATCCAGAAAAAATGGCTTAAACTTTGATGATCTAGCTTCTTTCACATCTGTACAGTGCCTAAAATAAAGCATTTTTTAGGATTAACAAATTATAACAGAATGAAAACCTTGAAACATTCCTTGGAAGAAATTTCCTTGTATTTTTGAGACAAGTGCCATATACACATCTGACTCAGGTACATTGTACGTACAAACATATGACAGGTGCCATACATGTAGTCACACCTGTGCCAGCTGCCATAGTCACACCTGAGACAGCTAGGTGCCATATACCCACCTGTGACGGCGTCCTTGTACTCCTGCAGTGCAGCCAGGACTCTGGCCTCGCAGGCGAGCACACAGGCATCCAGCAGAGCCTGATAACCTCCTCCGCTGGGCAGCACATCACAACCCTCCAGCACACCGCCATGCACATGGGCTGGTCTGTAATACACACACAAGGTTTTACACACAACCCTCCAACACGCCACCATGTACATGGGCTGTTCTGGAATACACACACAAAGTTTTACACACAACATCACAACCCCCCAGCACACCGCCATGCACATGGGCTGGTCTGTAATACACACACAAGGTTTTACACACAACCCTCCAACACGCCACCATGTACATGGGCTGTTCTGGAATACACACACAAAGTTTTACACACAACATCACAACCCCCCAGCACACCGCCATGCACATGGGCTGGTCTGTAATACATGGCAAAGTTTAAAGCTTTAGAACTTAAGACACTGTGCAAGAACATAGGACAATATTTATCTACTTCAAAACCCTGCAGCCAAAACAGATCTGTCTAAAAAAAAAACAGATGGTAGACCCAGCAGATTTAGGAATTAGCATTTTAGTTCTAGTTAGTATGTATTATAATATTATTCTCACCACTGTTTCTATTTGTTTGCTAAATGTTCTGTTTGTACAATTAGCATTCAGTCAAGAGTAAATGCAATGTACCAAAAATTGTCATCTTGCTGTAAGTACACTTGTAGCTCTAAGGCAGAGACTAGGACATTTCATTTCTAATCTAAAGGTTTTTCACAATGTTTTAAGGTCTAGACACAATGTTTAAAGGTTTAGAAACAGGACAATGTTTATATAGTTCAAAATCTTGCAGAAACATAATTGATTGTCCTCGTACTGTCTTAGAAGAGGTTCAAGGGCAAAGACTAAAAAAGGTATTTTATTTTCCTCTCTGTAATAACTGAAACATCAGACATGTACAGGAACTGTAGTGATCTTACTTTCCGCTGAGCGGCTCTGAGAAGGTGTCTCCAGGGATGATGGGAGAGCGAGGGCCACGCCCGCCGAACGTGGTGGTCGTGCCGCCCAGGGGGACAACATCACCTGTGGGAAGGCAAACGGGAACATTAAAAAAACATTAAGTGATCTTGATTCAGTCTTAGGTCAAGAGTTGAGACTGTAAAAAGAGTCTCTTTATTCAGAGAAGATGCTGTGTTCTGAATCAGTATTTACAGATTCATTGTACTGGAGACATTCCGTTAGCTCTTTTGAGCAAATATAGTTTTTTATCTATTTAATGATCTTGGTAGGATGTGGGTAGTCCCTTCAGCTGATTTCAGCTGATTTCCAAGGGAGCCCACTACAAATAATAGAAATAATAGTGCAAAAGATAATGATAAACAATAAGTTAAACGTAACAAAATTCGAGAATCTTAGGTCAAAGGTGGACAAATAGTGAACAGTGGACCAGGGCTAAATGTGCGATCCTGCAATGTTGTGAAGTTGAACCTACCAGTTTCAGCGTCCAGCCCCACCCCCAGTATGGGCACCGGCAGGTCGGAGTTGGGGTCTATCATGACGGACCCCACCTCTATAGCAATGGGCAGGCCCGTGACTGGGTCTGTGTGGGAGCCTGCCAGGGGGTATACCACTCCGGTCTGGGGGTGTATAGTCACTGCAGCGATGGGAACATGCAGACCACTGCGACAGAAAGTTACAGAAACAGCAGTGAGTATACGTACTACATAAAGACAAAAATATAATTTCTATTGTTCCACAATGTAGGTCACACATTGTACAGTACTGTTATAAATTATAATTAATACTTTGTACAAGAACAAGCAGTTTTGTTGATCTACTGTGATTGCTAGCATAAAGATTGCAAAAATAGGTTGTACCAAAAATACACTGGAAACATCACACAAGGAAAATGTTACTCAAGCAACAGATGGTGAGTTGCTGATAAAAAGTATTTGATGCTACTTGAAACGTCTGACAGCTTCCAAAATCTATCCAGTTACTTGAGCAACCCAAGTGATATGAAATAAACTAATGATCGATGACTCTGCCAGTGCAGCAGAGGTCATGACCCCTGACCTGTTGGGGTCAGGCATAGGTGCGTTGAGTCGAAGGTCGCTCTTGCGCTGCAGGGTGGTGAGTTTGGTCCGTGTGGGCGCGCCGGTTTGTGGATCGTGTGGGTACGGCACGTACGGGATCAGCGGCTCCTCCGTTCTTGAAGCCTCGCCTGGCGGTAGGAGAAATGGTGGCAACAATCATTTCATGGGACTTTTCTGGCACCACTCTTAATACTGCTAATAATAATAGATGCATGATATGTATACGCAAGATTTTACAACATTTTTAATTCTTAAAATGATATGCAGATGTTCTACACAGCCAAAAGCCAAAAGAAAAGTATGCATGATTATATCCAGAAATCTGGATAGTCCACGTGTATCTAGAGAACTGTGTCTGGGGCAAATCTGCTTTCTTCTGGATACTCGGAGACTATCCAGAATCGTGCCTGATCCTAAACCTGACCCATCCAGGCCTAGAACTAGATACGACTGTGCGTGTTCCTCAATGCTCACCTGTAGCAGAATCTGCAGTGAAGACAAGCCGTGAGGAGATCGGGTCGTACGCCACGTTCCCCATGATGGGCAGCACTCGTCCGGTCTGCGGGTGCACGAACATGTCCGGCGCGACCGGAGCAACCTTCCCATCATGCAGCAGCATGCGGGCATCGGAGTTCGGCACCACGAGGCCGGAGATCGGGTCCTGGTGGATCAGCTCCATGGCACGGACTGTACCATCTGGAGCTGGGGGGCAGCACAGGAGGGTTAGATTGTCTACTGACAGTCTGGACAGATCAGAATGTTTAGATGGCAGGCAGCCAAGAAAGAGTTGGCTGGCAAAGGACCCTCTCATAGTAAAATACTGGCAAGTGTGGCACACCGAACAATACTATTATAGGAGAAGAATTATCTCAACTGTCAACAGCTTTTAAAAGACATTTCATGAATCAAATTATTACATCTATTCTCTGTGTGTGAAAGGGAATTGACTTTAGGTAAAGAAATGATAAAAACTGAAAATAATGTTTGAGGAGTTTTTAATATGCTTTGTGAGGAAGTCTTGGGCAAGTGAATGAGGTTATAGACAGGTTACAGAATGCAAAGATTACTTAAAGCAGCTTTCTACTACACTATCAGAATATGAGCACTTGTCTATACTAAACTATCACAACTCACCGATGAGAGCCTCCCTGCTGAGTGGCTGCTTGGTGGCAGGATCCACCAGTTGTGCGCCGGTGCCCTGCCCCAAAACCCCCCACGCTCCCACACGCTGGCTTTCTGTGGTGATCTCATGGGACATCCTGCCCAGCAGGGCTCCCACACGGGCTGAAATACTGCAGAACAGGACAAGAATAGGTCAGGAATAGGGTAACAACCCAGTGGCAGTGTTCCCACACAAGAGATAGTGCATGCAGGAATATACATGTAGGACCTGGTCCATAACAAGTTATTTTATTGTGACAACACAACAGTGGCCCTTCTCAATACTCCCCAAACTCCAAGGATGTTGTGCATCTGAGAAGCACAGCAGGTTCTTTTGCCTACCTTCTCAGCTCCTTGTCATCCAAGGTCGGGTTGACCTTGCCCTCTGTGACCTTCTCCACAAGGTCGTGCAGGCTCCTCATGGCTTCCCTCATGGGTGCACTGTAGGCAACCTGGAGGCATGAAACAAACATTGTTACAAAATGGGCTGAATCTAAATTTCTGTGCTATCTTCTCAAAGTGAAGGTTCTAGTGTTTCACACTTTTTTAATGTCCACGATATGGTTACCATCATAACTATAAAAATAAATAAATATACCAGTGATCCAGAACTGTGCCTGTCTAGTTCTATGCATTAATGAGTTGGGGTTAGGATCAGGCACTGTTTTGGACAGTTTCTGTGCATCTACAAATGTAAGTTTGCCCAGGCACAGTTTTGGAGGGATACATGTTCTGGCCTATTTAGAACTGTCCCCGAGCATAGTTCTGGATAAGGAATAGTTCTATATAAAATTTGGTTCTGGATACAACAGAGTCCCGACCTGGTGGTCCTCCCTGGCGATCTCGTCTGCCTCCAGCAGCTCCTGTTGTCTCTGCAGGACGGCCTCAAACCTGGCTCCCAGCTCCTTACGCCTCTCTAGCTCTATCTCCAACTGAGAGAAGGGAACGGGAGTTATACATCACTGGTCCACAGATTAGAATCTACATCTGCACTTCATATAAGATCCTTAGTATTCCAAGAAGTAGTGCCTAGACTTAAATACAGAAGAGTGGGGTTGTGGCAGTGTGCTGTGGGCATTTGGGATTATTTTTCCTCTAAATCTACATGTATAATGCAGCAAAATCACATTTAATAATAATGTTTAGCTTTAGAATAAAAATGAGTAGACGAGTGGAAATCTTACCTCCTCCTTCTTCCTCTCGTAGTCTGCGAGGTCCTCCTGTGTGGCCAGCGCGCTGCGGCTCCGCAGGTGCAGCTTGGCTACCCACAGGCCCTTCAGCGACTCCGCTTCACCTGCTACCTTCTGGTACAGGGACTTCACCTGGGACAGGGCATAGGTCAACAGTTAAAGGTCAACAGTTGTAGGTCAACAGTCATAGGTCAACACCCAAGCATCACATCAACGAGACTGCATTGCTGCTATTTTCTAGAATCACTAGTAGAGGGATAAATCTCTCTGAGTTCTCTAGTGGACAATTGAGTACTCATTGAGTAATTTTGAAAGAGACTTTTCAAACAATGGAAAATTATGTAAGACAACAATTTCAAAAAAGAGACTTGTAAGAGACTGCAAGAGATCTGAGATAGAAGTTGGGAGAACAATGCCTAATCCAAAGAGAACTGCTGAGGTCTCAATTGTCCGCTAGAGTACTCAGAGAGATTTATCCCTCTACTAGTGAATGCACTTGCAGCAGAAAATGTTGTGATCTTTGACTTACCTCCTCCTTCTGTCTGCCCAAGATGGCCGTCACCCCTCGAGACTGCTTGGCAAGCTCGTTGTAGAAGTCCTTGGAAGTGAAGGCTTCAAGGTCAACTTGTTTCTCGTAGTCCCAGAATTCCTCGCTCTTCAGCTCAATAGCTCTCGCTGAAAAGTACATAATAAGAGAGATTTTTGTTAACCTGGAAGCATCAAATATTCTAACATTGTGGCAAAATCTGGTCTCCATCAATACTACCTGCAGTAGTACACATGCTTTTTATGGTTGACCTTTCTTCTACAGCTAACACTTATACATAGTCTCCAAGAGTTTTGTCTAGTAGGTTTATACCATATGGTGAGTTTTAGAAATTGCAAACTTCATGCCTTTTTTGACATTCAGAACACTGTACATCTACCATCTAAGCTCACACAAACACTTTAATTAATCTACGAGCATCACAGCAGCTATCCCTGAGCTCTGAAGACTTACTCTCCACAGGTTCCTCCTCCTCCTCTGGAGCGCCCAGGTTCCTGTGGAACTTCTTGACGGGGTGGACGGTGGAGCCCTTGGAGGAGTAGTCGTCCATGTTGTACTTCTGCGACAGGAAGCGGTAGTACGGGTTGATGAACGACGTCTTCGCCCAGCCGTAACGACGGAACAGAAGCTGTGGAAGGAGCAAATGGATGAATGGTGAATGAATGAAATGAATGGTTTGTTAAATTTTGATCATTTTGGTTGGACATGAAAAGTACATCGCAGCCACAGGCTGAATTACTGAAACGAGGCATCAAGGAAGAGGTTGGGTGAAAGAAACCTCTATTTTTCACTTAAATTAATAATTATATGTAAAAATGAGTCTTTGATGGGGCTCACAGCTCTTAAAGTAGAAAACAGGGCATCAATCCTAAAGTTGGGAGAGTGAAAATACCATTTTTTGTTTCAAAACAGGAAAATAATTCTTAAACGTTACAAAAGAAAACTGATTGAAATCATCAGTAGGATGGCTTTGACAATGTGAAGATTTTAGGCCCAAGTTCTTAAACCAAGAGTTACAGAATCCTTGTATCTTCTCATGGACAGAATTTGAAAACTCACAAATACTCAGAGGTGAACAGCCTTGAAGTTCATGTTCAACTTTATGTAACTCACTCCAATGACTCATCAGGATGAGACTTATTTTATGATCTGATTTAAACATTCAAACACAATTCTGGCAGAGAAACAGTTGTTTCAGTGAGAGGTCTGACCTTATATGACCCTTAAATGTTCTCAGAAGGAAAGCAGAAGAACAGTTACCAAGGCGACCACGAGGAGGACCATGAGCAGGAGGGTGGCGCCGAACAGGATGCCGATCAGCAGCCAATCAGGGGACAGCAGCAGGTCTCCGTCCAGCGCGATGCCACTTTGGATCAGCGCCCGCGGTGTGGTGGGGAAGAAGGGCCCGTCCTCCGAGCACTGAGCGCCATCTGCCATCACTCGCACGTACTGCAGGCGAAAGGGTGGGGTGGGAGATCATGTGCCAGGTAGATTTGCAATAATGACCTAAGATGTATGACTCAATAGTTTCCCTAAGAAAGTAAATGCAAAAACTGCAAAAATCTGCTTCTAGCAATTTTCAGAGAAGCTGAGACAGTGAATTCTAAAGAATATGACAAACACTGTGGACTACATGTACATTGCTCTGTGCTTAAACCTTTTTTTTTCATGGATAGAATTTAAAAACTTACAAATACATCCAAGAGCAATTAAAAGATACACAAGACCATGACATGCTGACACAAAATTTAATGTTTTTAACCCTCTCCCTGCTGCCAAACTGCATGACCAATACAAAGTTGGTGACAAACAGCTACCTAATTAGCAGGCTGAGGGTTAAGGAAATTTGTGTTCAGCTCACCATTTTCTTGTTGACGTTGGTGCTGAGGTAGAAGACGTAGACTCCCGGGTCGGCGAAACGGTAGGCGAAGAGCGTAGTGGCGGTCTGTACCTGGCTCTGCAGCTCTGCAAGCTGCCGGAAACCTCCGTAGTCAAACTGCTCGTTTGTGTTGTACAGGTTGTCTCTGTGGATAGAAAATTAATACAGATGTTTAATCTATATATTAAAATACTAACAAATAAGAAAATTGAATTGCTTGTTTGGCACACTATTCTTTAGTAGTTTGTGTCATGAAGAAGCAGTATGAGGGTTTTAGCTATTTCATTGGTGGTCTCACTCACTCTTGTTACTGGTTGAAGGTGTACTCTTGGATGGTGCATAAAGAAGGAGGTCCCATGTTTGAGAGCCACACCTCAAGCATGTTAAAGCATGTTAAAGATACTGCACTTTTTCGGAAGAGTAGGGGTCCCCTCTTGGTGTGAGGGCATGGCTCAAAACTTACAGTCTAGTCAAACGCAGCTTGTACTTTCTGTACATAACTGGACTGATCTATGCCTTAAGTAGGCCAACAATAACAGATTAGGGATTATGTGAAACTACATAAAAAAGCCAAAAAGCCATACCTATCATATACTGGGAAGTGGTCATTGGACACCTCAAAGAACATGAGTTCGTTCCAGAGCAGACAGACGGTTGGGTTGGCGATGCCCTCGTAGTACGAGCCGTTGATGGTGGAGAGAGCAAGCAGCCTCCTCCGGGCCCCGCCCGACAACGGGAGGGTTCGCGCCGTGCCTGCTGACGTCTTCACGTTCTCCGTCACGAGGTCATCGACCTCTGCAGAGCTGGGGTTGTACACACCCAGGAAACCATCGCCTGGAGAGGAGGGAAAAAATTCAGTCACAGTTTGAAGTCAAATCCTCTCAACATTTAATGGGGCATAAATTAGTTGATTATATGAGACTGTTTTAACAGGCTGTCCACCTCCACAGAGTTGGGATGTACACACCAAGGAAACCAGTGCCTCAAGAGGTAACAAAGTTCGACAGGTTTGGTTTACAGACAAATCTTCTCAACAATTCATGGCGAAAAAGGTCTATTACAGATTATTTTCATTTTCTACTGGTCACTGTAAATTTGCAAGCTAATATAAAGCCACAGATTGACTTCCATTACATACATTGTAGAGCAAGCTACACATCTTTAATGCGTTTGAAATTGAAAATATGACTTAAGAAAGCTTTAATTCTTTAATTAAAATTCTTAAAGAGCAAAGAAAAAGTTACATAGAGGAGACAAATCAAAGCTTTTCTCATGCAAACACACCCGTCCTACTAGATTGCCATTTCTGTACTGGAAACAGCCCTTACCTGACATCTGCACCAGATATACGGACTCCGGAGTCCCGTCCTTGTACTTGCAGCTCTCCTTCTTCAGCGCGATTCTGCTGTTGATGACCTTGGTCAGCTCATTGTAGGCGTAGTCAGTCTGCGGATGGGAGGAAGGTTTCAGTTACAAGCACCTCAAGATGGTAAGATTCTAACAGCTGCGACAGTGAACAATTTGTGCAAAGTTTCCTCCAGGTCATTGACTTAATTTGTTTGGAATGGAAAAGAAACTAAGCAAAAATAGTACAAAGTGTAGTATGTTTTCCTTCTGCAAAGGGAGTACAGACCTTAGCAGTCCCGTTGGGGTAGTTGACCCTCAGCGTGGGTTCGTCGTCCAGAGGGTCGCAGACCAGCTGGATTCTGGTCTTCTGAAGCCGCCGGCACTCCAGATCACAGATCTCCTCCAGATCATCCACACGGCACAGGCAGATCCCCAGCAGGCCATCGTAGCCCAGGTATGCTGCCTCCGAGGTGCACACCTGTAAAGGAATAACAGCCAGTGTTAACACCTGCACAGGTACAACAGGTAAACACCTGCACAGAACAACTCTTAGGAGGCAGAGAATTAGCAGGATGTTCCTACACTAAGATTATTGGATGAAGGTGACATAAAGGTAATGAAACACAAGTGTTGCTTGTTAAGGAACTGCATAGATTTTTAAATATCCATCCGGATTTCCAGTATCCATCTAGTTGCTTTAGCAACTTTTCTTGTGTAGAATGTTTCCTCAGCCCACCTCGGTGCTGCAGTAGGTGATCCACTGTCCCTCGATCCACACAGTTGCCCTCCTGGCGGCAGCTGGCCACATTACACCAAAACACTAATTGTTACATCTAACCTTTGAACATCTAACTCAATGTTTAACTAAACAATGTTTGAAGCTTTATTGTAAAGATCCTGTTCCCACCTCAGTGCTGCAGTAGGTGATCCACTGCCCCTCGTCCAAACAGTACCCCTCCTGGTTGCGGTGTTGGTTCTCCCCACAGATGTCAAACACGTGCTCCACGCAGTCCTGCTCCCGACCCGACATGACCCGGAAACCTGCCGCACAGGGGCAGGTACGGTCACTCGGCTGGGGGAGAGAGTAAGAAGTTAAACTGTAGCTCTTGAGAAGATACACAGAAATCAAAAGTCAGCCAGGTCAGCAGGGTCATTTGCTCTTACTGATCATTTACACAAATTTATAAATAAAAGTGAAAGACATCATATGAATGAATGAATGAATGACTTTATTTCGGGAAAAAACCCATAGTACAGACAGGACCACATAGACACATATGTGAAAGACACTAAAAATTACTGGTACTCAGAATCTAGGAAACTGAAAGAGAAGTAAAACAGAGATCTGATAATACAATTTTACTCAATTTTGACCTTGCATTCACTGATTTTTATAATATAATCGGCTGAAGTGTTTTGAATCTCCAGACCTGGTCATAACTGGAGGTTCATCAAAACACATTTTTACTGTCTTTGTTTCTAATTAGTTAATAGATAACACAGTATGATGGTCACAGCCTCTGATTGGCCAGCAGTAAAGCCAACCCCTGACCTGGAAGTCCCTGCCCGATCCGGTGCAGACACACCCGACTGCGCCGGTGCCCGGCTGACTGGCCTCCCCGCCGCAGTGGAAACAGGCGGTCTGAATGAATGAATGAATGAATGAATGAATGAATGAATGGTTTATTCGATCATTTTGATCAGATAAAGTACATCGCAGCCATGGGCTGAATTGCGTACTTTTTACATTTAAAAACAGTAATGCTCTAAATACTGGTAAGAACTCATCTTTCTCAAATTAACAATTCTAAAACATATTAAGAAACACTACCTTAAAACAGGTAGGTTGTATGACGGATACGTCAGAGTACTTAACAACACACACACATATATTTAAAGGTACACATTCAAGGTAAATATAATGTTCTACAGATCACCTGTGCCTGCAGGTGGTTAAAGTGGTCCACGGCGCACTCCAGACAGTCTGCCGGCCCCTCGGCAAACTCCACGGGCTGGTAGGTACCGGGGGGACAGGCTGCTGGGAGGGACACACCCGCCTCACAGTAGTAACCTGCAGTGGACAATGGAGTACATGTCAGTCCATGGAGAGAAAATGTATGCTCAGACAATGAACAGGTACCGTGGAGTTTGCTGGCCCCTACGGGCAAACTCCACTGGCTGGTAGGTACCGGGGGGACAGGCCGCTGGAAGGGACACGCCTGCCTCACAGTAGTAACCTGGGGGTGGATGGTGGAACACAATTTATGAGTCCATGAGGAGGCAAGCCTTGGCATACTAGCTAGCATTGGTTGGATTTATATCAAAATGACTTCCAAACAAATGTACATGACTATAAACAGGCACGTTAGACGTTAAGCAAAATACACAGCTAGAAGGAAAAGTACAAAATTTAATGTACAAGGTTTAAAGCCAGAAAAGAAATATTAGTTACCTAGAAATTTAAGCAAGAAGCTAGAAATTTTTTTCTGAAGAACTTTCCAAGTGTCAACTATCTAATTCTTCTAAGTGTTTATCTCTTACTTTTAGTATGACTCTTTGTTTAGTACTATTTACCAATTCGGAATGCACGGTACGTTACAGTAATCATTGTTGCACGATACAGTTGAGAATGTTAGAGTCTAGTGGAGATTATGACTGAGGGTTCTGACTGACCAGGAGGACAGGGGTAGGAGTTGGTGGAGTTGACCCCGAAGGTTGCAGAGTCGTTACTGGCTGGCTGGTCGGACGTCGCTCCCTCCAGGCACACCACACCTGCCCGACAGGTGAGACAGGCCGGCTGGGTCGGGTCGCTGCTGTACGTACCTGGCAGAACACAACACTTTCACTCAACACTTTGCTACATTAGTCAGGGAGGGTTAGACATCGTGCAATAAGACACGGCACTGCATATGATGTTGGAAATGGTCAGACGTTTCAGGTAACATCCACTACCTTTTGTCAGTGACACTGGAGAGTTGTCAGAAAGGCAGCTTTATAAGTACGGACTATTGATTTTGCTACATTGTACATGTATGTGTTTATGAAACGTTTATGCTAACAAGCCTTGTGTTTTGCAATCTGTTAATACAAAGTTCAATACTGTATATAAAAGCTAGAATAGCAAAGGTCTTTAGTCACAACCACTTATTCTTGTTTAACAAATGCCAACATCAAATACATAAAGGCTATAGCTAGTTTCCAGTATTGTGCAATATTCCATGTTGTGGTAACACCTTTAAACCTCAGCTATGAACTGAATGCAATGTATTCAGTGTCATGCAGGCCCCCTACAATGTTCAATAAACACATTTAGAATGAAAAGTTACCTGCTCTGCAGATCTGACACACGTTCTCAAAGGTGTCTCGCGGGGTGCAGTCACAGTCGTGGTAGCCCAGTGGGCACTTCAGTGGCACGATGGTGCCTAAAACATCAATGAAAAAGCTTACAACAAGTTCAAAGGATATCATGGTATTTGATACTCTACTGTAAATGTTTGTCGACAATATCCTCTTCCCAATCACAAATCTACATTGTTGTAAGCTACAACATACAGTATTCAGTCCCAAATTGTAGTTATATATTGCTGAAGAAATTAATCTGTCATGTGTGTATCGCAGTAAGTAGAATTCCTCAATCAGTGACAATTTGATAAAGGTTTTGTTTTTACCTTAAGTCTATAAAAATGTCACTACTGATGGAGGAATATTCTTCTACATGTATCTGTAGTTATATATTATAAGCATTTTAGCATCAAACACGTTGTGATTTGCTCTTGGTAGCAGCCTTACCAGCCTCGGTGTTGTTGCAGTCTGTACCCGGGCAGTAGTGGCCCTCCGGACACTCCAGTGGGTAGGAGGATCCTGCGGGGCAGTGGTAGCCAGGTGGACAGGGCAGCTGGGTCATGGAGTGGTTACAGTAGAACCCTGCAAGGGACAGACACAGTTTTATGGTAGAATCAAGATTTCCTGCTTCAAGATCTTCAAAACACTGTCAAACTCACTCACTTACTCACTATCTGGTTGATCTAGGCAAAAAGCATAGGAATATGAAGTATGTTCCTGCCTCTTTACTGTCAAAATCTCTAATCGTTTACTGTCTACAATTACTTGACCATCTTGCAGAACAGTACAAATTCATAAAGCTGGCAAAGAAAAACCTGTAACAGCTGTCTCTCTTGCTGATAACAACCTGTAACAGCTGTCTCTCTTGCTGATAACAACCTGATGAAGTATTTAACTTTTATATAATTCCAATATTTTTACCTCCAGCACAATATCAGACAGGATGGTGAATTTATCTGTCGTGAGCACCTGAACGTTTTGACTGACACTGTCATTCTATAATTAGCTACCCCCAGACTCACCGGCCTGACAGAGTGTCTGGTTCATGGAGCCCTCAGGGCAGTATGTTCCTTCATCACACAGGATCCCGGTGAAGGTGGTTCCCCCGTCCGGACAGTAGAAACCAGCTGGGCAGGGGTGGCAATCAAACAGACCTGCGGGGAAGTAACACGGGACGTTTGTTTGAGCCTTACATTTCCATTGATTTTTCACTATTTATTGAAATTAACACAATCAAATAATTAAAAAGCTTTTTAGAACACTTTTCTGAAATTTAAAGCCAAAAAATATCTTGGCTAGTACCTATCTCTACACCTATCCACGCACATGTATCCCCAACAACTAGAATTAAGACTTGTGACTGAATAAGATTTCCAATCTCTCAGCTATTGCTTAGAAAAGCCCCCAAATTAAAGTGATCATGAAAAGTTAAGTTAAATTCCTTCCTGCAACCATTGATTTGGTCGCTTATGGCGGCGCCCATCCCCATGTCTGTAGCCCTTGGGCCACACAGAAGAGAACAGCAGGACATGAGAAACATTCCCCACCTCCTGCTCCCACAGTGTCCCTGTAAGTCCCCACTGGACACTCCTCTGGCTCAATGGTTCCTTCCACACAGAAGTAGCCAATGGGGCAGGGGAAGGCTGTGTAGTTGGTGGTGGCTGGAACAGTTAAAGCAACATCAACATGTGAAACTATGATTTTGCAGACTATTTCTATGCACACTGGTGATTTTTTTCAGGATCTAGCATAAGGCTTAGCTTAATTACTCAGCAAGGATGTCTCCTATTGAGTACTTAGTACATATATTAAGATAGAAGAGCAAACCTTCCTACTTCATATTACATTTGCATGCTTATTTGAGGATCTGGCAAAAGCATAATACTTGGTTACTGTGGCCATCTCCTGTTAAACACACATTTTAAGATTGAAATTCACATCAATAATTATGATGAAAAGAAAGAACGAACCTTGATACTTGCACCAGTAGCCGGCAGGACAGGGCAGGCAGGTGCTCATGTTTGTGGCGCCAGGCTCCGCGGAGTAGGTGGCATTGGGGCAGGCGGTTTTGGGGTGGTCGTACGGGCAGTAGTACCCGGGGGTGCAGTCCTGAGGGACCGTGTCATTAGCCGTGCAGATTTTACCCGCAGGACAAGTGGAACATTCCGCATTCGAGGCAGCCCCCTCTCTGTCCACTACCAGGCCAGGGGGGCAGCGGGACACATCCAATGCACCTGAGGGGGGGGGATTAAACAAGACTTATTGTGGTCACTGTGATAACTCCTCAGTGATATTATGGCCCATCATGAATAAGCATATTGCTTAGGGTTGTAGGATCTGTAGACATGTTCTTAAATTATCACCATTCAAATTTAAAAAGTTTCAATTTTCATTGGCCAGATTTGGTCTGAAAGATTGATAGCACTCACCTTCCAGACAGTAGTAGCCATAGGGACAAGGCTGGCCCATGGTGGGGTCAGAGCCATCTGGTGTGGGTGTGTCACTGCCGCTGTAGCACAGGTAACCTGCTGTACAGTCACCAGCCTCACGCCCGCCTAAACAGTATTTACCTGGGAGAAACAACAGGAGAGATATAACACACACACACAGGTAACCTGCCATACAGTCTCCAGAAACATTTTACATTAGTTATATATAATATAATATAATATATATTTTACGTATTATAATGTATTATAATGTCTAGTATTGATGTATTACAATGTCTATTGTAACTTTTTATTCTGTACGCAAACTCTTCCAAGTCAGGGATTCTCATCCCTGCTGCAAGGTTTGCTTTTTGGTGTTGAAAAAAATAAAATAGAAAAAATAATATGTAATGTGTCCTATTTCTATAGGATGATTTCTGTGGAAAACAATACATGTAGTCGTCAAACTGTGCTACAAGCAGGTCTTTCTTCAGAATCCTGACAAACAGACTTCTTTCTAGCCACTACACTGCATACGTCTCAGTCAAGTTGAACTGCCAGCTGAGGTTTGAAAAGAAAGATTTACATTATGCAGAATTTTAAAATGTTCTCCAACTCATAATTTTACTCACCGGAATTTTCGACTGAATCACTCAGTCTTCCTCAGCTATCTGACCCAAATGCTGTGAACACGTGATTTTGCCCTGAGGAAGACTGAGTGATTCAGTCGAAAATTCCGGTGAGTAAATTTATGAGTTGGAGAACAGTTTAAAATTCTGCATAATGTAATTTACCAACTCAGATGAACTTTCATGCTGAAGAAAGATTTACGTTTTACCTGTAGGGCACTGCTGGCACTGATCAGGCCGTTCCAGGCCTGTAACTCCGGCCAGCGTGTGTGTGCCGTTTGGACAGAGCATGGGGTAGTCTGAACCTGCAGGGCAATAGGAGTAAGCCAGGCAGGGCTCGGGGGTTGTCGAGTTGCCGATACAGAAGGACCCCGCGGGGCAAGGGTCGCAGTCATTGCTGCCCGTTGAAGTCTGGTAGGTGCCTGGGAAAAATGAGAGAAAATCAGGGAATGATGAGAGCCCTTACTTTTTATTTACAAGAAGAAGCAGCTTTGCTCATTTTGCAAGACTGTAATTATTCCTGTCTGGAATGTAACTTGAAGACCCCATCCTTACCTGGAGGGCACCCATGTGGCCAGGAAGTGGTGTTGGGACAGAAGGATCCAGCAGGACAGGCAAAGGCAGCTGGCTGTGGGTTGTCAATCTCTGCAAAGTCGGGGCAATAGAAGTTCTCGTCACACGGCCCGGTGGGCTCAGACAGACCCGTGGTTCCGCAGTAGTACCCTGGGGAACAGGGTCGGCAGTCTGACACGTTCCGCCCGTGGGTGTCGGGGTTCATGGTGCCGGCTGGGCAGGCGATGGCTGCGATGGCTCCTGCAGAAATAAACAGTTAAAAGATATTTATTTATTTATTTGTTAAGTTTTACCACGTACAAAAATGCACTGTGGATGGCATGGCGAAACAGGACTGGTGTTTCTGACAAGAAACACCTTTTCAAAGCCGCCATGCCAATAAAATGACAAAGCAATACAAAAAGTAATCAAAATAATCACATAATACAATTTGAGAAACAAATGAATAAACTTAGAACTACAAGGCAAGTCAACTTATTAACATTGTGAGAGTTATTGAATCAAGACAACAAGTAATGACGGTTATATAGCCAGCAGTGATGTCACAATTAGCGTGGTCTTGTGGCTAGACAAGTGGCGCAACCAGAAGATAACTGCCACGTACAGGGTTGCTCTAAACTGTAGGTATGGCAAAATATTAATTGTAGCTTTGTTCCAACACAATAAAGGAACCATGAATTTTTAGTCAATCTCGTCAACCTTTGTCAAGGGTGTGATGCACTTGTCGGAAGTGGCCTTACCTTTGGGACAGTAGTATCCCTTCTGACAGGGTTCGTTGACCCCGTCGCTAGGCGTGGCTGACCGGGAACCGTTCAGACAGAGGTAGCCGGCGCTGCAGTGGCCTGTGGGGTACTCCTGTCCGGTCTCGTTACAGTAGTAACCAGGTGGGCACCGCAGGCAGCCAGACTCTTCACTCAGGCCTGTGTAGTTACTGTAGTAGCCTGTTGGAAAAGAGAAGGTAAATAAGAAAGCTGAAAACATATATTTGATTTTAGATGTCCAAACAGTTTTACAGTCTTACAGCAATACCCTGATTAAAATATTAGCCAATCAGGCATACACACAACTGTTACAGTAGATCTAGTTCCTTCGCAAGTTTCTTCTACAATCTGTCCTTCTTGCAAATCACAATAGCTAAACCAATGGTCAAACAAATACTCAGATCTTCCTTTTTTGCTAGAAAGGTAAAAGCAGAGGTTTGCCAGAGTTATCGTTACGTGTAGTGAATGAAGCCTGCTCACCAATGGGGCACGGGTTCCCGTTGTCGCCTGTGCCTGGGTGGCAGTAGTAACCTGCAGGGCAGGGCAGGGTGTCATTCATACCCCTGTGCGGACAGGTGGTCCCCTGGGGGCACTCCGTACAGTTCCCCTGCCCCTGGTACGGCTGGTAGGTACCCTTGTCGCACGGCTGCTCAGTCACTGCCGCGGCGGGACAGAAGTGTCCCACGGGACAGATGTGACCCATGACCCCGTCCGTGGGGTTGGGGACCGAGGAACCCAGGACACAGATGTAGCCTGGGTCGCAGTCCCTGCTCTGGCCTATAGAGGAACAGCAGAATACAGTGTTGATTAGTGCCTAGGTCCCAGACTAGGTTTATGGGTCTTTTTCAAAGTAGAATAAAGGCATCAAATAATGATAGAATTTGCACATAAAAGTCAAGTCAATTTAAAAGTCAAGTCAATTTGACTTGACTTTTATGTGCAAATTCTATCATTTGATACTATAGTTGATTACATAAATTTTGCCACTTTATTGAATTTTGAGGGAAGAGAGTTGAGAGTTGCAATGCATTCTAGTCAATTGGTAGGAAGTTGAGTGCTCGGCCAGATTCATACCATTAGTATACGTATATGACATTGTACATGTATGTTCAGTTCTATTGTATGACTGCTATAAGGCAGTTTCCATCCTCAACGCATGAGAATGCATTCAACACTTTAGTAAAAATAAATGCTGAAGACTGACCTGTTAGTGACGACTCTGGGGTGCAGTACTGCCCGGGGTCGCAAGGGTCACAGTCAGACACATTCTGGTTCCCCACCCCGGTGGAGATGCTGCCCGAGGGGCAGGGGGTGGGCTGGTAGGACCCCTGGGGGCAGTAGTTACCCCTGGGGCAGATGGTTTCTGAGGGGGTGGGGGTGATCACACTACCATTGCAGTAGTACCTGTAGAAAAAGACAATACATAAGGCGATAAATGATGGTAAGTTACAAGAGTTATCACAATGCTAACTTAGTACCATACAGTTACAGGAAAGGAAAAATGCTGTTGAGCTGAAACACCTTTAAAATTACCTTAAAGCGACTTGCTGCACACATAGGCAGAAGACTTGTTTGAAAACCTTGGCTTGTCTAGTTGTACATTTTGTGTGGGAAGTTTAACTCCTTATTGTTTATGTCTCAGAACCATTATTTTCATTATACCATAAACAGTACATAACACCTACCCAGCGTAGCACTGCCCCTCCCCAGGTGTAGCCAGACCAGGTACGGAGCAGTAGTATTTGGGTGGACATGGCAGGCAGCTCATTTGTTCTATATGTCTACATTAATGATTATAACATGTTAACACCTACCCAGCGTAGCACTGCCCCTCCCCAGGTGTAGCCAGACCAGGTACAGAGCAGTAGTATTTGGGTGGACATGGCAGGCAGCTCTCCTGGCTCTCCCGGTTTGTCTGGTTGTTGTATGTCCCGATGGAACAGGGGTACTGGTTGGCCCGCTCGGTCCGGTTGGGACAGTAGTGTCCCTCGGGACAGGAGGAGCCGGACAGATCAGTGACGGCCTGCGCCGTGTTGTCACAGAAGTAACCTGGGGAACGGGAGTCAATGCTTAGCATGGAAGTTCATCATTACAATTAAATTAAAAATATACTCAGTTAAACATCCCCAAAATAAGAACCCTAATTTTGGTCAGTTTCATTGAAGCTGCAATTGTCGTTATGTAGGAGTCTTTACATAAAAGACATGTTTGTATCAGTGACACTTGATTAACAATGCAGAAGGCCATTTCCCTGTAAAACATCTGAGTGTGTAAATGAAAACTTGACAACCAGATCTTCCTCATTTTCAGATAGATTGTTGATTTCTTATAAATAAAAGCCAGTAAGTAGTTCTGACCGGCAGGGCAGGGTTTGCAGCTGGCCTGGGTCAGCAGGTCCTGGTAGTAGCCACTGTCGCAGCGCTTGGGTTCCGGCCCGGTCCCCTCCGCACACTCGTGACCTTGGGGGCACACGTACGCCGTGGGGACGCTCTGGCCCTCCGGACAGTAGTAACCTGCCAAACAGGACAGCATGGAGAGGTTTATATCGTACTCAGAACTCTGGCTACATGTACATCTATGCCTGAATTCTTAGGGATAGTATTGGGAACTTCTAGATGCTGAGTTGGTGTTTGTGCGATTAGCTGGTTTTGATTAAATCACAGGTCATGTATTTGGAAAATATTACATTTTGCACAAAGAAAACATGCAGAACTTTCATGGTGATGATAATTCTCTTATGTTCAATCTAATAAATAATTTGATATCACTTGCTGGTAACAGAATATATGTAGATGAATTTTCTTAAGAGTCAGCCATTTCATATAACATCCACTGTCTTTCACCAAAGACCAAGCAACTGATATGTCATAATTTGATAGTTACATGACGTACATATTGTTTTGCTTAGTAAAACTGTATGTACGTAACTATGTAGGTTGTTGTCTTTGTCCCCAAGGTTAGCCCTTTATAATAGTCTTGGAACAAGTTGGGCAACCTTGGCTGTCCACTGTACAGTTGAACCAATAAATAAAAAAATAAAGTTTTGCTTACCTGGGTAGCACTGTCCAGAAGGTGCAGTGAGAGCCGTGCCGTTACAGAACCAGCCGGCAGTGCAGGGGTGACACAGGGACTCCTCTGTCAGACCTCGGGTGGGGCTGTAGGTGCCGTTAGCACACGGCAGGGGGAACCCACTCTCACTGGGGCAGTAGTAACCTGCCGGACATTCAACCTGTGTGGCAAAATTTGGGCATCAGATACGAGGAGCAGGGCCTGGTTTTTCACTTTGGTTCTTTAGAAACTGTGAAGCTTTATTTGAGAATCTAAAAACAAAAACACAGCAACATGTTTTGGCATTAATAGTATGCAGCTTGATTTCTGTAATAATTTCTGTAGACATAACTACCATATTATTGATCTTGGTTTTATCAACAGTTGACACCAGTTTAACATCAAAATGTTGAATTGTATATAATCAACCAGCCACAGTCTAAGAGATTATAGTTCCACATCAGATTATGTTTATCTGGTGTTCCCTGTACCTTACCTGGGTGGGTGAAGAAGACCCAGTGGGACAGTACGACCCAGCCTGGCACGACCCAGCTGTAGCATTCAGACCCGGGACGTCGCAGTAAAACCCAGCCGTGCAGTTCTGTGGGGCAGACGAGCCTTCGGGGCAGAACTCGCCCGGCTGGCACTGACCACCGTTTGCTGTGGGCTGGACAACAAGAGGAGGAACATCAGTGTAGTCTTTTGACAAAATATTTATACAAAAATACACAATGGAAGTTCAGCTACACTGGAGCTTTTGAGATGCACTCTGTCTCTTCTTCAACCCAGTAAAGACCTCGTCTTGGAGTTCTGTGTGTAGTCAGTGTTTGAAATACCAATCCGCATTCTGCATTTTGCATTTTCATTGAGAAGGTTGTAGTATGGAGGCTTGTATATTTGCAGTGTTTCCAAAATTTTGACTCATCTGAAGTTTTGCAGTCAGAAAAAATGTAGTGTATAACACTTCCATGTACAACTTGCAAAGCTGTTCCTCTAACTAAAAATGACGCTGTCTGACAAGTTTTGTAACTGTGCCCGCAGTTGTCACTGGAAGAAAGGGGGAAGTACATTCCTGTGGGGCAGGGTCAAAGCGTGGGTCTTTAACAACCCAGGCAAGTCCCTACCTGTTTGTCCAGCGACCCTTCTGTGCAGTACCATCCCTCGTCACACGGGCCTGTAGGGTGGGTGTTGCCCGACCCCTCACAGTACATCCCCGGGCTGCAGGGTTCACAGTCCTGCAGGTCATCCTGGCCGGTGTGGTTGTTGAAAGTTCCTGTTTTTGATGACAAGAAGAATTTAGTGTGCTTAATTTTTCACAGTCACAACACATGGTATGTGGATGTTAGGTGTAACAACAAGTCGTTTGGTGTAATGTGCCAGCTGCCACCGTGCTGCTTGGCTGCAAAGCTGGTGTGTTCTGTATCTGTATCAGTATAGCCAGTTTATATAGCCCTTTGGCGTAACACAACAGCTTAATAGTTTTGGCAAAGGGCAGTTTAACTACAGATACAGGATGTCTATGGTTTCAATTGTATGGTGTGCTATGCTGTGTTGGCTAAGTACAAGTTAGACTCACATTTGTAAATGTTTAAAAACGTTTCAGGCTCACCATTTGGACAGGCAAACTCATGCGGGTCTGTGGTGCCGTGCGGGCAGTAGTGACCAGCTGGGCAGTTGTTGGGCGTGTAGTCGGTGGTGTTGGCGTAGCAGAAGTGACCAGCTGGACACGGCTGGCACTCAAACTGACCGGTCAGATCATTGTAAGTACCGGCATCACAGCCTGGAGGAGGAATGACACATGAGTAATGTACTGTGCTGCACTATATAAAATGTGAAGAGGTTAACATCAGCTTGCTTGCTGCTCACACAAGTTCTCAAAGATACTCTCCTAAATTTCTGCTATCAATTTTCAACAAATTCTATCAATAACTTTTCTACAAGGACAGAATAATTTGGGCAATGCTGGAATAGATCATATTAAGCAATGGCAGAAGTTATCCTTAATTTTCAAAAAGCAACTTATGATCAAACACAGTTTCTAATCTTGTGGTTTGAGTACTGAAAGTAGTGTACTGTACTAAAATCTAAAACCAAATGATGTGCACCTTGAGGTTGGGCTTTACATCTAAAAGCAGTCTTTAAGCAAAAGAAGACAGTTGTTGAACCTGTGGTACGAGCTGTGAACATCTGAGATCCAACACTCAGCTTCACATGTCTTCATATGTACCAAGGACTAGCAGGCTGTGGAATTTTACCAGCCTTGGTCTTCCCTGACAGTCCTAATATGACTACATTTGTAAGTTCAAGACTGCAGTAAACAGATTCCTGTTAGAGACTTTTCTACTTTCTTTAATTGTTTGTTTCATACAAATATGTACCATGTTATTATGTATTAGGTATAATGTAATCAGGTGAGGTAAATTATACATGTGACATTATACTGAGCCGAAAATCATCGATATTACGATGTTAACACCAGGTTCATTTTGCACTGATTAGAAAAAAAAACTACAAAGTGTACCTTGTGGGAAGATGGTTCCGGTGGGGCAGTAGTGTCCAGCAGGACAGATGTGACCGATGATCGGGTGGACGGTGTCAGCCGGACATTGGGAGTCGTTAAGCATCAGGGGGTTGGGCCGGTCCACTCCAGACACGCAGTAGTACCGCTCCCAGCATTGAGCCGTGGGTTCGGTTAGTGCGGTACCCTGGCAGTACATGCCTGGTGAACATGGTGTGCACTGTAAAGCCTCCTGCAGTCCTGTAGGGAAAAAGTCACAGGTACAGTACATTAGTAAGTACAGGTTTAATGTGGAAGATTGTGAACACGGTATTACCACTCCCAACACTGTGCTGTGGGCTCAGTTAGTGCTGTACCCTGGCAGTACATGCCTGGTAAACACGGTGTGCACTCCACTGCCTCTCTTAGTCCTGTAGGGAGAAAGTTACATGTACAGTTACTGTACATTTAGTAAGTACAGATTTAATGTGGAAGGTTGTGAACACAGTAGTACCGCTCCCAGCACTGTGCCGTGGGTTCGGTTAGTCTGTACCCTGGCAGTACATGCCTGGTGAGCAGGGTGTGCACTCTACAGCCTGGCTTAGTCCTGTAGGGAGGAAGTTACAACAGATACAGGCTGAATTGTGTACATTGTGTATCATGCAGACTTGGCAAACACAACCTTGCAGAGGTCTTCACACATTACTGTATTTAAAACCTGTAAAATCAACTTCATACATACATTAGTTGGCCTATCACTTATTTCCTACCTGTATCATTGCTGAAGCTGCCAGCTGGGCAGGGCTGCCAGTTGTGGCCAGTGCCGTTGGGACAGAAGTAACCCTCGGGACACGGGAAGTACGACGTTGAAGCATCCCCTTCCACAACGTTCTCAGGGATACAGTAGGAACCTGGGAACCGAGGGTAATATGTTACCATTGCAGCAGTTTTACAAGAACCAGTAATGACTAGCTTTCTGTATCTAAACTATTCACAATAAATCTTACTCTGGGAATGGAAGGTGATGAGTTATTATAAAAACTTTCTTAGCACCAGGGAGAGGGATGACTAGAATATCAGGTTTCTGTATCAACTTAACCATCCCCAGTGAATAACTGTGGTAACTGAAGGCAGCCTGTAGTAATAACAGCAGAATTTCAGCACCAGGGACAGGGGTGACTAAAATCTAAACATCTGCCTCCCTGACTCTTTCAGATGCTTTCAGATGCTGAGAATAGGGTTGATGTTACAGCAGAAGTTCAGCTCTAAGAATAGGTCTGACTGATAAAGGAAAAAAATATGATCATAGCAACAGTAATGCCTTAGGAAAGGAAGGCCAAACTGTTAGAATTATCACGATTGGAGCAAATTTTTAGCCCCTTCCAAACTTTAAAAAAAGCCCCTGCAGGACAAGGACCATCTTATCATAACAACAGAAGTTTGGTACCAAGGAAAGGAAAACTGATGAAGAAAAATTGAGGATACAGTCAGTGAGGCCTTGATACAGGATAGCCAAAGTGTTCCTAATTTTCTGCTCTGTATAGTCTTAAAAAAACCCACCTGCAGGACAGGGATACTTCAGGACATTGGAAAATGCTAGGCATAACAACAACGGACAACAACAGCAGAAGTTCAGCACCAAGGACAGGTACAAGTGTCTTAAAAACCCCACCTGCAGGACAAGGTGTGCACTTGGCGGCTCCTTCCGTGTCGACGTAGAACCCAGCAGGACAGTCCTGCGGCTCGGCACTTCCCTCAGGACAGTGTTTCCCCGGGGGACAGACAACAGGGTTGGGCTGGCTGGAGCCGCGTGGACAGTAGTAACCTATGGGGGGAGTTTGGTGTTGTTAGACTCAACTGAATTGGTCAACATTTTATGCAAATTGCAACTGTTATACAGAAACTGATTGGTCTAGAACAGGAATAATAATTATCATAGTAACCTGTAGACAGCAAAAACCTGCAAGGTACAGAGTTGTCGGAAATTACCCAATCGGTCAGTTCTGATGTGCAATACTCTGTATCTTGGTAGTCTTTCAATGGAACAATGGTAAACATTTAACTGTGGTAATCATAATACATTCTGCTGTGCCACCTTATTGCTACAATCCCTCCAGTAGGTAGCATAGCTTTTCCATGTCAAACGCTATCTGATTATTTTTTTATTAGATACATTTGTGGGGGCAAGTCTAAGTTGATACGTAGTGTGCATGAGCTCAATACTTGTGAAAAACACATAATCTTATTTTATAACTTACCTGCTTGGCACAGATCAGTTGGCTCGGTGAGTCCCAGTCCCTCGCAGTACCTCCCCGGAGTGCAGTGGGTACAGCCCGACTCACTATCCAGCCCAGTGGAGTTGGAGAATGTACCATTAGGACAGGGGGAGGGATCGAAGGTGCCCTCTCCGCAGTAGTGTCCCTCCGGGCAGATTTGCTGGTCAGGGCGAGTGGACCCTTCCACACAGTAATATCGGGGCAGACAAAGCCCACTCACAGCAGTCAGGCCTACAGGTGATGGGGGGGAACAGGCTGTAATATGTGGCACTTACACATGCATAGGCACAGAGATGGTTTCATAGTAGGCACAGAAATTGTTTCACATTCAAATATGACAGAAATATACTTCTGCTAGCTTATGCATGAGGAAGTAAAGTAATGTCAAACCTTCAAAAGATCTAAAAAGACAAAAATACTATTGAAAAATTATTGGAAAAATGGCATGGCATGGCACAGCATGGCTAAATTCTGTCAGTTTCCGAAACAGCTTGTATGTGTGGGTACATATAGAAATCGTGTGTGATGCACTTAACATTCTATTCCGATACCTGTTTGGTTGCAGAAGCTGCCTGCTGTACAGTTGAGACATTCCCCCACAGTCTGTAGCCCAGCAGTAGGGCTGAAGGTTCCCTCTGGGCAGGAGATCGGCTCGTCTGTTCCCTCAGGACAGTAGGACCCGGCAGGGCAGATGTCAGCGTTGGGGCCTGAGGAGAAAACAAGAACATTCAAGCATGCATATTTGTGCGGGCAAATTGCTAGGAAATAATGGGTAGGGTTAATCAAAGTAAACTCTTCGCAAAGCAAAGCAAAATCAGGGATAAATTTAAATTTTGTGTAAGAGGTGCATGTTAGAGCTGATCATTGCAAAATAATGACTTCGTTTATGAAAATGAGCCTCTTTTGTTCCATCTGAGCAGCAGGACCAATTTGAGTCTGGTTTGAAATGGTGCTAAGTGTATGTATTTCAAAATTACAAATAAGGTTTATTTATGAGGCATTAAATACATAACTGTAGACCTTTTGGCAATATCATGTTTAGATTTTCCCTACCCAGAGTTGGAGTTGCAGTGTTAGTGATTAGTACTAAACCTACCCAGAGTTGGAGTAGTAGTGTTAGTGATTAGTACTAAACCTACCCAGAGTTGGAGTTGTAGTGTTAGTGATTAGTACTAAACCTACCCAGAGTTGGAGTAGTAGTGTTAGTGATTAGTACTAAACCTACCCAGAGTTGGAGTTGTAGTGTTAGTGATTACCACTAAACCTACCCAGAGTTGGAGTAGTAGTGTTGGCCCCCTCCCTGCAGAAGTATCCGGCAGCACAGAACCGGGGCGGGGAGGCCAGTCCCGACTCGTCACAGGCGTAACGTCCGACGCACGGCGTACAGTCTGCCTCCGACTGGATTCCTGGGGACAGGAGGTGAGAATGTGAGGTCAGAAAGCTAGATTACTCTATCAGAGCTTTACAACTACATAATGTAAAGTTTTGGAATGGGTGGAATATTTGCAAAGGACCTGTGCTAATTTTACACTATACAAGGTGGCCAGGCTGGCAGAGGACTGCAAAAGGTGAAAATCTCTAGTTAAATGCTATGCTGCCCCTACAGCTTTCGACTACCTATGGGACTGATGGATGGACAGATTGTTGTTCGTTCTAACATAAAAACTACTTTAACCTCTTTTAATTCTAGACAGTGGAACTATGGTTATGATATCTTTGTAAGGTGTTGAATACACCTGTCACAGGTGTTTCTGGAGTGTCCTACATGCTGAACTCACCTGTGAGGTTGTTGAAAGTCCCGGGTGGACAGGGGAACTCCTCAGCGTACCTGGTCCCGTTAGGACAGTAGTACCCCATGGGGCAGGTGTAGCTGTTGTACCAGACTACAGGACCGAAGGTGGCATTACAGAAAAACCCAGCAGGGCAGTCATCACACGTCCATTTCCCTGCCGTGTCCTGGTAGGAACCTGGGGAAAACAACTTACAGTGTTAAGGACTGCTCTGTACAAGTGCGCCATCTAATGACCCAAAATGGCATTACATCTGCTTCTAGCATAACACTAGGAGTCAAGTCAGGGTTAGATGGCACCTACCTGAAGGATGTGGTGGACAGGTGTAGTTACCAGGTGTTAGGGTTAAGGTTTGGAGGTTAGGGGTTAAGGTTCGGAGGTTACCTACCTGAGGGGCATGGCTGAGGTGTGCTGCTCCCCTGTGGACAGTAGTGTCCCTGAGGACAGGTGAAGTTGCCAGGTGTAGGTGTGACCTGGCCTGTAGGACAGTAGTACCCCTGAGTGCAGTCTCCGGATGGTTCAGCCAAGCCCTCCCCTCCACAGTACTGACCTGCAGGCAAGAGCTCAACGTTAGAGCTTTCAGCAATCTTTGGAAACACTGATGATTTCAGCATTTTTTTCCCAATCTTTCAAAACCAAGAACTTCCTGATGAGACCTTCCAAAATTCCACACTTAGATCATGAAGAAGACACCGAAACACATGTAATTAAAACAAAGAAAGGCAGAGAAATGCCAGTTCACCTGGTGTGCAGCTGACACAGCTGGTGGGCTGGCTGTTGCCGGTTGTGTTGAGGTAGTAACCCTGGTTACAGGGGGTTCCGGCTGAGCTGCCAGTGGGGCAGTAGTGGCCGGTGGGACAGATGTCTCCTGTTGTGTTATCTGTAGGGTTGCTCTTCCAGGCACCCAGCGTGCAGTAGTAACCTGCAGGGGGGACAAGATGGGGGGGTTACAGCAGCAAGTTATTGTCACGTGGGATATTTTCTAGCAATAACAAGGAAAGGCTTTTATTCTTCGCTACAGGATAACTTCTGTAACATGCATTACTTTTCTGTAAGGAAATGTGTCAGAGTTTGAGTTGGTCAGGCTAAAATAAAAAGGCCAAAGGGTCAGTTGAAAATTTGGTAACTTTTTCTATCATGGATCCCTGACAAGTATTTCCCACCAACCTACAATCTACAGGCTTTCAAATCAAACGTTCACCACCATCTCCTGACATAGCCATGTTTCTCTCATCTTTCTAGTTCATTGCCGAGAAGTGGTCGCATAGGCCTTGCATTGAACAACTCCGTTAAATAAAAAAAGGTTTTGAACTGGAACAAACTTGTGGCTGTTGATATTGAACAGGAAGATCAGGCTGAGAGTTTTTCAAGGAATTTTGAGAGCTGACTTCTCACCTTGCTGGCACTGAGCAGTAGGAGCTGCCAGCCCCACGGTGGGGCAGTACCAGCCGGGGTCGCACGAGGTCGGAGCCTCGGAGCCGGCGGGACAGTAGTCACCTCGCTGGCACTGCCCTCCCACGGCCGGGTCAGTCGGCATGAAGTGGGCCGAACCACCGCTGCAGTAGTAACCCTCACTGGGACGGGAGGCAATCAATCAGTCAATAAATTGTCGGTAAAAGTCAAACATCCAGGTGATACGCCAAAAAAACAGTTACTCAAGCCACATAAAATCATGTCCAACAGATAGTGATTTTCCAACAGTTACTGTTTTTATGGAAAATCAGTCAATCAATCATTCAATCATTCATTCAATCCTTTGCTGTTACACTGGATAGTTTTCATGGTTACTCATGCAACAGGTTGAAGGGAAAATACAATGACAAACATGTATCAATTTTACTATATAGGAATCATGTCTAGTAGCAGAAGGCCAGTGCACGAAGAGAACATGGCAGATTTTCTGTGAAGAAGCTAGAAACTTGCAAACAATGAGTATCACCCACCTGCAGTTGCCCGTGGTGCTGGACAGGCCTGCCACCTGGCAGTATTGGCTGGGACTGCAGCTGAGGCAGGCGGTGTTGTTAGCCTGCCGTGTGACAGGGTTAAACGTGCCGCTCGGACACGCAAACTCATCCTCCCTGCCGGTGCCTTCCGGGCAGTAGTATCCGGAGGGACAAGGGTTCCCCGCAAATGTGGAGGAGTTAGTGGGACAGTAGTACCCAGGGGGACACGCTTTGCAGCTGCTCTCCCCTGTTTCGTCTTGGTACGTTCCAGCCTCGCAGCCGAGCGGATACTCGGTGCCAACCGGGCAGTGGTAACCAATCGGACACACACCTCCAACTCCTGCAATGGGAAATATATGTTTATCAACTTAACTTCAAGAGATATGTAACCCTATCAAACTAGATCACCACTCCAGGCATATCAAAGTGTTGTAATAAAGTAAAAGAAAGGAAGACTGGGGAAAGAACGACCGGACTGAAATATGGACTATGAATATGGGGAAGTTACTAGTGGACAGATGATAATGGCACAATATCTGTACCTACTATCATAATGGTATATAGCTGATGAAGATATGCAGGTAGTTTTTGACCAGTAGAGGACAGCTGTCATGAAATCTAAAGAGACATGAATATTATAACTTAGTCCTGATTTAGTAACATCGGTAGATGACGACATGCATATAACAGGTACTTGCTGACCCACCTGTGAATCCCCCCAGTAGAGGACAGGTGTCGTTGTAGGTCTCGTTGTTGCCAGGTGTGTGAGGGTTCGGCCTGTCGACGCCCGCGGCGCACCAGTAGCCCGCGGCACACGGCCCCGTTACGTTGGTGGCCGCGGGTTCGCTGCAGTAGTAACCTCCGCTGCAGTCCTGACACTGGTCAAGCTGGCATAGGGGATTCAACAAAAGGATTTACATTGTGGGCTTAGAAAACCTGCTTGGCAAAGTGCCTGAACCTACAATGTTGACTGCAAAATAGCATAAATTTTTGTATTCTACTCAATTTGTATGGTTCCTGCAATAGAAAGACTTACAGAAAATGGAGAGATAGACAATCACTATGTCTAGTTTACACCCATCATAAGACATAACAGTACAAAACCCCAAATCTCTCTACGTGTTTACAAAATGTATGATAAAAATCATCTTAGCTTCTGCTAGACCATGTTTACATTATAAATATGGTAATACATTGTGGAGGTTTTGTAACACATGAATATGTTTCTATTGCACAGATTGCGAAAAGATGCACTAGTGTAAGAGTTTGTGCATGAAGTGTAAGAGTTTACCCTGTAGAGTTTATGCTGGTTGCTGAATGTCCCGGCCGGGCAGGGTTTCCAGTCCAGACCGATTCCCTCCGGACAGTAGTACCCGGCAGGACAGGCATGGTACCCGGACTGGGGGTCACCCGAGGTCACATTCTCTGGCAGGCAGTAGTACCTGTACAGGTGAGATATTAGGACAGGACATGATTAACATATCTATATCCATGCATCTTATTAGCTTAAAGCCAGTTTAAACTGTAATTCTAACATAAGAAGTTGAACTTAGCCCAAAGTTTGACTGTGCAACTCCAGGAATTTCTTTTGTTGGAAATGACAGTTTTAACCTTGCTTCGTAATGACTTCTACGAACGCAGATGAACTTTTAAGATAATATAATATGCATCCTCTTAAGCTTAAAGGCTACTGAATCAATTTTGTGATGTTTACATGCCATCTCCTCCAAACTTTCTTCCAACTTTCCAGCAGAAGGAAGTATAAGATTACTGTAACATTACAACAACACTTACCCTGGTGGACATATTTCACACAGATGCTGTGGTGTAGTGTTGGTGAAGTGTCCTGAGGGGCCGGTCTGGGGGGTGGGGGGAGCCCTGGGGGTGGGGGACCCCTAGGGGTGGGGAATTAGTACTGTGACTATACTTACCCTGGTGGACAGATCTCACACAGATGCTGTGCTGTAGTGTTGGTGAAATGTCCTGAGGGGCAGGCCTGGGGGGTGGGGGAGCCCAGGGGACAGTGCAGCCCGATGGGACACTCCACTGGGTTGGGCACTGACGAGCCTGCATAACGGCAGAGTTGGTTTTAGTTAATGAAAAAACTTTATTGTAGTTCTTTTCTATGATTATCTACTTTTGGCCTGCACTACACATTGTTCTATAAACAAATCCACTTGCATCAGATTTGAGCAAAAGGAGATACAAGTTTTTGGAAACTGTGTTTTTTTTTATCTACCATCTCAAAACCTCTACCATTTGTAAAACTGTTATCAAGTAGAGGAAATTACCAGTAATTTTAAGCAAAATGCATTTAATTATAATTACCAACATCACGTGCATTTTTAAAAGCCTCTGTTACCAAGAAAGTACCAACTTGAATACAGAAAGGTTGATCTTTCTTGCTGCTTACCTTCAGGACAATAGTAGCCTTCCTGACAGAGGTCCTCTTCCTCAGTCAGCCCAGCCTGCTGGCAGTACCATCCCGCCGTGCAGTTGGTACATTCCGCCCTATGGGTCAGCCTGGTGTTGTTTGAGAAGGTGCCACTTGGGCAGGGGTAGGGCAGGTGTGTTCCGGAGGGGCAGTAGCTGCCGGCAGGGCAGACGATCTCGGTTTCAGAGCTTGAGCCGTTGGGACAGTAGAAGCCTGGTAGGCACAGACCACTTTCCTCAGTCAGACCCTCTGTTCCACAGTAATAGCCTGGGGGAGGCAGAAAAATTCATACTTTTAACTGCAAATTGCCTGAAATAATGGGTAGCCCCATTCATTAAACATTGATAAGTTGTTTCAAAAAAGGCCCCAGTCTTGCAAAACACAAGCAAAACATACTTTTGTTGGAATGGCAAATGACAGTACAATACCATGATTCCTTACAGAAACGGTTGCAGAGTTTCTTACAGCCAGCACTCTACGTGTACCTGATAACTTTTGTTGTTGCTGGTAACTCTACAAATTTAGAGCACCCAAGCTGTTCAACATAATGTCTAACACATGAAATACTTGTTAAAAACCTGAAGCTAAAGGAAGTGTTTCTGGACACTGCTGGAGAACAAAAATCATTCTTGCACCAGGTACAATAAGTCTTCTTACATAGTAAGACTGTTCTGGACATTTTCTTGTCTTAACCTCAGTGCTCATGGCGATGCATTTGGTATTTATGGGTGTGTTGTTTCGTCATGTATTTGTAATGTTAGTTTACGACTGTACAGTCAGTGCTATTCAGCTTGTTTTTGTACACGCTGTGAGGCTGATTTCTTTCAATAAACTGTTAAACTGTTAAATAGAGAGAAATGGAGTGTTTGTCTGCCCACCTCCTGTGCAAGGCAGACAGCTGGTGTGGTTCCACAGTCCTGTGCTGTTGGAGAACGTTCCCCTGGGACAAGCGGCCGGCTCCACGGTGCCCTCGGGACAGTAGGACCCTGCAGGACACACGTTCGCGTCCCCACCCTGGTCAGGTGCTGCCTCCGTCGCTCCCTGTTTGTTAATTTGTTTCAAATCTTCCATTAGTGATACCAAATTGTACACTTATCTTGTTCAAAATACAATATAAAGCAATACAATAAATAGCCAATTACAATAACAATGAACTTTATTGCATATTCATGCCCCACATGGACCAAATGCACTAAGTTAGATAACTGAGAAACAAGGGTAGAAGGAACATGTGTTACATATCTATAGGACCTCTTCTCTTTTTGAAACAAGTATGAACAAATTGACAGTTTTTCATTTAAATCGTAGTCTTTTAATTGATAATTCCGATATGATCAAAACATTTAGTGTGGTATACTTACATTTTCATCCAATATACATAACGATTAATATGAACAATATTAAACCTTCAAGATGAACAATAAATACTGTACCTGTTTGCAGAAGTACCCTGGTGCACAGGGTGTGTTTGGAGCTGTCAGGCCCCTCTCTCCGCAGTAGAACCCACCCAGACAGGCACTGCACTGGGCTTCCTCGGACAGCCCTGTTACGTTGCTGAAGGTCCCCTCAGGACAGGGGAAGGCTGTGGCGATATCTGTACCGTTGGGGCAGTAGTAACCTGGGCAGGGAGGGGATATACAGACAACATCATCGCAAACCGGTAAGAGTGGTCATGTTCACTTCAGAAAGATACTGGATTATTGAAAATCTCTCTGTCATAACATACACGTATATAATTATTGTAACATACATGTATATACTCAGTAATTGAAGGTTCTCTGAATGGATTTTGTTCATCGAGTCAGCGAAATACACAATCTCATAATGACAAATCTTGGACTTTATGGAAAGTTTAACAATTTAATTTTTGTGCACAGTACTTGTCCTTGGTGCTGAAAGCACTGTTGTAATGAAGTCTTCACTGTTAACATTGTGACCTTACCTTGTGGACAGACATATCCTGTATACACCCAGATATTACACAATAGTGCTCAATTTTAGTATGGAAAGACATTTGGATATCTGCTAGATCCACAGTCGTCTGTAACTGCAAGTTTCTCTGATGGTACATGTAGTATTTGAAAAGGTAGTTTACAAAGTCAATGAAATGCTACAAAATCTATAATTATGCACTTTATTAAACAAGCTACAACCTTTTTTTCCTAGTGTACATGTTATCTACAAAAGGGGTTCCCTCTGTTATAAATATAAATAGTACTTGTCCATGGTGCTGAATGTAATGCTGTGACAAAGTCCCTGTACCTTGTGGACAGACGTATGCTGTGTAGTTGACCACAGGACCATCCGGAGTGTCGCAGTAGAAACTGGGAGGACACTCCTTACAGCCGCTCTGCCTGGTGAGGTCCTGGTACGACCCCGGGGGACAGGCCTCGGGCGCCCCCACCCCCTGCTGACAGTAGTGCCCCACCGGGCAGGGGAAGCTGTTGGGGGTGGGGATGGTCTGGCCACCCGGGCAGTAGTAACCTGGGGTAGGAGAAAAAACACACATTCTTAATATATAATACACCAAAATTAGTTGCCATTTTTTGCCACTAAAACATTTCAGATGGTAACATGGTAACACATTTTTCATTTGCCTGAGTAGATTACAAACACAGTCACTCAGGTCTTCCTCAGTAGACTGACCCAGTGAGGCTTGTCACATGGCCTCCCTAGGTCAGTCTACGGAAAACTTGAGTGAAAGCTCTAGGTGAGAGAACTCCTTTGTGTTGTATCTACAGTTTTAACTTTAACTACCAAAACAGATGAACTTTCATGAAAGTATATAAAGAATTAACACTTTTGATCCAACACAAAGGATTCTATGATCTTACCCTAGGGCTTTCAACCAGTTCCTCTGATCTTTGTCAATAGAATGACCCAGTGAGGCTGTCACCTGACTTCTTTGAAGTGTGTTCAACACTAGGTCATGAAAGTATAACACCCACCTTGAGTACATTCCCCTGAGGGAGTGGCCAGTCCGCTGGAGTTACAGTAGGACCCAGCCGTGCAGTCCAGGCAGTACGAGCTGTTCTGGGCTCCCGTGGATGGCAGGAAGGACCCTGGAGGACAGGCCTGCTCCCTGCTGCTGCCTTCTACACAGTAGTGCCCAGGGCTGCACTCGGCTCCTTGGCAATGAGTAACACAGGATAGTCAGGACACGTTTTATCCAGAAGACTATTTTATCCAGAACTGTGCTCAGGCATGGTTCTGGTTAGTTCATGTGTGTCCAGAACCATGCCTAGGGCAAATCTACATCTATGTTCTTGGATACTCAGAGACTATCCAGAACCATCCCTGATTCTAATAAAAAACCTATTTAGGCATAGAACTAGAGAGGCACTTTTCTGCATACAACAGCTGCTGACTACATATGTCTATTTGTATTGTTTATAAGGTTTGTATAATCATACAGACCAGGGTTAAGATCTTGATTAAATAGGACAAGGATTTGAATCACTGACTTTGTGAGCCTGAAGTGGAATTTTTATACCCTGAAAGTTCACATTGCTACATGGAGTGAGTTTTTACTTCTGACGTTGCAAATTTTACTAACAAACAAAAGTTTAGAATTGCTAAACACAAGTCCGCAGTATGCCAGACCTACAGAAACAAGCCACACTGCATGTTCCCCTCTTACCTCCGACTCCGCTGGGTGTGGGTGTAGTGGACCCGTTGGTGCAGTAGTGGCCGGCATGGCATAGCCCCGCGGGTGTGGGGAGTCCCGCCACGTCACAGTACCACCCCGCAGTGCAGGGGGTGGGGAGGCTGGACCCCAGGGGGCAGTATTCACCTGGGGGTGGAGGGCAGAAACAAGAGGCTTGTGTGTTAGAATAAAGTTCAACCTTTTACTATGATTACTACCAACACAGATTAACCTTCATGATAATGTGCAGTAAATTTGCTGAAGTCCTTTTCCCCACCTGGTTGACACTGGCCTCCTGTTGCCAGGTCGGACGGTTCGGGTTCGATGGCACCTCCGCTGCAGAACCATCCCTGGGGACACACGTCTGTGGGGTGGGGGTTCCCCAGGCCCTGGCAGTAGGACCCCGGGGTGCAGCTGACACAGGCAGAGTCGTCAGGCATACCTGGGGTGGGGATAACAGCATTAGTGTGGGGTGGGGAGGGCAGCACCACCCCTGGGGACACACGTCTGTGGGGTGGGGGTTCCCCAGGCCCTGGCAGTAGGACCCCGGGGTGCAGCTGACACAGGCAGAGTCGTCAGGCATACCTGGGGTGGGGATAACAGCATTAGTGTGGGGTGGGGAGGGCAGCACCACCCCTGGGGACACACGTCTGTGGGGTGGGGGTTCCCCAGGCCCTGGCAGTAGGACCCCGGGGTGCAGCTGACACAGGCAGAGTCGTCAGGCATACCTGGGTGGGGATAACAGCGTCAGTGTGGGGTGGGGAGAGCAGCACCCCTGGTGAAATTGAATCTTTTACAGCCAACAGTCAACAAGTTAAAGCGGTGTACATGTGGCTTTGCAAAAAAGCGTACTGTACGTAACAGTTATAATCTGTTAGGATTTTTTATGACTACAAACTCAAGTCATGTATCTCATCTTCCAGTCTCAAATTCATAACCCAACAAACAGAATGTCTCACAGTATATAAATCAGTAAGCTGTGAGGTTGTTGTAAAGTAAAGGGCTTTGTTCCAACACAAGAAAGAAACTCGCCATAAATTTTCGGTCGATCACGTCAACCATCATCAGATGACTGTGTGATCTTCTTGTGCTGGAGCAAAGCTTGAATTTTACAAATACAGATTCTACCAACACAGATGAGTTTTCATTCAAACCTCACAATGTTAATAAGCTGACTTGCCTTGTAGTTCTAAGTTGACTCATTTGTTGCTCTAATTGTATTATGTTATTTGATTACTTTTTGTATTGTTTTGTATTGTCATTTTATTGGCATGGCGGCTTTGAAAAAGTGTTTTATGTCAGAAACACCTGTTTCGCCATGCCATCCACAGTGCAAATTGTATGTGGTAAAACTTAATAAATAAATAAAGAAAGAAAGAACCTGTGAGGTTGTTGAATGTCCCAGCCGGACAGGGCCATTCCTTGTCGTAGGTTGTGTTCTGTGGACAGTAGTACCCGGGTGGACAGGGTGTTTCGGCGTAGGTGCTGACGTTAGCCTGACAGTAGTACCCCTGGGGGCAGGGCTTGCAGTCGGCCTGGGTGTACAGGTCCTGGTACGTCCCTGCCTCGCAACCCAGGGGTAGGGCGGTACCGGTGGGGCAGTAGTGGCCAGGTGGGCAGATCCCGCCTACACCTGTGTGCTCACCTGGTGGGGAACAAAAGACAGCTGCATTATTTTGTTGATGAAGGTTAGACATCCAAGTAATAAGACATGCCAAAAATCAGTTACTCAAGCGACTGGATATGATTTTGGAAAATCATATCCAGTTTTCAAAATCATATCCAGTTGCTTGAGTAACTGCTTTTTGGCATGTCTTATTACTTCTGTAACAGCAACATGAAATTATCTTGTATGCATTAATAGTCTAAAAAAATGCCCAATGAAATACCAGTATACAATTCTTTGTGAAATATTTTGAGCAGGCTGCTTTTGTTGATTCATACTTTGATAAAAGTAATATGCAGGCATTGACTTCTGTGGAGACTGCTGTCTTGTAGTAAAAAATATGCTCTTTTTTGTGTTAGCACAAAGATTTAACTTGAACCGACACAGATGAAATTTAATACTGATGTGAAGGTGGAAAATCTCTCCCCATGAGAATAAAAGCAGATGTGAGACGTACCCAGGAAAGTGCAGTTGTCAGTGGTGGAGTTGGAGCTGGTGTACGGCATGGGTGTTGGCCTGTCCACTCGAGATGTGCAGAAGTACCCAACAGCACACTCGGCAGTGGGGGAGGTCTGGTGCCAGCCACTACAGTAAAAACCACCTGGGGCAAACAAGATGGGTTAGTGATGCATGAAATATCATAATAACTACAGCTGTAAGGCTTGGGTGTTGGCCTGTCAACTGCAGATGTCGTGGTGTACACAATGTACAGCAGTATCCAGGAGCAAATTACTTCGACTGGTGCCGACACTGCAGTACCAACCACCTGTTGGCACAAGATATGGGTGAGCTATGGCAATAATATATATAGCAGCTGGTCTCTGAACTTGACAGCGTTAACTAAACTGTGCACTGAATACTCCTAACTACTATACGCTGTCTACAGCCCTCATGTACCAGATTTTTGTCAATCTTCAAAGATTTCACAAAACTTACTCCTATAGTGCAGTTTGAAGAATGCAGCAGCAGTATCTATCATGTTTAATGACTAAGTTGAATCTCCGTACCTGGACAGTCTGTACACTGTGCCTCCTCTGCCAGGCCAAGCTGGTTGCTGTAGGTTCCAGGCGGACAGTCGGTCCAGTTCCGACCGGTTCCCTCCGGACAGTAGTAACCCCGCGGACAAAGTCTGTAGCCGGAGGTCGAGTTACCTGCAATACAGCAAATGTTATATGTTAATACTAAGAACAGACCTAGATTCAGTGTTATCTATGCAAAAATTATGGTGTTTAAATTATTGCATAGAACTTTTGGAAGCCTGCGTGATAACCATTAGGGCCCGTGTGTGATATGGCTAGTTATCACACAGGCGGAACACCCTAATAGCATCACAATGTTATCACAGCCTAGGTATGACATAATACTGTACAGCAACAGATAATGTTTCATTCAAAAGTTTGACATGTCATAAAGGGAGCTGTCAGCAAGTGTTGTACTAACCATCCCTGTCCTTGGTACTGAACATGCAGATTTTATTCTGTGCTACAGTGAAGGGCAGTTAGATTTGTGATCAGTGCTACAGACACTCAGTCTTACCTTCTATAACCTCCTCCGGTACACAGTAGTACCCAGCCGGGCACGTCAGGCACTCCCAGGTCTGGGTCAGGTTAGTGAACGTTCCCGGCTCACATGGGACGGGGGCTGGGCTCCCCTGGGGACAGTGCAGGCCGATGGGGCAGGGGGTCTCCCCAGGGGTGGGGACGTCATCACCCCCTGGGCAGTAGAACCCAGGGTCACAGTCGCCTGAAGGGCTGGACAGGCCTGGGGGGAGATAATGTGAAAAATAATAACAATGCAAAAATCTGACATATTGTCATTCATTGTTTATATGTGACGTGCCAGTCAATTATAGACAAAACTGATACTGATGTGATCAAGAGTGACAACAGGTAACATTTACTCAGCTATAGCAGTCTTTAGTGTTATTATCATAACAAATTCTTTTCAGAGATTCAAATTTTATTTTCTACAGTTGTGTGACAACATTGTTGACACTCAAATTCAGGTATACACACAATAAAACATAATAAACTTCCCACAACAAGTATGAAAAACAAGACTGAACAACACTATTTATCAACTAGAGTGGATATGAGTCCCTCACCAGTCTGGTTGCAGAACTTGCCGGGATCACACGGGTCGCACTGAGAGACGTTCTGGTTGTTTTTGCCGGTGCTGTAGGTTCCCCTGGGGCAGGGGGTGGGGCTTCCCGACCCCTGGGGACAGTAGTGCCCCGAGGGACAGGAGATGTTCCTGGCATGGGAGGATCCCAGCTCACAGTAGTACCTGAAGTTCAACGGTAACAAAAACAATGTCAAAATTTCGTCAATGAGAAACAACAAAAATATATCTCAATAGGCTGCTGACCGATACTAATAATGTCAATTAACAAGTGTTTGCATATGTTTGGAAAATTTAAAAAAAATTTCTTTAATTTTTCTTTTCAGGTACATGTAAGTCAATTGCTTATGTTTACTGCCCATTCCATCCATTCTCATCTTTTCCTTCCCTCTATCTATAATTCATCTTCACCACCCTTACCCTGCGTCACACAGCCCACTGGTGTCAGTCATGGCCACCTCTCCACAGTACTCCCCTGCAGGACATAATGTACAGTCCCCTTCCTCCCTCAGCCCCGTGGTGTTACTGTACGTTCCCTTTGGGCAGGCTGAGGGGTTGGACGTTCCTTGGGGACAGAAGAATCCCTCGGGACAGATGTCGGCATCAGCACCTGCAGATGGTAAAACAAGAAAAGCTTTTTAAAAAAGCTGGCCGGGGCGCACATTGAAATTTTCTTTAGTTTAAGTCAGAGCAGATACAAAATTTCCCAGTGATAGCAGTGACTTAATGCACTGCGCTACTTGTATGTATATGACAATATGAATGTGAATCAGTGTTGCAGTCATGATATTTAAGTGCCGTCAATTAACCTGTCACCCCTACTCCCCAACGGTATAGATCAAGCTCCTACCTACCTACCTACCTACCTACCTACCTACCTACCTACCTACCTACCTACCTACCTACCTACCTACCTACCTGGTCAACTCGGTCAACTCGGTCCACTACCCTGGTCAACTCGATCAACTCGGTCAACTCGGTCAACTCGGTCCACTACCCTGGTCAACTCGGTCAACTCGTCAACTCGGTCCACTACCCTGGTCAACTCGGTCAACTCGGTCAACTCGGTCCACTACCCTGGTCAACTCGGTCAACTCTGTCCACTACCCTGGTCAACTCGATCAACTCGGTCAACTCGGTCAACTCGGTCCACTACCCTGGTCAACTCGGTCAACTCGATCTACTACCCTGGTCAACTCGATCAACTCGGTCCACTACCCTGGTCAACTCGATCCACTACCCTGGTCAAATCGGTCAACTCGGTCCACTACCCTGGTCAACTCGGTCCACTACCCTGGTCAACTCGGTCAACTCGGTCCACTACCCTGGTCAACTCGGTCAACTCGGTCCACTACCCTGGTCAACTCGGTCAACTCGGTCCACTACCCTGGTCAACTCGGTCAACTCGGTCCACTACCCTGGTCAACTCGATCCACTACCCTGGTCAACTCGGTCAACTCGATCCAGCTACCTACCTACCTACCTACCTACCGACCTACCTACCTACCTACCGACCTACCTACCTACCGACCGACCGACCAACCTACCTACCTACCGACCGACCGACCGACCGACCGACCGACTCTTGTCGAGAAAATATTTTCTCCTGTTCTAGAAGTTTGGTACCTTTGCCATAAATTAATGGTACTTTTATTTTTAATATAGAGTCTTTAAAGACACCACAAAAGTACAGGGAGTTTTATACGGTCTGCTGCAATGTACCACTAAATAATAAGATTGAAATATATATGAAATACTGTGTGTCTCTGAGAGACAAAGATTGCTGACATAGAGTCTCAGAGCCTCGGACAAAAATACGCCAAAAAACAGGTAATCAAGCAACAAGTAACTGCTTGAGTAATTTGGCGTATCTTATTACCTGGATGTCTAACCTTCATCGACGTACCAAATGTAATAGGAACTATTTTGATGTTTATCTATTTGCCCTGCACTTAGTGGTTACTATTCTACTGTGTGCATTGGAATAACAGACTTCTGTAGATCCTGACCTTGGTTTGGTGTGGAGGTTTCAGCTCCCTCCTGGCAGAAGTAGCCGGCGTCGCACTGGTCAAACGGACTGACCAGTCCAGGCATGGGGCAGTAGTGACCGCCCAGGCACCGGCTGCACTGGCTAGACTGTCTCAAACCAGTTCTGGGGGAGAAACAACAAAAATATATCTCAGTAGGCAGCTGAGTGTAATACTTAATGATGTCAATGTTAAAAAGGCGTGTGCAGGTGTTTGAAAAAAAGGTTCAATGTCAATAATCATGCGCCAAAAAACAGTTAGTCAAGCAACTGGATATGGTTTTGGAAATCATATCCAGTTGCTTGAGTAACTGTTTTTTTGGCATATCTTATTACCTGGATGTCTAACCTTCACCAACATGTCAATAATCATGCCTTAAATACTTTGAACACTAAGCAGTTTCTAACCTCATGCTGTGAACACTATGAGGGTACGATTCTTTGGTTATTGTACATCCTACAAACTTTTTAAGGCTACTGAATCAGAAGCAACTTGTCAAATTCTGAAAACGGTTACTGAGAGATGTTTCAGATAGCATCCACCTTCCATCAGTAACATTTTAAAACCATAGTCTATTGAATACAGGTATGAGACAGAATGTACATGTTAGAATAATATGGTTGAAGTACATGTGTAAGTAACTAATACCTGTTGTTGAAGGTTCCATTTGGACAGGGGAACTCGTTTGCATATCTGGTCCCCTCCGGGCAGTAGTACCCCATGGGGCAGGTGGTAGTGGTATTGTCCAAGACCACATAGGTCACCGTGTTGTCGCAGAAGTAGCCTGGTGGGCAGGCCTTGCAGGAGCTCTGCAGCTCCTCGTCTTGGTACGTTCCATTCTCACACCTCACGGGGGTGTGCGCTCCCGACTCGCAGTAGTGGCCAACAGGACAGCTGCAGTGGAGGCATTTTTGATGAGTATGTTTTCAATAAAAAAATTTTCTTGTGAGTATTAAAAATATTCCATTTTTAATACTCTGTATGCAGCTCTCTAGATGGGAAACAACATTTTCCATGGCCAAAGTTTGTACAAGAAGTCATGTAAACCACATTCATGTGTGATGCTTGTTCTATTTGCAAAGAAGGAAACTACACAATCTATTAATGAAAGAGGTAAAAATGCTAATAATGATCAAAATAACAGAATCATATGATTCCAGAGCATCATAAGATCTTTCTCTATTTATTGGTTATTGTTAAACCCTGCCCCTACCCGTAGTCAGCAGGCTGTGAGACGTTCTGGCCACCGGGGCAGTAGAAGCCTGGGTCGCAGGCTCCTGCGGATAGCGGCCTCCCCACCCCGGGGCAGTGCTCCCCCAGGGGACAGGCCAGGCAGTCTGCCTCCGCATCGTTCTGTGTGGAGTCGAGGAAGGTTCCGGTGGGGCAGGGGAGGGGGGCGGCACTGCCCATGGGGCAGTAGTGACCTTCAGGACAGAGGTCGCCCGTGGAGTTGTCCACAGGGTTGGGGAACCGAGCTCCCAGGGTGCAGTAGTAGCCTGGAAGGTACAAACAGGAACAATAAATGACAATTTCAGAAGTTGAGAAGGTTCATATTTGCCTTCTGGTAGTTATTTTATTATCATGGTAGAGTATAATGATTATCATACATGCATTTGGGAGCCCTGGGGTCTGACAGTACTTACCTGCAGTACAGTCTCTGGTGGGTAGAGGGAGCCATGGTGTCTGACAGTGCATGTACTTACCTGCAGTACAGTTGCCAGTGGGTAGAGGGAGCCTTGGTGTCTGACAGTACTTACCTGCAGTACAGTTGCCAGTGGGTAGAGGGAGCCTTGGTGTCTGACAGTACTTACCTGCAGTACAGTTTCCGGTGGGTAGAGGGAGCCCTGTAGTCTGACAGTACATGCCAGGGCTGCAGAGCTGCGGGGAGGAGGACCCCTCTGGACAGAAGTACCCCGGCTGACACTCCCCTCCGTTTGTAGCGGGGGTGGCAGACGTCGAGTTACCAGAACAGTACCAGCCTGCAAGGGAAGGCAGGGGTTTAGATCGTAGAAAATAACAGCAACATAGTTGTTTTCAAACGTGTAAAAATGGATGAAAGAACAAAAATAGAAAAAAAATCTAGAAAAATGTGATTTAAAAGGCAACAGACGCTAAATTTTTCTTAGTATCTGTAAATTCGATAATTACATAGAGGCTATTTGATACACATGGCATTACCAGAAATTTGAAAAGGTCTAACTCCAAATTCAAAGCATGCAGTATGTAAAATCTATCAGTAAGAAGATGAGACATTCAAGTAAATCCAGTCTACATAAAAAGAGTTAAATGTGCATCATATATATTTAAGAATTTTAAAATTAAACCCACCCTCCTGACAGAGGCCGGTGGGATAGTCCAGGCCCGGGGTTGAGCAGTAGGACCCGCCTGGGCAGGGCAGGCAGTCGTCCACAGACCGCGCCATGGTCAGGTTATAGTAGGAGCCGGCAGGACACGGGTTCTCAGTCGCTGTGGCGGTCCCCTCGGGACAGTAGTGGCCTGGGGGACAGGGCTTGTCCTCATACTGGTCTGAGCCTGGGTAATATATAGGGAACATTGGGTATGGTTTACTACACACATGCCTAGCAAGTACAATGTTATGTATCATTAAAAATGATGGAACAAACAGCGGAATGGGGTTACTATGGGCTCCTCTCTTTCAACTGTTTCCACTGACACTGTCACAAGTCAGTCATGCAAGACTAGTACATTGTATGAAGATAGGAAGATAGGAAAAGGGGGAAAAGGATAAGAGAATATGATCAACTGGCAATAACATTGATGAAGGCATTAGATCATAGAACTCTAGTTTAACAGAGTATAAAAACACAGGAAAGAAACAGTTGACATGACCTACCCTGCAGACAGTAGTGTCCTGCTGGGCAGTCGATGCAGGTAGCCAGTCCCGTTGTGTTGCTATGGGAACCGGATCCGCAGGGTTTGGGGTGGGTGGTTCCTCGTGGGCAGTAGTGCCCCACAGGACAGATGCCGCCCACTCCTGTCATGCCACCTAGCAGGAACAATTGGTACTGCATCATCAGGTACATGTAATATTCACAGAACCTGGCAACACTATACACACATGACATGGCAGAAAAACATGTAGGTAGGAGTTGAATTGCCAAAGATAATCACAAAACAAATATAATGAGTCTTAGCTAGCTGAACTTTCAAATGACTGTGAATTGCTCTCCTTCTTACTAGTCTTTCAACTGTTGACTTGTTAAAGTTTGTTTAGTTGATTCTCCTTTATCAATGTACAATGTACATTTAGATTTACTAACTTGGATACCTTAACATTCTTAATGTATACAAATTGGATGTCTATAAAATCAATCACTATTCCTTACTCATGCTACAAGTTTCCTACATTTATGTTTACCGAAGGAAAAAATGTTTTTGCTAAGTTTCTTCCTCCTCTTCCTCTTCTGTTCAAAACACCATCCTCTGACCTGGCCAATGACATGATTTGTTGACATCTGTCACCATGGAGACTGGTGTTGGGTTACATAATGCAATTTCATGGTCTACTCTGCTCCTGTCACCATATACTAGTAGTACATGTATGTGAATGTGTTTGAGTAAGAATTAACAGAGCAGACGATGTCCGAAGGTAAACATAATGCATTTGCTTTGCAAATGTTACTTCTCTAGTTCATGATTGTGGTTGTAAGAAATTTTCCATAATAATGACCCTTTCTCCAGACATAACCTTACCTGGCAGCTGACATGTGCCGTTGACGAGAGTGGCGTTGTAGTCTCCATCAGGCCTGGGCCTGTCCACCCCGTACTCACAGTAGTAACCTGGAGAAGGGCAGTCAGGTCAGAACGACAACATAACATGGCCGAGATACAGGAACTTCCTACTGGTTATATCAGAGACCCGTCACTTAATGCAGAATCAGTTGGTTTCTTACATACATGTAATAATCACACTAAACTGAAAACTAGACTACAAGTGTAACAGCAACAGGCATAAATCAAACTTAGTGACTGGTTCTAAGTGATTTTTAGGAGACTGGGCCTCCCTGAAAAACAACTTGGCAGTTAAACATTATGGAAATTGAACCAGAATCTGATGTTCAGACGTTACACTAAACAACAGCCTCAAATCTGTTGTGTGTGTTTTCAACTCACAACAAAATTGTTGTGAGTTGAGAAGTACATAAATTGAATCACACAACAGCAGACGAAGGTCCATGCACAAACCTTTGTCTAATTGTTCAACTGACAACAAAGGTCCACAAACCTGCGTCGCACTTGTCCGTGACTGCGGTAGCCTGCAGACTGCTGCAGTAGTGTCCGCCTGCACAGGCCTGGCACTGCGGCTCCTCCCACAGTCCTGTGTCGTTGCTATACGTTCCCCTCGGGCACGGCCGCCAGTCGAAGGCGGTTCCCTCCGGACAGTAGTACCCTGCCGGGCAGGTCCCCACCACCTGCCCATTCAGGCAGTACCTGGGAACAGAATGGACAATGTGAATGCTAGGTTACACTATAAGGTTTGCCTGCATTGTAAAAATGGTCCCACAGATGTTTACAGACCATAGAGGCAGTGGGCTGCTCATCCTCTGTGTCCATTAGAAGTCCATCTCTCTCCTTCCACTGCCTTTTACCTCCCTAACTAACGTCAGGTGATATTTATACCTGGGCGGAGTCAGATCATGTAATGTGCCTTTCCCAAGGACACAGCGTCTAGCCAGGAATCAAACTTGTGACCTGGGTTTGTGCTTGCTTGCCTACCCAAATTTAATGCCACACAAGGAAACCAAATTGGCATAAAAACCTTAAAAGACTATACACTTTTTATCACAATTATATTTATTGATTTTAAACCGAGCTCGATTGTCAATTTTAACTCCTTAGCACTTTTAAACTGTCATTGTAAATACCTAACAATTCAGACTTATTGTCTGCAACTAGGTGTGTGATGTATGAATAAATGAATATGAAAAAAAACCTGAAATGACATCTTATGCAGCACTCGTTATCACACACATAATAACGATGAATTTTAGGAACTGTGTCCTCACCATCCCTGAGGACATGTGTAGCACTCGTCCGCGTGTGTGTGGTTGGTGTGTGTGCCGTTGTCACAAGGCAGAGGCTCAGACGAGTTAAGCGGGCAGTAGTGGCCCACCCAGCAGGCAAACTCCGCAGGACGCGAGCTGTTCTGGCCCCCGGGGCAGTAGTAGCCCGGCTCGCAGGCTCCACTGGGCTCTGTCAGACCTGAAGTGGGAACATACATCTTACACATGAAGGATGTCTGCAGATGTGAGGCAAACTATATTATACATTTACCAGATAACCTAACTTACTCTAGTCAGAAAAAAACAACGATGCAGGTTCTTTCTAGTACTTATTCTGTCACTAAAGACTTTGTCTATGCTGAATGCTTGGTTCACAATGTTCACCAATGCCAGAAAACTGAAATGTTCACAAATTCCGACTGCCATACATATTTGAATTTAATGATAGAACACCATCATAGATAATGCTATAATATTAGGCCGGGGCTGGCTACAAGGAGTGATAGAAATATGGGCTGTACACAGTGAAGAACTGTTTAGGCCTGTGTATGGGGACTAGGGTTAGGGTAGGGTTATGGTTAGGAATGCGGAGTGACATATCTCACCTTCAGTCCCACAGTAGCTGCCCTCGGTACATTGTGTGCACTGGGAGGAGCTGTTCAGGCCTGTGTAGGGGTTAAAGGTTGCCTGAGGACAGCGGGAGGGCGTTGGTGACCCCTGGGGGCAGAAGTGACCTGCAGGGCAGATGATGTCAGTCCGGGTGGATGCTCCCTCCTCACAGTAGTACCCAGGGGAGCAGGGGCCTAGAAGTGGGGTGGGGGTGGAAACATGTTATTTATTACAATCATGGAGAAGGTATGAAAAGCATGAAACTAACTTTAAAGTCAAACCTACACAATGGCAACACATTTTTAACTGTAAGAACGACAAATAAATACTGCAACAAGTTTGCTAAGCCATACAGAGTTTATAGCACATCAAATAATGGACCATTTCTGGCACATTGAAGAACATACTAAAATCATTTCACATTTGCAACCATTGCTGGCACATTGAAGAACATTTTTAGATCATTTCACATTTGCCACCATTGCTGGCACATTGAAGAACATACTAAAATCATTTCACATTTGCAACCAAGTTCTGTGCTCTCACCTTCCACCTCAGTGAGTCCGGGAGTCTCGCAGTAGGACCCAGCCAGGCAGGCGGTGCAGGAGCTCACGTTCATCAGCCCTTCTGTACCTCCAAACGTCCCCGAAGGGCAGTCCACTGGCTCTGCTGTACCCTCCTCACAGTACGAGCCCTGCACGGAATAAAAAAATTATTAATAACTTTATTGACACAACAAAAGTAAAGCGACTTGTGAAGGGAGACTTCTTCTTTCAATCCAAAATGTACTAACTCACTTGTATGTTTAAGGTGCTTTGTGTTTCTCTAGTTTCGTAGTTAAAACCAATTCTGAATGTATCGTTTGCCCTAAGAAAATCCCCATACCTGTGGGCAGATATTTGCGTCGGTTGTCTGGTTTGGAGTGCGAGTTTCGGCATACTGTTTGCAGAAGTAGCCGGCAGAGCAGGGACCAGACGAGGATGTGAGGCCGACATCGCCACAGTAGAATCCGCCTGAAGCAGACAAGGCAATTCCATGTTCAAACTGTGAGGGGACTATGCAGCTTTAACAATAAGCATCGTTTTCTTTTACTTTTTGATTCATATAATTGTACAACAGAATTTGGCAACTGAATTTTAAGATCTTATTTCAAATGTCCTGCTCAAACTGGTACATAGCCATACCTGTACATGGGCTACAGTCTGCGGATGAGTTGTATCCGGTGGAGTTTCCGTAGGTCCCCCGCGGGCACGGCCACTGGTTGTACCGCTGTGTGCCGGGCGGACAGAAGTACCCGGCTGGACACTCCACACTGCCGTTCACCACTACCACACCTGGGGGAGAAACGGAAGTGAGCTTAGACTGGTCTGAACACCTGAAGTGTACACCTACCACACCTGTCCTCAACACTGCAACACCTGCCACCAACTCAGCCACACCTGCAGCACAAAACCTTGGTTAATATCACCTGGATGAAGTCAGACACACCTGTCAAGATTGGCACATTGGCACCTGTAATCAAACCCCACTGTTATTGAATTTCCGGGAATTGATACGCCTGTTACTAACGACTTCCACCGACACACGGTGACTGCATCCCCGCAATCCCTCCTTTAATCCTGAGGGTTTAACACCGATCTTGCCTGCTACCGATCCTCCCCCTGAAGTCTGGTTTCTCAACCACCGACTATTACTAAAATCGGGCAAGTTCTCGGGGGCAGTCGGTTGGCGGCCATGCCGAGCATTAGACTTTGAACCAGGCAGCCACGAGTCATCTCCCTGGGAAGGAGCCGTAGCCTCAGTGTAGAATATTGCTGAGGTAAAACCTGTTCCGAAGGGGAAACCATCACGTGTTGAAAAGATCCGCCTGATATCCATGACACACACACACAGGCACACACACACACAAACACACACACAAAGGGGCCAAAAACAAAACCTTCATTTTTCATGGAGGTTATAAATATGATCAATAAATCAACACATTTCTCTCACCATAGCTGTTGTCGCAGTAGTATCCGCCGGGGCAGATGGTGCAATCTGATTGGCCGAGCTGATCCTGATACCATCCGCTGGGGCAGATGGTTGGCTGATGGGAGCCCTCCGGACAGAAGTATCCCACCGGGCACTGCAGCCTGTCGGGGACGTCCTCCCCTCTCGGGCAGTAGAAACCTGCGCTGCAGTTGCCTAGGTGACGAGAATTTACACACATGGGAATGCATCTCTTTCCCAAGCAATGGAAATCATGTTACAGCAGATGGAAAAGACATCTTCAAGTCTGTAATATACTTTTTGTGTTATGTTTTGGTGAAAACTTGAGGTGGATAATCAAGCTAATTTTTCCTTCAAGCCAACCAAATCTTTTGTCACATTTTATTTTTATTTTTATTTTATGACAATTTACCACATTTGTGGAAGGATTGACATAACAGGTGACTATCACCTCTTCAAAGATGTCAACCCCGAGACCAGACTGTAAGGCTTGAACCACTCACACCGGGAAGGTCCCCTACTCCGGGAAGGTCCCCTACGATAAGTGTGGTGGGTTCTTTAACGTGCGTGGGGTGTGGCTCTCCCAAACACGGGACCTCCATTTAACGTCCTATCCGAGGGACGTCCCTAGCCGAAGCTAGGTACTCATTTACACCTGAGTGAAGTGAGGAAAGTCGTGTAAAGTGCCTTTCCCAAGGGCACAAGATCGGTGACATGGGCAGGGTTCGAACCCACGACCTCTCGGGTGTGAGCCGAACGCGCTACCGACTGCGCCACACGACCCCACATTGGTGCAGTTTTTTTTCTTTATCTTTGTCTCTCAAGATATCCTAACAAAGGTAACACGTCAGGATGAAGTTGGAGTACTGTCTTCCTCCTCATAGATTTGTCCTACCTAAATAACAGGAAGAGCTCCAAAACTGTTACTAACATATCTAACTATTAAAGAGCCCATACCTGAGGTGGTTGTCATGTTGTAGTCTCCACAGTACTCCCCATAGCTGCAAGGCCTACAGTCGGTAACGTTGGTGTTCCTCTTACTGGAGCTGTAGGTGCCAGGGGAGCAGGGGGTGGGGTACGCTGAGCCCTCCTCACAGTAGTAACCTGAAAAAACAATTAAGGAGCTATTGTTACAAAGGAAAACTGTACCAAATTGCCTTGTGCTACTAGAATAGCTGCACAGCCTACAGTCGGTAACATTGGTGTTCCTCTTACTGGAGCTGTAGGTGCCAGGGGAGCAGGGGGTGGGGTAGGCTGAGCCCTCCTCACAGTAGTGACCTGGACAAATTTAAGGAATTTTCATCATAAAAGAAAACCAAGAAACCAATGTCTGCTGCTATGTTTTAGTAAGGATGAAGTGATGATTCTACCTGAAACGTGTCTGCTGTTATTGTGAGAATATACAAATATACATTATGACAAATTATATATAATTTACAAATCATTATTATGTTCAACAGCTTTTCTAAATTCAGTAACATTGAGATCTTTGAGAATTCCAGTACTTGTCGAATATGTGGAATATCAGTATGAAAATACCGTGAGTTGATAGCACTCAAATATTTTTTTCATGACAAAAACAACAACAAACCTTTATACACCAGGTTGGAAAATACTATGACAAACATTTGAATTTACAGTTGTGTAGTATGTAGACATCTGTGCTCATCAGTGCTTACCAGCCGGACACTCGTCTCCCATGGACCCGTCCAGGGGCGTGGCAGTTGTGGACTTCAGCTGGCAGAAGAAGCCGGCTGCACACGGTCCTGCTGGCTCCGACAGACCGGCCACGTCACAGAACTGACCACCTGGACACTCCAGCTCATGGTCAGTGCCTGGACAGTCGAGAGAGAAACAGTGATGAGAGTTGAAATGTGCATTAAGCTTGGTATACATCATAGGTATATTATGCATACAACAGTTGCTGACCCTTAACTTTTTGCATGCTTTACTTAATAGCTACTCTGGCACGGTTTGGCCAAGATTGTTGCAAGAGAACCTATACTACAAGACAAAATCCAAAACAATAGACTGATCTGGATCGAACACACCGAACCCCTGGCATGTTCTAATTCTAACATCTCCGTCAAAATCAGCGCAGGAAGGGACGCGCCGGCTGCTGCCGCCAGAATGTCGGTTTTGCTGTCAAACTTTAGGGTTGAGTTTTATAAAAAAAATATCTTGGATGAAGCCTTACCTGCAGGACAGTAGTACCCCTCCCTGCAGCGTCCCCCGATGGCAGAAGTGGGGTGTGGGGCGGGCGTGTGGCTCCCCCCGGCGCAGTAGTATCCGTCACTACAGTTCCCTCGCGGTGCCTCCATCCCCTCCACATCACAATACATCCCAGCTGAACAGGCCAGGCAGGAGGTGTTGGAGCTGCTGTAGTTAGCAGGGTTGTGGGTGCCAGGAGGGCAGGGGAACTCATACGGCCTGGTCGTGCCATTCGGACAGTAGTAACCTGAAGGAAAAAAAAAGACAATTTTGATGAGAAACCATCCTGGATGAAACCTTACATCCCAGCAGAACAGGCCAGGCAGGAGGCATTGGAGCTGCTGTAGTTAGCAGGGTTGTAGGTGCCAGGAGGGCAGGGGAAATTATATGGCTGGCTCGTGCCATTTGGACAGTAATAACCTGAAGGAGAAAAAGGGAATTATATATATATACAAGTTTCAACTGAAATTTTTCACACAAGAAACTGGACCAAATTTTCAACTGTAAAACTCCAGTGTCAGGGACCGAGAAATCCACTGCTTCTTTGACGTCACGTTATGCAGATGACATAGATGACTCTGTGATCATTGGATCATAAGCTGCAAAAAGTTTGTGCTGAACTTAGTAATACATTGTATATCTAAACAGGGTTCTTACCTGTGGGACAGGGTGTGTCCAGGAACTGAGTGCTGTTGTCCAGACAGTAGAAGCCCTCGGGACACACCTTACACTCCTCCAGGCCCTGCACACTGCTGTAGGTGCCGGCTGGGCAGGGGAGGGGGGCTGTGGTGCCTTCGGGACAGTAGTGACCCAACGGGCACTGGCCACCGTCTCCTGTAAGGGACACAACAAAAGAAAAAGACTTTAAGGCATTATGTACACAATAGTACAACCTGGGAGCTGCAATGAAGTGTAATACCTCAAAGGAAAAGGTATTGTATGAGTGCAATGTCACAAAACATAACAACATAATAATGGTCGGATAAGAGGCTATATAGCCTATATGAATCCGCTTCTTAAGCTAAACATTAAACAACACAAATATAAAGTTTAGTTCTAAGCTCAAATATAAAGTTCAGTTCTAAACACAAATATAAAGTTCAGTTCTAATAAAAAGTTCAATTCTAACTATAAAGTCCAGTTCTAAAGTTCTGATAAAAAGTTCAATTCTAACTATAAAGTCCAGTTCTAAAACTATAAAGTCCAGTTCTAATGTCAAAGATGCTTGTTTCAATATGGTGTAAAATAATAGCCAAAAGGGAGTTGTTTGTTTTCAGGCAATAAACTTAACTATCTATGCTTCCTATAAAATATAGAAACTTGCATGGAGAGGTAGGTATGGGTACATCATATCAAAGGGACTTGAAAATGCTATATATGACTGCAAGATACTACATAATTTTTTTTTTTTTTATAGTTTTACAAAGATCTATGGTCAACTAGGACTATATAAAAGGGTCAACATCACATTGGATCCGTATTGATGAAAACTAGAGTTTATAGTTAGAGTCAGTTTCTATCATAATGTTATGTCTGATGACCAGTTTGTAAACCTAATGGACCTATACCATTATTACGTCACAGTTTGTTTACCTGTCCTAAAGAACATTCTAGAACGGTCAGTTAAAGAATAAAGATCATTTCAAAGTTTTCAACCTAAGGTATGTCTGATTTTTTGCTGCGTCTAGTTTTGTTGACACAGCATTACCTGCCGCATGGGTGATTTAGTTGTGACATTAGACGAAAGTAGTACTGTATTAAAAGCCTTATATTAGGCTAACGCTACACAAACACGTCGATTGACCGGCATTCATTGCGGTAAACAAACTGACGTAATAATGGTATAGGTCCATTGTGCCAGTAAAGGTGCTGAAGTCTCACCTGTGTGGTAGGTCTGGTCGGGACAGAGGCAGTCAGTTGAGTTGTCGGTGGAGTTCCTCACCTGGCTACATGTGTTTGGGGTGCTGGGGTCAGGCCGGTTCACACCTGACCTGCAGTAGTAACCTAGGGGGGAAGGGGGCACAAACATGACAAAGCTGAACACACTTCAAAAGTAACACATGTCCTTGTTTGTTTAGTATTGCAGCTGTAATTAGGTTTCAGAGTCTGTATCTTGTTTGTTACAATAGTCAATGGATGTAGCCAACTTTCTACAAAACTACCTTGAACAAATAATTGTATTATTTGGTAAGTCTGTTGTCTTGTTCCTTTTATCTACAATTTGACCTTGACGTACCAGCTGAGCAGTTTCCCGCAGGTCGTGTCAGGTGAAGGTCGTCACAATACGTCCCGCCGTCACAAGCTGTGCACTGGCTGGTATCCCACAATCCTCTCTGGTCGCTGTAGGTTCCGGAGGGGCAAGACTGCCAGTCCAATCCGGTGCCTGTGGGAGGGGAGGGGGGCAAAATATGACACTTTGGTACACAATAACGATAACGATAAGTTAATTGCAGATTCCTGCCTGAAGGGTTATTGCAAATAACAAGGATAAAAGAGCATGGAAACAGAGTACAAAATAACTTCAAAATCTACATGATAAAAGGTAATTGTCTCAAACTATGTCTAAAATTATGTCAGCCTCTGAAAAAATGTCATTATGAGTCATTCTTGCTAAACCTGGTAATTTTCTATCGCTGACCTTGAGGGCAGAAGTAGCCCTGAGGACAGAGTGTGGCGGCCATGGTGGCATTCTCAGTGGGGGGGGGGGCAACGGTTATCATGTCAAGTTTAGGAGGCAAATTACACTTTATTTTAGTCTGAACCCCCATTATATTGTCTTATTCGGGCTAAATGTGGAATTTTTTCACTGACCTTGAGGGCAGAAGTAGCCCTGAGGACAGAGTGTGGCGGCCATGGTGGCATTCTCTGGCTGGACAGGCAGGCAGTAATACCCGGCAGGGCAGGGGTCACACTCAGCAGCACCTGGGGGGGGGGGCAACGGTTAGTAACCATGGGGTGGTTAGTATTACTGTCTTTTTGTCTGATTCCTTCCTTTATGACTATCAATTTTCAATCAATCCTTTTTAAATGTAGAAAAAAATACAATAATGTAATGTAATGTAATACAGTAGTGTTAATTGCAGAGTCTGACCCAAACAGATGGCATTGGTGTCTGTCCTGTTCCTTTCCAACAAATATAACACGTTTTATATTTTCAGTTTGTTTTTTCAAAATCTTGATGTATTAGGACCTTATCACAACTTTCTATAATACATGTATAATATTATGTATCACTAACCTTAGCCTAAGGCCATAGACTTAATTGATTTCATTATAGAGTTACTGTAATATTACAGCTTTTCTACGAAGTTAAGATACAAATGACTTACAGTATGATCAGCTGCTGATTATAAGTCATTTGTGTCTTAACTTTATTACAGTAACTGTATAATGAAATCTCATTGTCAGCCTTATATATAGCTTCTGGCCCCAAAAGACTTCTTTACGAAAAGTGAAATATTATTAGGCTAAAGCTTTCCTTAAAATTTAACACTTATAAGCACCTGACAGGTGTGTTTCTCACCTGAGTAGTTAGCGTAGGTGCCGCTGGAGCAGGACAGGTAAGTCTGGCTGCCATTGGGACAGTGCACCCCCCCGGGGCAGATGGTGGAGGGGGGGTTGGGAACAGCGTCCCCCCCTGGGCAGTAGTACCCTCCCCAGCACTGCTGGGTCACCTCGGTCATCCCTGTCTCTGGGCAGTAGAAGCCACCTGGGGGGGGGGCAAGATAAAGGTTAGTTACATCCTCCTGTATTTATGTTCTACCAGTATTATGACTTGAGAAAAAACATCATCTACTGCAGAGCAAACTTTTCTTACATGAAAATTTTGCATGCACATTAATTGATAAGCAATCAAAATAATCACAATTATAAAAGCATCCAAATTTACCAAAAGATGATTTATCCATCACACTTTATTCAGGAAAAATATCTAACAGCACAAATAAACAAAACAGAATGATATGTTATATGGAAACAAAATAAGCAGCATAAAATTAAAGTCAGCTATTAGTAACTGAGTCATAGTTGGCAGATATTTACCTTGCATATACAATCACTGTGTAACAAAGGTTTCTAGCAGTGCAAAAAAACATGTTTTGTGTATCCCCTACCTGGACACTGTGTGCAGTTGTCCTGCTGGCTGAGCCCGGGGGTGTTGGACCAGGAGCCCGCGGCACACGGGGTCGGGTGGGAACTGCCCTGCGGACAGTAGTGACCCGCGGTGCAAAGAGCAAAGGTCGCCACGTGGGCTCCACCCTCACAGTAGAAACCTGAGGGAAGAATGAGAATGATGATCACCTGTGCCTTGAAAATAGGTTTTAAAAAAAATTGAATGTATTCCATTTTTCAAACAGACTGTAGCATGTTAAGGAGTTTATTGCACAAGAGTTGTGCATTGTGCAAAGACTGGCAAGTTTTGTCAAAAAGTACTTTCTATTTCTTCCAAACTAGACTTAATTTTCTTTAAAAAAAAAAAACATCATCATGGTTCTCCACCCCGAATGCACTTCATGTCCCATAGAATTTCCATACAGCTAAAATACAACAAAGACAAGTAAAAGACAGAAGCTTGCTATAAGATCAAGAATCAATCAATAAATCAATCAATCAATCAAAAATGGTTTATTAATAAAAGACATTGCAGCCAGACAGGCTGAATTGCGCCTTCTGTACATACATATTGTGCAGGACACATTAAAAATATTTACAACATAGTTTTAAAATAATAATACAAGAAACAAACAATAAGAACGTTAAACCACCCTTACCAGGTTCACACTCTGGCCCAGGCTGGTCCATGCCCCACGAGGGACAGTAGCGCTCAGCCGTGCAGTTCAGACAGTCTGTAACGTCCGTCCTCTGTACGTTCGGGTTATACGTGCCGGGCGGACACGCTAGGGGTGACGCCGTCCCCTCCGGGCAGTAGTACCCCACAGGGCACTCGTCCGCATCAGTGCCAAAGGTTGGAGTTGAGGAGTTGGACGCCACCTTGCAGAAGTATCCGGGACTGCAGGGCCCGGTGGGCTGGGTGAGGCCCTCGGTGTCGCAGTAGTGGCCGCCGCTGCATGGCTGGCAGTCGTCGACGCTCTCCCGGCGCGTCAGGTTACCGAACGTGCCCCGCGGACAGGGGAACTCGTTAGCGTAACGAGTGCCATTAGGACAGTAGTAGCCTGGAGATGGAGATATACAGTCATGTAGTTGCAAATTTCATTCTTGTACTTGATAGTGTGAAAATTATACTACTGATAAAAACGTTAAACTTTATTCCAACACACAATTTATAGTCTCAGAGATCAAATTTTCAGTGACCACTGTCTCTCCCTGTTAATTGTGTGATGGAATGAAGTTCAACCTTTTACTATGACTACTACCAACACAGATGAACCTTCATTATAATGTGAAAATTATTTTGCGCTCTTCCCTTTGTAAATAGGTTCAACAGGTTGTTAAGTCACCATGTTAAGAAACTCTTTTTACACAACCAAGTCTTTTATTCAGCCGACATTTTGGTGACTGTCTGTCACCTTCCTCAAGACAATTCTATCTGGATCACATTTTACAGCACAGGTGCTGGTGCTACAGATGCTCTCTGTGATACATTTTGCTCTGCACAGATGCTGGAAGTTATATGATTGTAGAAATTGGGATGCTGGAAGGTAGACTTTGGAACAAAATTCCCAGAGTTGGGCACAGGACTGGTAAAAAAACCTATGGCAGGCATCATATTTTGTACCATGTTCATTTGCTCACTAGCTCACACAAAACCCACTCACCTTCTGGACATGCTGAGCTGTTGTACAGCACCACCGGTTCCTTGACATTATCGCAGTAGTACCCAGCAGGGCAGTTCTTACAGCCCCACTGCCCCTCCTGGTCCTGGTACTGTCCCGATGGGCAGCGAATTGGCAGGACGCTACCAGCCAGGCAGTAGTGGCCTAGAGAGGAGAGAGGCATTAACAGTAGTACCCAGTAAACAGTGAAACAAATTGGTACAAACTTCCAGGCACCTCTGACCTGCTGGGCAGTAGTCGTCTGGTGAGGATTAAGGTATAAAAAAATAATACCCAGTGCAAACTTCCAGGTACCTTTGGCTGAGAGGTGTAAAGAGTCAAACAATGGTGCCAACTTCCAGGCATCTTTGACCTGCTAGCCAGTAGTATCCTGGTGAGGCAAGAAGTTTTAACAGAGAAACAAAGGTGCAAACTACCAGGCAGCTTTAAACTGCTGGGCAGTAGTGACCTGGTGAGAAAAGAGGTGTTAACTGTAGTAGCCAGTACAATGGTGCAAACTTCCAGGCGCCTTTGACATGATTAGTCACTTTTTCTTTATCATTTGTCATAGTTTTGATGTTGTAGAATGCTTGTAACTTGACCATGGCCAAGTTTTGAACTCCACATATTAATTTGAAGTTTGTAGACAAATAGCAAATTGAAAAAGTTACCTCTAGAAGTACACCTATTAACTAAAGATAAGATAAAAGGATGATTTTGCCAATGTTTTTCAGTGTGCTGTGGTGCCAGAACTCAGTTTTACTGCCTGCATGCCTGCTAATTTGCATCACTGCAGCTTTAGTGAATAATAGCTGAGCCTGTCCACCTACCCAGAGTACGTTTTAGTAAATACACAGGTTTGTCTACCTACCCAGAGTACAGTTGAATTCCTGCGGTGTTGCCACCTCCTGACCCCCGGGGCAGTAGTACCCCTGGGCGCAGGGGGCGGTGGGCTGGGCCAGCCCGTTCTCCCCACAGTACATCCCGGCCGTGCAGGTCTGACAGTCTGACAGGTCGTCGTTCCTCGTGCTGTTGAGAAAGTATCCCGGGGGACAGAGTCTGGGGGAGGGGGAGGCGGGGGGGCAGTACGCACCCTGGGGGCAGATGTCACCTGGGGAAACAGACAGGAAATCTACTAGTTTTGGGTAAAACGTTTTTGTTTCAAAGTAGAATTAGCCAACCAACTGCAGTTATGATCAAACTGCACCTGGGGAAACAGACAGGAAATTTGGGTAGGGCCAAGCTACATTTTTTCTCTCTAAATCATAGAACTGGATGCTACCCAATGTGCCTGTAGGCGCAGGAGGACCCAAAGTCTATAGGGTTAAAAGTAAATCACTGTGCAAAAGGCTTTAACAAATCAATCAAACAGCAGAATGGAGCAATGAGAAAGATTTAATATTGGGTAAAACGTTTTTTGTTTCAAAGTAGAATATGGGTCAACCAACTGTAGTAAATGACCAAACTGCAACTTTTAAAAATTTGTGAATTACGCTTACTTTACAGTATATCCTTTGGATTTGCTTTCATCTCCTACATTAGTAAGACTCTTATGGTGGCCTGCACCAGGTAATCCTGTTATAACACTTTCATATCATAAACAGGTTTGTATGAAATGTAGTTGGAAGTGACCGTCTTACCTGTGACATTGCCATCTTGTGGGTTGGACAGCACAGCCATGGAGGTACAGTAGAAACCTGAGGCAAACAAAATACGACAGAATTCATTTTTAGAAAATAATGAATCACTCACTCACTCACTTACTCACATAGCCAGTAGCCATAGGTCCACGAAAAGAATAAAACACTCTAAATTCAAGTTCTAACACCCAAATTGTAATACTTACTGCAGAAGAATTCAGCAGAAGAATCCTTCCTTTTAACAGCTTTTAAACCTTGAGAAATGTGCTAGAAGAGGAGAATAGTAGCCTACCTGGATCACATTCCCCAGACGTCTGGTTGAGGCCATCCACAGCACAGAAGTAGCCTGGGTCGCAGGCCTTTGGGAAGGACGCTCCTTGGGGACAGTAGTAGCCAGCCTGGCACCTGTCTCCACCCGTCCCACTGGGGGTGGCTGTGGTGGAGGCTACTGAGCAGTAGTAACCGGCATCGCACAAGCCACTGGGGCTGGACAGGCCACTTGTGTCACAGTAGGAGCCACCTAGTGGGGAGGGGGGCAGTAGGGTTAACTTTACAGTACAGTACACTGCCCTGAGGAGTAGTACCCTGCATCACAAAGGCCACTGGGGCTGGACAGGCTACTTGTGTCACAGTAGGAGCCACCTAGAGTGAAGGGGGCATTGTAATGTAACTGTGAAACAATGTGACAAAATGACGGTCCTGAGCAGTAGTACTCAGCCTTGCATGGGCCACTGGGCCTCGATAAATAGACAGTTTCAGCACAAGTTTACAAAAAAAAACAAGGACCGCTTAAGCACAAGTTCACCACAAAAACAAGTACAGTTTCAGTACAAGTTATCCACAAAAACACAACAGTTTCACCACAACCTGACCACAAAAAACAGGACAGATTCAGCAAGTTGACCACCAACACACGTCAGGAGAGTTTCCATACCTGGGCAGGACACACAGTCGGCGGGGTCGTAGCTGCCAGTCTTGTTGTTGAAGGTGCCGGGGCTGCAGGGGTTGTCATTGCCCTGATGTGTGCCGGCGGGGCAGTAGTGCCCTGAGGGACATGGGTTGTCTGCATAGTCCACGGTGGCATTCGGGCAGTAGTAACCTACAGTGTCAAGGATGAAAAAATCATAAATTATAAATCTGCCACGTTTACAAATTCATAAGTTATCATCTTTATTATAACTTCACCAATTTCCTGTGGATTGCAACTCAGGTTGGAATCCAAATTCAAGCAAGGATATTAATTGATTATAATCACAAACTATTATAAATGCTATAGGTTTGAAAAGCTAAGCTAAAATATGGAGGCCCCCTTTTTGGGAAGAGCCACACCTCGACCATATTAAAGAACCTACCACACTTGGAAAATGTGTTCATCTTTGTCTGAGGTCAAAACTTTACAGTCCTATGATAATCAGTTCATGTAAGCTGCCACTACAGAACTGACTGCAATTCAGCACCATCAATTTTAAGAACCTCGGAATGTGGCCACAGAGACAATAGTTGGTTCTGCATTTTGCTTACCTTGTTCACACGTGAGGCACTCTGCCATGCCTGTGGTTGGGGCGTATGTACCCGGAGCGCAGGGATTGGGGTAGTCTGTGCCGTTAGGACAGTAGTGGCCTTGGGGACAGATCCCACCATAACCCGTCATGGCACCGTCGTGGTACGGACAGTCGGAGCTGTTGGATGCAGACGTGACGTTGTCCCCGTCAGGATTGGTTCTGTCCACGCCGTACACGCAGTAGTGACCGGCTGCACACAGGCCTGGAGGACAGAATTGGAGTTTAAAAATCAGCGATTCATGTAGCCTCAGGAGTACAGCCTTGTAGTCCTGCACTTTAGCAGATCTTGTGCAACAGCTAACAAGGCTGGACTCATGTTACAATCATAAAGGAACAGAGCAAAAGTCATATTGGAGCAGAATATCAAATAGGTCTCAGTCGTTTTTCCTATCTGTACTTGCCTTTTTGAAAAATGTTTTAATTCATCTTTATGGTGGATCATATATTACATATTGTGCCTTAAGTCATACCTCCATAGGTGTAACAACTGTGGAATAAGATTGGACTGCCAATGACAGTAACAACTCATGTTGAGGCAGTACACAAACATGAATTTGTTTTTGTCTTGGTGTGGGTTTACTTTGCCTAAAATAAAGCAGGAACAAAATGGATATCAAGTTAAAAGATTATAGTAAGTAGCAGGTTATTTCTCCCTACCAGCAGGTGAGCTGAGATGTTCCTCGTCACAGTACATCCCAGCGTCGCAGGGCTTGCACTGCTCCAGCGCGTACAGTCCCTGCTGGTCGCTGTAGGTACCCCGGGGACAGGCGCGCAGGTCCGACCCCGTGCCCTGGGGGAAGTTGTTTAAAAAACAGACTCAGACATCCGATGTTGTACAGAAACATAAAAATCAGAGAAACAAGTCTAAGAGTACTATCAAGTCTACCCTAAGACAACAACAACTCCAGGATGCTCTGACACACATCAAATTACCTTATTTACACAAACATGAGTAGTTTTACACACACAACAGGTCTACATGTACAAGGAAACTTGCTACCCAATGTGATACGCATGGGAGGAACTAACAGGTACTGTCTAACAGGTACTGGAGCACCACATCAGTCATAAACATCAGAACAGTCTCAAAGAGACAAACATCAGGCAATATACAAAGTAAATAATAAACCGGCGCGATGTTGCAAGCCTGGTTCGATATTTCCACGGCAGATGCTCTGATGAACTTCACTCCCTTGTACCCCCATTTCGAACATTCTCTGCAAGAACATGCTTAGCCGCCTTTACAGCAGAAAATCACCCTTTCTTCCTCAATACTCCATCACTCAAGAGAAAATTTCATGCTGACAGTTTCTTCCCCAGAACCACTTTACTGCGGAACAAGCTTCCCCATGAATGTTTCCACGGTAGATACAACCTCCAACGGTTTAAATCTAGGGTGAACAAATATCTGACCACAGGTCATCACTGTAACCCAAAACATGCAAGTGGCTCTCACGAGCCTTGTTTTGAGGTGAAACTGAAGTAAATTTAAAAAAATGCACAAGAGTTACAAAAACAACATTTGCTTTACCTGCGGACAGTAGTACCCGGCGGGGCAGATGGTCTGCACGCCTGCAGCCTCGCAGAAGTAACCAGCCTCGCAGCTGTAGCACATCACTGCATGGGTGTGGTTCACCTGGGGGGAGGGGGGCGGAGTTGATATTAGGACAACACAATATCAATATCATAAAAGTTCATCTGTGTTGGTAGTAATCATAGTAACATGTTAAACTTTAATCCAACACACTATTTACAGGGATCAAATTTTCAGTGACCACTGTTGCCTTCATCAGGATAATTAATGACCAATTACTTCACAATAGTGTGTTAGAATAAAGTTTAACATTTTACTACAATATTGATATTGTGCATTTTAATATGTGTCTGCCTTCATTTTTGTTTTCTTTCTAAGATCCCCCAAACTTTGCTTCTATGAAGCCACAAAAGAGCAGCTCTCCCATAAAAGTCTTCTTGCAAGTGACTTGGAAAGAGAGAAGAAAACTGGCAACTATAGTAGTGTGACTGCCAGTTGCTAAAATTGGCAACTGGCAGTCATTGGCTTAGCACTGCTTTTACAGAGTACTTGTCATCTATACTGTCTTACAAATCAAACAACTAATGGAAAATCAGTCAAGCTGCAAAATGAAGAAATGAGTAAGACATCAATGAACACATCAGTAACTGTGCATGTAATATATACAGACTTACATGGCTGTTGTTCCTACATGGCAGAGGTAAGGACACGCCGCCCGGGCAGAAGTGGCCGATGGGGCAGTACGTGTCGTTGGGCTCTCTGTGAACGGTTCCCTCAGGACAGTAGTAACCTGGGGAAGAGTTCATATGGTTGATTAATACAAGCAGCTAGTAAAAGCTAGCAAACATTACACTTAAGACACAACATAAAATATACTTTTGAATTATTTTCCACAACATTTGTTGGTCTCGTGAATCTTGTTGATCACTGACTTCCTTCAAACCAAATTCACAAGTTGATTCTTTTTGAATTTTTTTTTTTTTTGTTACATTAATTATCAAGACTTAAGTGTTTAATGATGACATGTGAACCTATGGCCTAAATGTAAGGCAGTTGGACAAGAGAACTGTATATGTCACTAAACAGTGTGCATTTTGGGTAAAATAACTTCATTTGATAATAAAATCCTTCCCCACCTTCTCCGCAGGACCCCGTTGGCTCTGTCAAGCCCTCGGTCTCACAGTACTGGCCGGGCGTGCACTGGTAACACTCTCCTGCTGACTTCAGGTGGGTCTCGTTGGAAAATGTGCCTGATCAACATAAACCAAGGGGTGTGCGTCAAAAACAGACTCTGAAGGATCTTCTAACATAACTCTTACCAGCTCAAGATCAGACACTGGTAACACTCTCCTGCTGACTTCAGATGGGTCTCGTTGGAAAATGTGCCTGATCAACATAGACCAAGAGGTGTGCGTCAAAAACAGGCTCTGAAGGATCTTCTAACATTACTCTACTACCTCAAGATCAGTTACATTATTTTTTTTGTGCAGTATGCCTTACTGGGTAGATTTACTGTGTTTAAGTAGTAATTTCTTGCCACAAATGAATACTAACAGTAAGATGCAAGATACAAGATGTCTTTATTGGTTTCTCCCAGTTTAAAAAAAATTGAATCAAAAAACCAAATGTACCAAAAGTTTGTGCCGCTGTCATCAAGCCAATTATCTTATAAATAATCAAAAACAACAATTACAATTAGATCTTTAGTTGTAGAAGACCATACAAAAGTAATTTTTTGTTGTGTCAAGGAAGAATCTCCATATTAATAGTTGAACATAGAACAAGAGTTTTATAAGATAAGAGTAAGTAGAAGCTCTCACCCCTTGGGCATGGTTCCGGTGTATGAGTGCCGTTAGTACAGAAGTGTCCCTGTGGACAGGCGATCCAGTCTGGGTCTGGGGAACCTTCCGGACAGTAGAACCCTGCCCAACACTCGCCACTGGGCCCTGTCATATTGTACTCTCCACAGTACATCCCTATGGTAACAACAGTAAATAACAACAGGTAAACAACAGCAAACAACAGGTAAACAAAAGCAGGCGATCCAGTCTGGGCCTGGGGAGCCCTCCGGACAGTAGAACCCTGCCCAACACTCTTCACACTGGGCGCTGTCATATTGTACTCTCCACAGTACATGCCTGGGAACAGGTAAACAAAGGGTAAATAACAACAGGTAAACAACAGCAGGTCAACGACAACATTACCTGGTAAACAAATGGTAAATGACAACAGGTAAATAACAGATATTAACTATCATGGCTATCATATTGCTCAACATAAATAAATCACCATGAAAAGTATGAATTAAAACATTAAAGATGTAAGAAAAGAAAACATTAAAGATCTAAGAAAGGAAACACTGTTAGAAGTTATTTCATATTATTTTTCACTTTATGTTCCATTATGACAGTAACATATTCTTTTTTTAAGATTCAGAAACAGTCTGTTTCCATTCCATACATGTAAGCTCCACATGTAACTGCCATTCCGTACCTTCTGTGCAGTTGAGACACTGGTCTGCCCTGACCAGGTTGGGGTTGTCTGAGAAGGTCCCCAGGTCGCACTTCTGTGGCTCGGCCGTGCCTTCAGGACAGTAGAAACCCGCCGGGCAGGAGTTGGCATCGTCCGTCTGGTTAGGGGTGGACTCAATCGCACCTCTTCTGCAGTAGTACCTGGGTGAAAATCCGACTTCATAAGGGGGGCTGCATGGGGGGGGGGGTCCCGACAACGCTCTATGCTAAAATTGAGAGCTTGCTGAATTTAGGAATCCTCTCGTTTACGCTTTATATTAAATTCCAACTGGCTACAACGCGTTACGTAGAATTAAAACACGCATTACGCTCTACGCAAAATGCACCAATTACGCTCTACGTTGAATTAGAGCGGTCTGTCTACACTCTACGTACAAATTAAAACTGCCGGTTACGCTCTATGGAAGAAGGCATGCGGGCCCCTTGAGTCCATGTTGAACATGACTGAGTGTACATTAGGAGAACAGAAAAGTTTAATACCTACCCTGCAGCACACAGTTTGGTGTAGGAGATCTGTGCCAGCTCATCGCAGTAATACCCTCCAGGGCAGGGGATGCAGTCATTCTCCGAGCTCAGCCCCGTGGTGTTACTGAAACTCCCCCGGGGACAGGGGTGCTCCATTGCGTACTTAGTACCAAGAGGGCAGAAGTAACCTGCAGGCAACATTGTGGAAGTTCAAGCACAAATGAACATGTGTCAATTCAAACTAGTTATTCTTATTATTTATAGTCTCATAAGACAAATATGCGGTATAGTTGTGTACATGTAACTCCAAAGACAAAAAGTTGAAGCCCTTGTTTCTGAGTTTTGGTGGACCTCATCCTGTAAAGTTTGAATTTTTTATGTTTTTCTTTTGGGATTTTTTTGTTCTCCAAATTCATGATGGATACAACAAATAAGTAAATGAGTTTACAATATATCAAAGACCTTTCTGAAAAGACTTACATGTACCATCATCAGATAATTGTTGATTTTTTTTTTGTAATGACAATGTTGGATAATTGGAAAATTGGAAAAGATTGTACGGTGTTACCTTCCAGACAGAGAGTGTTGTTATACAGCACGACGGGGTCCATGGTGTTATCACAGAAGTAACCAGCCGGACACTGCTTACAGCCAGGCTGGCCCATCTGGTCCTGGTAGGAGCCAGACTCACAGCGCACCGGTTCTGTACTGCCATCCTCACAGTAGTGCCCTACAGACATGGCACAGGGAGGGGATAGAGAAACCGAATTGTCTCAGTCAATAAAAAGGCAGAGTGTACTTGGCGGTCACATCTTTAATGCTTCGTTAATGTTTCTGATTGCACCACTAGATGTCAGGCCTAATGAAAACTAACTAGGGCATGCGAGCTGAATACATTGTGGAAGTAAAAATGACAATCAGTGCGATAGTGCTCAGTGAATTATATCTAGAATAACGACAAGAACTATTTAGTGCATTAAAATAAGCTTCACAATCACGTACGAGGCTGTCAGCAGCGTTTAACGCTGTAACAGATTTCACAGCTAAGAAAAGGCCGTGGCACTCAGGTCATGCTTTCCAAGTCTCCGGCTGTCTGTACTAATCTACATTCAAGCAGTGCATTGCCTTTGGTGGCAAGGTTGTAACTATCGGCCAAAGAGTGACCATTAGCCACCTTTGGACAATGGTTACAGCCTTGCTACTGTAGGATCTTTTCTTAGCATACATGTAGTCTGTATAATTGCAAACCTTCATCTTGAAGTTTGAATGAATCTTTAAATGACCTGACAAGAGTGAGGGATATTATCATTAAATTTTGTTTATTATGACTGAACTAGCTGTCTTGGTTTTCATGTAGTTTATTGCTAATTATTTCCTACCGGTATGTATTTTTTTGGTTTATTTGACGATGTGTGATTAAACAGAGAAGACTGACCCTGTGGACACTGATACTCCAGTGGTGTGGATGTGTTCTGTCCGCCTGGGCAGTAGTACCCGGCCGCACACAGGCCAGTCGGCTCCACGTTCCCAAAACCTTCACAGTAACTCCCCATGGTGCAGTCATAGCAGTCTCCCAACTCCCGGTTACCTGTCAGGAAAACAACCACAGATCTGTGTTATTAACAGTGATCCTTAGGATCACCATACTCAAATGAAAGCTCATCTGTGTTGGTGGAATGCATAGTTATAGAGTTCTAGCTTTGTTCCAACACAAGAAAGAAACACATCATAAATTTTTGGTCGATCTTGTCAACCTTAGTCAGATTGAATGAAAATTTATGGTGTGTTTCTTTCTTGTGTTGGAACAAAGCTAGAACTCTATAACTAATGATCAACACAGTACCAAGGTATTTAAGGGAAACATTCAGCTATTTCCTGCAGAAATTGTGACTTTGTTGTTATTTTTTAGGGGAAGTACAGGCATGAAGGAGTCTCCCAACTCCCTGCGTTATGTTACCTGCTATAATTGAATGAAAAATCTTTATTGCAGGTTTGGGGACACACATCACCTGTAGTTTTTACTAAATTTCACAGAAGCTGCAGTAGAAGAGTCCATTCCGAAAGTGGTGGTACATTAAGTTTTAGCCTTTTCAACATAATCATACCAAGTTACACAGATGAACTTTCATGCTATGAAATCAAGCAAACAAATACATTATTTTCAACATCAAATTTGGTACGCAAAATCGGCGTAGAAGTTTCTTGTATCTAAGCATTAAAAGATGGGAAACACAATGCCCAATGACACACAATGTATGTGTGTATCATTCCCTACAGCTCCATGTTTATCCTTGCTATTTAGTGAAAACTTTCTTACCTGTGACGTTGGAGAAGGTGCCAGGTGGACAGGTGGTTCCATTGCTGCTTCCCTCTGGGCAGTAGTGGCCCATGGGGCAGGCATCACCTGAAAAAAATGGAAAACATCAGATTCTAGTCCTTAGATTCTAGTTCTTTGCTTCTGGGAAAGCTATCATCCATGATAATATGTACTAGCTGTGAAAGAAGTAATGTCTGACTACAGAAATAAACCTCTATTACACATGACATACATGTAATGTAGGGACATTGTCTCTCTTTAGTTGGATGACCTGTTGGGCATAATTTTTTTCAAAGGCACCCAAGGCTGAACCTATAGTTATTAAAGGTAAGCATAGGATGGCGCCCATCCACATTTCAGAAGCCCTTGGGCCACACATTTGTCCAAGCACTATAGCAGGAAGCTAGTGTGCTAGACCTTCTCATATCTCTTTCTTGTAAATGCTGAGTGCTAAGCAGAGAAAGCAGTACATTTTTAAATGTATTTTAATAGTCCTACATGTACCTGCAGTGCCATTAGGCATGTCCGTAGTAGCCCCAGCACACAGTAGTACCAAGCAGTACAGTTCCCGGTGGGTTATGTATAGTAGTTATACCAGTGGGTTAGAGTTATGTAAGTTGGAGTTATGTAGTACAACATGTACTAGTTATACCACAGTGGGTTAGAGTTATGTAAGTTATGTAGTAGTCCTACCTGCAGTGCCATTAGGCATGTCCGTACTGGCCCCCAGCAGACAGTAGTACCCAGCAGTACAGTTCCCGGTGGGCTCGGCCAGCCCGTGGTTGTCGCAGTACATCCCGGGGGTGCAGGGCGTGGCCTCGGAGCTGCCGCCGGGACAGAACTGGCCGGGAGAGCAGCGCCCGCCCTCCGCTACCGTCCCCGGCTGGGCCAACTTCGCCCCGATCGTACAGAACCAGCCCGGATCACACTCGCCTGTGGGCCAGGCCAGGCCCGGGGTCTGGCAGTAGGACCTGTAAGGTAGGAGCAACTCTTAGTCTTCATACCTCACACACACACACACACACACACGCACGCACACACACACAAACACAAACACACACACACGCACGCACACACACACAAACACGCACACACACAAACACACACACATGCACACACAAACACACATACACACACACACACAAACAAGCATGTACGCACACACACACACATAGGCGCACACACGCGCACACACACACACACACACATACACATACACACACACACACACACATACTCGGGCACAGGCACGCACACACAAACATGCCTGATTTATAGTTGTATATCTCACAGAGTAAAAATGGAGTAACATACCCCGGAGGACAGGACAGGCAGTCTGCGCCTGCGGTTCTCTCCGTGAGGTTGTTGTACTTCCCCTGCGGACACGGGTTCTTAAACTGGCTGTCTGTGCCGGCTGGGCAGTAGTACCCGGCAGGACAGGAACCAGGTATGGACGTGCCGCTCTCACAGTAGAACCCCTGTAACACAAAAGAGCCATCTATCAACTCATGTAAGAACTGCAGGGCAGTAGTACCCGGCAGGGCAGGAACCAGGTATGGACGTGCCGCTCTCACAGTAGAACCCCTGTGACACAAAAGTGCCATCTATCAACTCATGTAAGAACTGCAGGACAGTAGTACCTGGCAGGAGAAGGAAAAGAATAAATCATCTAATTAGATATTATCTAAAGTTCAGTCTTTCGAAATTCACAATTTTATGTCTGCTAAAGCACTAGTGCTTTCTATCTCTTTCTATGAAGCTACTCAAAGTACTTTAGAGACCTTGCTTGGAATATATGCTGTGGATGTTACCACAGATTAATCCATAATGAAGTCCAGCCTTACCTCTGGGCACTGGTCGCAGGAAGACTGTCCCGTCTCATTTGCAAAAGTTCCCGCCTCGCATGGTTGTGCTGCTGAGGACCCCAGCGGACAGTAGTGCCCTGGAACGGAACATCAGTTTGTTTTCACATTCAGCTTTCATAGACTGATTGTACATTGCTTACTGTAACTGCAACTACAATGTAACTGCAACTACAATGTAACTGCAACTACAATGTAACTGCAACTACAATGTAACAGTTACTGCAACTAATAAGGCCATCTTGAATCAAACTCAAATTTATTTTACTATTCACATCTATTGAAAGAGGATGGGACAAAAATGCAAAAACATTGGAAATGAAGAGCAATAATTTAGTAAAATACAAGATGGCTGACAAAAATAACAAAAACAACCAATACAAGTTGTTTTTAATCTACCTGAGTGTACAAGAAATGTGAAAACAATATTGTAAAAGTAAAGTGGATCCTGTCAAAGCTACAAAATCACAAACCGGTTGGACAGATGTCTCCAAAGGTTTCGTTGAGCGGCTGGGAGGTGTTGGACCCGCGGCCGCAGTAGTAGCCCGCGGCGCACTTGTACGTGTCGCCGTGGTCATCGGGTTTGTCCGTCATGTGGTACTCTGGGCAGAAGTACCCGGCCAGGCAGCGCGTGCAGCGGTCTTCCGACGGAAGCTGGTTGTTCGTACTAGAGGTAAAAATTATAGAAATTTGTATCAATCTGAACTACTTTGAGCATACATTAATGATTCAAGGATTTTTTAGTACTATCATGTGATAAGCTTATTGTTTTGTAATGCTGTGTTTTGATGTGAAATTCTAAGTTTTAAAAGAATTGTAAATTTTCTGCAATAATATTCATTGACCGGGAAGGTCTTGAGATTCTCGCAGAGTTAAAATGTTCACACACAGTCATATCTCTGGTGTCTGAAGATGTCTCACCTGTACAGGTAAGTACCAGGAAACTTTATAGGATAGGTAAAGAAATACAATCATGTAGTATGAAAAGGTAAAAAATACAGAAATTTGGATCAATCTTTAGCTGCAGAAAAGTTGGTTCTTCCATCCTATGAGACTCTTACAGAGCAAAAAATCATGGAGATAATGTCACCATGACAGATGTCTGAGGAAGTCTCACCTGTACGGAAGTGAAAGTCTCACAATTCTACAGAAAGAAAAGTGAAAGTCTCACCTGTAAGTTCCAGGTGGGCAGGGTGACGGATCCCCGCTGCCCTCAGGACAGAAGTAGCCGGCAGGACAGACCTCCCGCGTGTCGGTCGAGTCGGTTTCTGTCACAAACGGGCCGCAGTTCGACGCTCCGCCTGTGCTGTAGTACCCGGCTTTTGTCTTGTCTGGAACGAGCAGTCAAAAATATCAAAACAAATTTCAACACAGAACAAGTCAGAGTTCTTCTGGTTTTTGGTAGCTGACATTTTTCAAAGCAAAAGCACAACAAGGAAGAATATGGAATCTCCAAATATCCTTTTACATAGTAAAATGAATTTGAATTCCAAAGACCTGAAGGGTTGCTAGAAGAGCATCAGTTGATAGAACTAGATACAAACTTGGCCAAAAGAAGGGCCCTACTCACTGATAGGCATGGTGAGGCAGCCAATAGAACCAGTACATGTAGTAGGAACAAGAAGACGTAAGTTTTAAGGACCCCACTCACTGATAGGCATGGTGAGTCCAGGCTCGATGCAGCAGTAGCCGGGCGGACACTTGGTGCAGCCTGCCTCGGCCGTCAGACCCTCTTCTGCACCGTACGTTCCTGCAGGGCACTGCTCTGGGGTCTGCTCCTTCACAGAGTCCGTGCTGCCGACGCAGTAGCTACCTGTGGGGGAAATACAGGAGTTAGTGTTACTAACAAACTACCCTGTAGCTACCATATGTTCCTGCAGGGCACTGCTCCGGGGTCTGCTCCTTCACCGAGTCTGTGCTGCCGATACAGTAGCTACCTGTGGGGGGAATACATGTACCGGAATCAGAGCCTTAAGTTGTAACTAACAAACTACCATGCAGCTGCTCTAGTACATAGGAATTAGAGCAGTGTTACTAACAAACTACCCTGTAGCTATGTATGTTCCTGCTGGACAGTGCTTCGGGGTCTGCTCTTTCACCGAGTCAGTGCTGCCGATACAGTAGCTACCTGTATACAGGGAATAATCAGAGCCGTGTTACTAACAAACTACCCTGTCCCTGGTGCTGAAATGCTGTTCTACATGTTGCCTTCCTTGCCTGCACATATCTCACCACAAAAATATCGCACAAATATCATGATTTCACAGATCACACTACCTAGCAATAGGGATCCAAATCCTGGCTGCATTATGCACTGTTAAAATTCTACTTGTTAGTTTTATCCTATATCTTATTTTAAGACTTAGGAACAATTCCCAAAAGTAATCTACTAAGACATTAACTTGTGGACAGTACACACTCAGATTCTCTTGAAATTCTACTTGATCATTTTTTTTCGTGGACCTAGGGAACTATTCCCAAAAATGAATTTCGAGTCATGAAGTCCTCCATATGTAATTCACAAACGTATATAAGTTACCTTGTGGACAGTAGACCGGGTCTTGGCCAGGTACACACCACAGGCCCGGGGGACACAGCAGACAGGCGCTCATGCCGGTGTGGTTGGCGTATGTTCCCGCCGCGCATAGCCTCGGCTCCGGGGACCCTGCTTCGCAGTAGTGGTGACGAGGGCAGATGTCGCCCACGCCGGTATCGTTACCGTACGGCGCTGGGGTGGTGGAGTTGCCGGTGCAGTAGTATCCTTCAAAGCAGTCCCCTGGAACGTAAAAATGTCAGTTGCTATATGAGAACTATAGTTCAATTTGGTATCAACAGACGCTCCACTCACTCACTCACTGCACGGCTTAACGTCCGTTGTTCCCCGTTGGGACTGAGAAAAATTGGTACAGTTACAGCAACTGTTACAATACTAGTAGTTTAAAACAGTCCCTTTAAAACAGTCCCTTGCAATGGAAAAATGCCACCTGTCAATTTCAACGAGAACTACAGTCAACCTTGGTCTCAAAAGATCAAGAGACTGAGAAAAATGGTTGGTAACTAGGGGTGGTTGCCCTAAGAGAGCTTTACCCATGCAAAACTGGGCAAGACTGTGTTACTGTGGACTGTGACTTGATGTGTCCTGATGAAAAAAATATTTGTAGGCTTACGTATTTAGCACCTACCTGCAGGTTGTGTGGCTCTGGTAGCGTTATATGTTTGAAGAAGAAGGGGAAACAGAGCAAAAACCATATACTTTTGAAGGTAAGCAAAATAAAAGTTGTGTAAGATTTTTTTCAGCCCGTACCTGCAGGTTGTGTGGCTCCGGTAGCGTTACAGTACTTCCCCGCGTCACACTGTATGCAGTCGTCCTCGCTCTGCGAGCCCAAGTTGCCCGTGTAGGTGCCGATGGGACACGGGTGCATGAAGGTGGCGCCGCGGGGACAGTAGTGGCCCGCGGCACACAGGTCTCCCCACAGGACAACTTCCTTTCCGCCCGAAGTGTCGTTGTTGTACACCTGAGCAGGAATGAATGAATGAATGAATGAATGAATGACTTATTTGACCATTATGATCAGCAATGTACTTTTTTTAAGACTCCTACACAACTACTTCTGCTACTACTACTGCCACTACTACTACTACTGCTGCTTCTACTAACTACAATGTACAATTACTACTGTTAATAGTACTACCGGTACTAGTGCTACTACTACATTCAAGTAAGGATCATGCACTCCTGTATTCCGTTGATTTCAGGCATAAAACTTATGAAAGTAAAGAAGGTCTATCATTCATATTCATATCAGATAATATTGCAGTACTACTTATTCTGCAAAAGGCATTTTGAAAATAGATTTTAGTTTGCTTTCAGTTTTAGCCATAAAGATGCAATATACCGGGTCCTGCCAGAGGGCATTTTTGAAGCAGATGTGTCCAGCGTTGCACTGCCCTGATGGAGCGGAGAGATGGGCCTCAGTGCAGTAGTAACCAGGGGGGCAGTCCAAACAGTCTGTGGGGTCCGTGTTATGGGTCTGGTTGGTGTAGGTACCCTTAGGACAGGGCTCCGGTACATAACTGCCATTGGTACAGTAGTACCCTGCAACACAAATGTGTAAGGGATTATTTACAATAGGTAATATTTATTGCACAGTACATGTACATGTAAGTCACTACCAGTGTTGTGTGTCTGGTTGGTGTAGGTTCCCTTAGGACAGGGCTCCGGTACATAACTACCGTTAGTACAGTAGTACCCTGCAACACAAATGTGTAATGTTTATTGTACAGTACATGTAAGTCACTAGGAGCTGTGTTGTGTGTCTGGTTGGTGTAGGTACCCTTAGGACAGGGCTCCGGTACATAACTACCGTTAGTACAGTAGTACCCTGCAACACAAATGTGTAAGACAATTCTTATTAAATATTATATAATTATTAATATGCTATGCCTTCATATGAATCTATGCTTTCTCTCGAGCATCATAAGCATGTAACATTAAGCACTGTTTTTTTTAAATAGGCTCCAACAGCGCAAGTCCTTGCAGACTATTAGTCCTCATTCTAATTTAAGTTGCAAACAGACATTTTGCAAAAGCAACTCCATACAGAATACAAAATCATAGTTACTCTAACGGTTACAGTTAGTAGAATGGAATTTTCAAAAGGAGAAAAATGTAGAGATCTGAGTACAATAATGGACATGGGACATAATGAGAAATAGGCTGTTCTCCAACTAAAAGTAAAAACATTTGACATATTCCCCTCACCTGACGGACAGGCCGTTCTGTTGGTCATGCCTTTTTCTGGACAGTAGAAGCCGGCTTCACACTCTATACACCCCCCGCTTCTCTCGTACGGTTGGTATGTCCCGAGCTCACACATTCGTTGCTGGGAGGAACATGGCGGAGTGTAGAAGCCTGCAGAAGAAACAGTGGCAGGTTAGTGTACCTCTTAAGACACGTATGTCAATAGACTCACTCACCAGAATCTGTAGCAAAATTAATCTTCAATGCAATGTGTCAGCAAAATAAAGATTATCACTAAATGAAATATGATACGCCAAAAAGCATTCAAATCGCTCTATGGAAGCCATGGAAGCCCGGGTCATTCCGTAAAGAACGACCAGATCCAGAATACCGTTATCGAATGTTATTGCGGCCCGGGTATGATGTAAGATATGGTGTACACTTACCAGATTGGCTCTTTTTGACACCTGTGGCCTTTAGCCTAGAGGTTTACCGTTAGGTTAAGGACCTGCCTTAGAACGGTGCACCTTTACCAGGATGGGTATGTATTGGCAGGAAACTTTGGAAATTCCTAAAACAGTCTGTTCTGCTGCAGCTTATATGTCTTAAATATAGTGTACAGTATTACATATTTACCAGGTTGGGTGATATGTTGGCAGAAGACGTTGGCTGCCCCGGTACAGTAGCGTGTAGGATCTAGACTTGAGGCTTACGTATTGTCTGTTACAACGTAGGTTTAGGTTCAGGAGGGTGTAATATTGGTATTACGTACCAGGTTGGGTGATGTGTTGGCAGGATACGTTGGCCGCCCCGGTACAGAAGCAGCCCGCGTCACAGCAGCCCGTGGGCTCAGGGCCGCGGGCGTTGGAGCAGTAGTAGCCCGGGTCGCATCGGCTGCAGTCGTTATCGTCCACAGCTCCCGACGCGTTGCTGTAGGTCCCGGGTGGACAGGGCAGGCTCTCAAACGAACCTGGGAGGAACAAGGGACATGTCAGTGGATGAAGCTACCTAGTACATGCTAGCCCTAGCCCTAGCCCTAGCCCTAGCCCTAGCCCTAGCCCTAGCCCTAGCCCTAGCCCTAGCCCTAGCCCTAGCCCTAGCCCTAGCCCTAGCCCTAGCCCTAGCCCTAGCCCTAACTCCAAGCCTAACTGCTCCAGATGTGCTAATGTAGGTCCCGGGAGGACAGGGCAGGCTCTCAAACAAACCTGGCAGGAACATTAATAATTTTGGCACGTCAGTGAATGAAGTTTCATATCTACCTAATAGTATTAACCGTAAACCTAAGCCTAACTGCTCCAGACGCGTTGCTGTAGGTACCAGGAGGACAGGGCAGGCTCTCAAACGAACCTGGCAGGAACATTGGACATGTTGGTTGCATTTCACAATAATATCAATGTTTCAACTATGGTATGTGCCTTTAACTTTTAGTTTAAGGCTAAACTATTTACACAGTTAAATATTCCAGACCGTAGCAACTATCTTTCATCTAGTAATCATGACTCCATTATCAGTCACTTGTGAAAGATAGCAGATGCTCTTTTAAAAATTTGAAAATTTACCAAGTTGCTTCTGTATGTGTATCTGTATACTATTAGGCAGTATAACCCCAATCTAACCCTAAATATAGTCTAGACAATTTTCGTCTTTCTTCCAGCTGCTTGATATATTTTGCATTGAAGGTTGATACTTACCCAGAGGGCAGTAGCCTCCCGCGGGGCACACCTCTCCGGTTTCCCCGTCGGTTGGACTGGAGGTGTTCGCTCCGCCGTAACACACGTACCCGGGGTCACAGGGGGCCCGAGGGCTCAGCAGGCCGGGGGCGTCACAGTACTTCCCCTTGTCACACAGGGGACAGTCCTCAAGCTGCACCAAACCTGCAAGATCATACAGAAGGGTTACAGTAGGGTTAGCGTTAAGAAAGTCTTACCTGTAAGACCGTATCTTCCCACAGCACATGAGAGATGTTAGTATATCGGTGTCAGTGTTACGGTAGGCTTATGGTCATGTATCCTGTTTTTGGACGGTTAAGTCAATCATGGTCTTTTGAGACAGAGGGAGTGAAAAGGAGAGAAAAAGGGAGAGGGAGAGAGAGAGAGGTGAGAGAGGAGGGAGGAGAGAGAAATAGAGGGGGAGAGGACAGAGAGAGAGAGGTGAGAGAGGAGGGAGGAGAGAGAGATAGGAGGGGAAGGACAGAGAGAGAGAGAGAGAGAGAGAGAGAGAGAGAGAGAGAGAGAGAGAGAGAGAGAGAGAGAGAGAGAGAGAGAGAGAGAGAGAGAGAGAGAGAGAGAGAGACAGAGAGAGAGAGAGAGAGAGAGAGAGAGAGAAAGAGAAAGAGAGAAGTTTAAGGAACTCTTACCTGTGGTGTTTACGTATCTGCCCACAGGACAGGGTATAGGTGAGGAGATGTTGGAAGGTATGTTTTATGACTGACAGAGAGAGAAATGAGAAAGAATGAGAAAGAAAGAGGGAGTAATTAGAGAGAAAGAGAAGGTTAAGCCTTATAATGTTAAGGAATTCTTACCTGTGGTGTTTCCGTATCTGCCCACAGGGCAGGGAATAGGTGAGGAGATGTTGGCGGGACAGTAGTACCCACGGTCGCACACGTTGGGGTCCTTGGTGCCCAGCGGACAGTAGTGTGCCTCGGGACAGGCCAGGCAGTCATCCACGGTTTCACTAGCCGTGGTCGTCACGTATGTACCAGCAGGGCATGGAACCTGGGAACAGGAATTGCACATTTTGATTAAAACACAACAACCTGCTATACTTAATGCAATATAAATTTTTAATACAATAATGATAAGTTCATTGTACGCTCACACCCTACAAGGGCTAATGGACCTATAACATTATTACTTCACAGTTTGTTTACCTGTTCTAAAGAACATTGCAAGTATCGGAACATTCTAAAATGTGGTGATATAAGACTATTTGCAATAGAACATTCTAGAATGGTCAGTTAAAGAATAAAGATCATTTCAAAGTTTTCAAAGTCAGGAATGTTTGATTTTTGCTGCATCTAGTTTTGTTGACACAGCATTACATGCCGCATGGGTGATTTAGTTGTGACAGTAGATGAAAGTAGTACTGTATAAAGGCCTTATATTAAGGCAAACACACACCGCGCTACGCACCCCTGTACAATATAAACGTCGATTGACCGGCATTCATTGCGGTAAACAAACTGTGACGTAATAATGTGATAGGTCCATTGCAAATAACAGGAAAAGGATGAATAAACAATGAAGCACAATGCATATTGATTGTAGATTGTAATTTTTTTGTTGGGTCTGACTTCTTTTTCTGTGTTAGTGGAAGATGCAAGATCACACTTCACATATAAGGCATGCATACTGTGGGGTCACTCGTAAAAAAGAGTTGAACAGAACAGATATGAAATATTGAGATGAAAGCTTCACCTGTCTCTCTCCGTAGGATCCGATAGTTGCAGGGATGGATCCGTAGGGGTTGGGGAAAGCTGTGGGGCAGTAGTAGCCCCCCTCGCACTCCCCAGACACTTCGAAAGAACCCTCCAGGCAGTAATAGCCAGCAGTGCAGTTCAGACAGGCTGTTACAAAGCCTTCTCCATGGTTCGGGTTGTACGTACCAACAGGACATGGCACCTCAAATGGCGTTGCTGCAAATGACAGAAGAAATAAACAAGATAACAGTTACTCACTAACTTACTTGAAAACTGTAACTAAGACATTTCCAGTAGTGTCGGCAAAGGTTAGACATTCAGGTAATAAGATATGCCAAAAAAAAACAGTTACTCAAGCAACTGAATATGATTTTGTAAAGTGTCCAAAATCATATCCAGTTGCTTGTCAATGAATAACTGTTTTTGACACATTTTCAGTAGCATCCACTACTTTTTGTTATTGAGTTCTTTTCTTGATAATCTCATTACCTGAATGTCTAACCTTCTTTGAAGAAAAGAAATAACTGTAGTTACTGCTTGATTTACTTGACCTAGTTTGTCACAATTCAAGGTGCTTAAATCTTGAAGTTGAAAAAATGAAATGAGTCCAATCTCAAGGTCGGTCTGACCTTCAGGACAGTAGTATCCCATGGTGCAGTCTGTGGCTTCGCTGACGTCGGAGAGGGAACCGTTACAGAACTGTCCCGGCGGACACTTCTTATTGTTCAGCATAGCTGTCTGTGTGGTGTTGGCCTCGTCACAGTAGTATCTGTATACAACAAAACATGGCAGAACATTCAATCTCAAAAATTACAATAGCTGTCTGTGTCATGTTGGCCTCGTCACAGTAGTACCTGTATACAACAAAACATAGCAGAACATTTAACAATCTCAATCACTACAACTGTTACAACTGTTCTTCAGATTTTCCTAGTATTGTGAGGGTTACAAATGTTACAGCAGATGTAACTGTGGTGTTGGCCTCATTACAGTAGTACCTGTGTGCAAAAAAACAAAACATGGCAGAACATTTAACAATCTCACCATCACAGTAGTACCTGTATACAACAAAACATGGCAGAACATTCAGCAACAATCTGTACACAACTGCTCTTCAGAGTTTCCTAGTATTGGGAGGGTTGAAAATGTTACAGGTCAACAGTATTAGAGTACAATTGGCAAGTTTCAGGTGTGGAAGAGCGTTATCAAACTTTATCTAACAAATTTATCTATTAACTTAAAAAAATTAGACTATTTACTTTATCTAGCAGTCAACTACATGTAAGTACAGTGTAGTCCAAAATTTGAAAATGTTTAGTATTGAGTACAATATACCCAAGTTCACAGTGCTTTGACTCATTAGGTCTGGAATGGACCTATACCATTATTACGTCACAGTTTGTTTACCTGTTCTAAAGAACATTCTAGAACGGTCAGTTAAAGAATAAAGATCATTTCAAAGTTTTCAAAGTCAGGTATGTTTGATTTTTGCTGTGTCTAGTTGTGTTGACACAGCATTACATGCCGCATGGGTGATTTAGTTGTGACATTAGACAAAAGTAGTACTGTATTAAAAGCCTTATATTAGGCTAACGCTACACAAACACACACGACGCTATGCACCCCTGTACAATATAAATGTCGATTGACCGGCATTCATTGCGGTAAACAAACTGTGACGTAATAATGGTATAGGTCCATTCTTGCCCATACTGTGTTACATCTACATCACTACCAACAGTACCTATAGTTTGCCTACAGTACAGTACATTACAGGTAAAACAGTGAAACCTACCCTAGTTCACAGTCCTTACACACACTCTGGCCAGGTCTGGAATACTTGCCCAGCCCACACTGTGTTACTTCTACATCACTACCAACAGTACCAGTTTGCCTACAGTATAATTACACGTAAAACATTGAAACTTACCCCGGTTCGCAATCTTTGCACACACTCTGGCCAGGCCTGGAGTACTTGCCCAGCCCACATTCTGCGGGAGTGACAGTTCCCACCTCGCAGAAGTAACCAGCTAGGCAGGTCAGGCAGCTGGACTTACGGGTGGCCGGATCACCTGCAGAAACATAGGGACAAGTGATCAGAGATGGCAGACTTCACCCCCTAAACAGTAACCCCTGTTGTATCCAAACCTGTGCTCTCAGGCAGAGCATATAGAAACTTCAACGCAGACTGAAAAACACACAGACAAGGCAATAATAATATCTTACTCCCTTAGAGCAAAGTAACAATATGAAAGGCATCCTTTTAATTCGTTTCACCGGATCTGGGTCTCAATCACATGACGGCATCAGTACCATATGGACTAACACACCAGGCTATATTTGGGGAATGTTCTTTTAGGCTGCATAGAAAACTGAAAGATTGTTATTATTATCTAAATGCACAATTGAGGCATATTTCTAATCTATGAAAAACCTGAGTTGGAGAAAAGTTTAAGTTTTTCATAATGTAATTTACCAACTCAGATGAACTTTCATGCTGATATTTCTAATTTAGTAACTTTATGAAGTGGATTGCTTACCTGATGTTCAAGATGCATTACTCACAATGTCTGCTTTTAAGATTTCCATTTAAGTTACAGTAAGAGAACGTCTGAAGTTATTTTGAATCTGGAGAAAAATATTTTACCTTGACCCTC